CATCAAACCCTAAAACGAACTAATTTTCTGTTTCAAAGAATTTTGGAATTTCAACGTCCATTCCGATTCCGAAAAACTCTAAATTTTCGGAATATTTGGAAAACTATGAAACTTATATATTTCATATTTTTTTTGAAAAATTTCGGAAAATAATTCAAATTTTAAACATTTGAAACGTTAAGATCGGCTCAAAATTTAAACCCCAATATATTTCAGAATTCTGAATTTTTAGAGTCTTGAGCTGTGTTCTGATTACAATCCAATTTTTTCAGAATTTTTGGATTTCAAAACTTTTTTTAATGTCATATTTGATTAGAAGTGCAAAAATTAGAATTTTTTTTAATTGAAATCAGCCGGAATTGAAATTTACAATCCAACTTGCACCTCTAGTAGAAATGAAAACAATAAGAGATTTTATGGGGATTCTTCATCTCCTACTACTGGCATGGGTTTTCCACAATCTCTTTTGTGTCATCACTAACAATAATTCTTGGTCATGTTCGTCAAAAAAATTTGTTCTTAGTTTTGAATTTTTTAGGTTTATCATAGCCTATGGGCTGCCTGATGACATGGGTTGTGCGCAATTGTAGTCACTGAAGAGTAGGACCCCTTGCCCTTTGGTTACATTCAACCCTACCTAATCCCAACCCTATCACTATAAGAGAGTTGTCGTATGCGTACCCAAAAATGACTGTAACGCGAACAACCCCTACTTTGCACTTACTTTCCACCATAAGAAATGTGAAATCTCAAAGTCCAAAATATTCAATAAAAGAAAATAAAAGGAATTTGAGAAATTATGTTCACATTTATAAATTTGTTTGTAATAAAATGACAAGTAAAATTTTTCTCTTCACAAATTACAACTAAAATTACCACAATGAGGTGAATGGCTTATATATAAAAAGTAAAAATAAAAGTACACCAATTATTTTGGACACGTGAAAAGTATAATTAAACACAACCTCACACTTTCACTTCACCCATACCTTCAACTCTGTGACCTCTAAATGACATAAATCTACCTAGGTTGTGTGAAAGGAGTACCATGCGGGAACAAATCGTCCAAATATTCACACCACCCTATACCACACAACTACTCTCTCAACACCAGTACTTTACACCCCATTAGTACTGTGGGTGTGAACCTGTTTAACAATTGCGCTTCATGATAACAATAGAAATTTGATGGGGTTGTTGTTTTTAGTTGTTTATGATTAATAAAGTTTACATAATTAATTAGCATTTGTCATCGTGCGATTACCTTTTTCTATGTCCCATCCTGCGAAAGAAACATGAACACCAATAGGAAAAACGAAAATTTTCCACCCATATAAAAGACCTTTTGAGTCTTGACTATACTAATCCAAGTTGATTATCAGGACTTTTTTATTATTTATTATTTCCATTTTTATACAACATGGGTCTCCGAATGAAGCTGAATTGTGCACAACAAGGAGATGGCAACAAGTACTACAACTCGAGGAAAGACAAAGCAAGAAGCTCGAGCGAAGAAGAAGGAACGAGCACAAAGCCATGGTATAAAATTTGGTAAAAGTAGGGATGTGGGTCTTGATCAAAATCATAGAAGGATCAACCCCTAACATATACTCATCAGTAATCTGTGTGTATTTGGATTTCTTATTAATTTGAGCAAACAAGAAGGGGAAACTTTCCGCATTCAAATGCCATGAACATCTGAAAGCTTAATTCTGAGCATGAGAAAGAACTAATAACGAAGAAATCGGACTTATTGATTGCCATAACATGTGGTAGAGTCTTGACCTGCCCCATAAAATCTAGTTTTTCGCCAACTATTTATTTTTGTTCTTCTTAGTCGTGCCATTTTTTTACTCAAGCCCCTTGCTTCATTTTTTGTTTTGCTTACTCACCATTGATAATAAAAGAAAAAAGAAGAAGCAATAACAAGAAGACCAAGAAGCCCAAGAAGTAATGGTACGCTCGACTTGTTGTTGTACTTGTTGCCAACTTTGCTAATCCCAACACGCTCACCTTTGTTTGCATAAATGTATTGCCACAAATGTTGTGGTTTCGACCCCTCCTTCGTTGATGAATATCAACACCACCTCCACCTTCTTCATTGTAAGCATCATGAATCCCAACATTTGTGCTTTCAATTGCGCAGAAATCATTCTCATTAATGTTGAAGGTCTCGTTGTAAGCATCATGAATCTCCCCTAAAATTGTTATACCTCAAATCCAACCCAAACTCCAATCCTCACCCTATACTCAACCCCAAACCCCACACAAACTCAAAACTAACTCCAAAAACACATATTAATGAAATTTTTTTAAAATTTGGAGAGAATATACCTTTTGGCAAGATTAAGAGTGAGTGAGAATGAGAGGGAGAAGTAAGTGTGAGAGAATTAGAGAAGATAGTGAGAAAGAGATAAGAGAGTGAGTGAGAGTTAGAGATAGTGAAAATAGTGAGAAATAGATAAGAGAGTGAGTGCGCGATGAAAAATATTGGTTTGCACAACGAAAAATATTGGTTTGCGCGACGAAAAATATTGGTGGCGCAAAGTCTAAAAAAAATTATTTTTTTAAAAAATCCCACATCCCACTTTTGGTACTCGCCCAAATTTTTAAAGTGTTGCGTGACGAACTATTGGTCGCGCAAACTTTTGAGAGACGAAAAATTGGTTTGTAGCGCAATATTTATAAAAATAATTGTTATGAATAATAAAAATAAAATAATTTTATTTTACTATTTAAAATATAAATAAGGTTAAAACTACTTAATAAATATATATACTATTCAATTTCTTAAGTGTTATACGTACAAAATAAATAAATGTAAAGCTACTTAATAAATAAATAATATATATATATACACACACACCATTCAACGATCCAACCTTCAAACTTGTTTGTACATACTTCAAGATCGTATACCCCAAAAATCGCAAAAAACAAACATTCAAAGATCTAGTAACGGGACAAAACTTTTTTATGGTTATAAATGAAAAATCACGATTTACCGGTTATTTTAACTCCGATTTTGATGATTTTTTTTACAGCTACACTCATTGACCCTATATGAATACAATGACTAAATTTGTTCTTCAATTTAAAATATTTACACTAGTGGATACCATAAAATCTTATGTTATATTTAACGAAAATATAAATAAACTCTTAATTGTTAGTGAATATATTGTTTTTATGGCATACACATTCAACAAAACTAGTTTCAACAATCCAACCGTCAAACTTGTTTGTTTATACTTCGAGATCATATACGCCAAAAATTGGAAAAAATAAACATTCAGAGATCAAGTAGTGGGAAAAAACTTTTCGACGGTTATAAATGAAAAATCAGGATTTAACGGTTATTTTAACTCCGATTTTGATTATTTTTTTACAGCTACACTCCTTGACCCTATATGAATACAATGACTGAATTTGATCTTCAATTTAAAATATTTACACCAGCGGATACCACAAAATCTTATGTTATATTTAACCAAAGTATAAATAAACTCTTAATTGTTAGTGAATATATTGTTTTGATGGCATACACATCAACGATCCAACTGTCAAACTTGTTTTTTTATACTTCGAGATCATATACGCCAAAAATCGAAAAAAATAAACATTCAGAGATCAAGTAATGGGACAAAACTTTTCGATGGTTATAAATGAAAATTTTCGATTTAACGATTATTTTAACTACAATTTTGATGATTTTTTACAGCTACACTCCTTGACCCTATATGAATAATGAACTAATTCGACCGTCAATTTAAGATATATATTTTCTAACAAAAACCCAATCCGAACTACAATAATATATTTTTCTAACAAAAATCTAATCCGAACTAAAATAATAAATTTAAAGCTACTTAATAAATATATATACCGTTTAATTTTCTTAAGTGTTATGCATACAAATAAAAACAAAAATAAATTGATTTAGGCGACGAAATGTTTGGATTACGTCGTGCAAAGATTTTAGAAAATATTTTTTTAATTTTATTTATTTTTGTATAGACTTTGCGCGACAAAACACACTTCGTCGCTCAAAACTTTGTACAACGAAGTTTATTGTTTTGTTGCGCAAAGTCACTTTGAGTGACGATGTATTGTCGTTGCACAAAAGTTTGTCGCGCAAAGTCACTTTGCACGACGAATTGTTTTTCATCACGCAAGACTTTGAGAGACAAAGTTTTGAGTTTCGTCGTGCAAAGTGACTTTGAGTGACGAACAGTTTTTCGTCGCGCAAGATTTTGAGAGACGAAGTTTTGAGTTTCGTCGTGCAAAGTGACTTTGAGTGACGAACAGTTTTTCGTTGCGCAAAATTTGGTCGAGCAAGGATGTTTTTTTACTAGTGCATTTGGAAAACTACGAAACTTATATATTTCAGATTTTTTTTGAAAAACTTCAGAAAGTAATTCAAATTTTAAACATGCTTTAAGCATTTGAAAAGTTAAGATCGGCTCAAAATTGAAACCCCAATATATTTCAGAATTCTGAATTTTCAGAGTCTTGAGCTGTGTTCCGATTCCAATCCAATTTTTTCAGAATATTTGGATTTCAAAACTTTTTTTAATGTCATATTTGATTTAGAAGTGCAAAAATTAGAAATTTTCGATTTGGAATTGGCCGCAATTGAAATTTACAATCCAACTTGCACCTCTAGTAGAAATGAAAACAATAAATGATTTTATGGGGATTGTTCATCTCCTACTACTGGCATGGGTTTTCTACAATCTCTTTTGTGTCATCACTAACAATAATTCTTGGTCATATTCGTCAAAAAAATTTATTCATAGTTTCGAATTTTTTAGGTTTATCATAGCCTATTTTAAATTTATTAAATAAGTAGTAGAGAAAAAAAAATTAGGTAAATAGATTGAGTAGATAGAACTTTCTCATTTTCAACGAACTTATCAATACAGGGTTATTAGAAGAGCGTAAAATTGAATACATAACTTATTAATACAGGGTAATAGATGAATGCCTAGAGATGTGGCTCAATAAGTTAAAAAGTTGAAACTCACACAAGGATTGGGTAGGGCGGCCTGATCACATGGGTTGTGCGCAATTGTAGCCACTAAGAGCACCTCCAGCGCATGGACCAGCCTGGGGGAAAGGCTGCCAGAGGGAGCCCGAGGCAGCTCCAGCGCAGGGCCCGTAGCCCGGTTTGGTGGTGGGTCCCACGAGCCCGAGCAAGCCCAAGGGCAACTTCTGCCTGGGCTGAAGCCCGAGTTTTGTGACGTCAGCGCTGGCATCACGCTGACGTCAGCGCACATTGCCAAAAAAATTCGAAAAAAATTCGGAAAAATTCTGAATTTTTTTTTTAAATACCAAAAATTATGTATTTTTTCCCTATAAATACCTAACCATTTTATTCACTTTCTACACCAAATCTTCATAAAAACTCATCTCCTTCCAATATTTTTCACTTTCCACATCAAAATCTTGGCAATGAGGTAAAAAAAAAAAAAAAAAATCTGTTTTATTCAATTTAATGTCTTTTTTTATATATATATTTCTTGCATTTCCAATTTCTTTTTTTTTAATAGATTAGTCAAGGCAAAACCAAAAATGTTATTCGAAAAATTTTATCCAAAAATTTTATTTGAAAATTTTATTCGAAAAATGTTATCTTAAATTTTAAATGAAAATTTTATAATAAATAGTGACACGTGACAACCGAAAATATAATCTAAAAAGCTTATCAAAATTAATAGTTTAAAGTATAAACAAATAGGAAATAAAGTACAATGAATAGTAATTGCCTTAGACTTGCCCTAGACTTTGCCCTCATGGGTGGAACCACAAATGCAAAGGCTGACACTATTCACGTGAATAGTGGCAGCCCTTGCTTGCCCTTGCCTTAGACTTAGACTTAGCCCTTGTGGGTGGAGATGCTCTAAAGAGTAGGACCCCTTGCACTTTGGTCACATTCAACCCTACCTAGTCCCAACCCTATCACTATAAGAGAGTTGTCGTATGCGTACCCAAAAATGCCTCTAACGCAAACAGTCCCTCTTTTGCACTTACTTTCCACCATAAGAAATGTGAAGTCTCAAAGTCCAAAATATTCAATAAAAGAAAATAAAGGGAATTTGAGAAATTATGTTCACACTCATAAATTTATTTGTAATAAAATGACAAGTCAGATTACCACAATGAGGTGAATGGCTTATATATAAAAAGTAAAAATAAAAGTATATCAATTTTTTGAACACTTGAAAAGTATCATTAAACACAACCTCACACTTTCACTTCACCCACATACCTTTAACTCTGTGACCTCTAAATGACATAAATCTACCTAGGTTGTGTGAAAGGAGTACCATGCAGGAACAAATCGTCCAAATATTCACACCACCCTACCACACAACTACTCTCTCAACACCAGTTTACACCCCATTAGTAAGTTGAATAAAGAACAAAAGTGAGTAAAAGACTTTTGCTCATGTGGGTGTGAACCAGTTTAACAATTGCGGTTCATGATAACAATAGAAATTTCATGGGGTCGTTGTTTTTAGTTGTTTTATGATTAATAAAGTTTACATAATAAATTAGCATTTGTCATCATGCGAGATTACCTTTTTCTATGTCCCATCATGCGAAAGAAACATGAACACCAATAGGAAAAACGAAAATTTTCCACCCATATAAAATACCTTTTTAGTCTTGACTATACTAATCCAAGTCGATTATCAAGACTTTTTTATTTATTATTTCCATTTTTATACAAGAAGGAGATAGCAACAAGTACTACAACTCAAGGAAAGACAAAGCAAGAAGCTCGAGCGAAGAAGGAGCGGGCACATAGCCATGGTATAAGCTTTGGTAATAGTAGGGATGCGGGTCTTGATCAAAATCATAGAAGGATCAACCCCTAACATATACTAATCAGTAATCTGTGTGTATTTGGACTTATTATTAATTTGCGCAAACAAGAAGAGGAAACTTTCCCGCATTTGAATGCCATGAACATCTGAAAGCTTTATTCTGAGCATGAGAAAGAACTAATAACGAAGAAATCTGACTTACTGATTGCCACAAAACCAGTCCATACATAAATCTAGTTTTTCCTGCCCCATAACATGTGGTAGAGTCTTGACCTGCCCCATAAGATCTAGTTTTTCTCAGTCGTGCCATTTTTTTCACTCAAGCCGCTTGCTTCATTTTTTGTTTTGCTTACTCACCATTGATATATAAAAGAGAAAAGAAGAAGCAATAACTAGAAGAACAAGAAGACCAAGAAGACCAAGAAGAAATGGTACGCTCGACTTCTTGTTGTACTTGTTGCCAAATTTGCTAATCCCAACACGCTTGCCTTTGTTTGCATAAAATTTATTGCCACAAATGTTGTGGTTTCGACCCCTCCTTGGTTGATGGACATCAACACCACCTCCACCTTCTTCGTTGTAAGTGTAGAAAAGGCTTATATTCCGATGATCTTGAACTGTACAGGAATACAATATTTATACAGGTATTGCTCGGGTAACAGTCCTATACTAATTACAGAGTAAATTACAGAGTTAATTCTATAACTGAAAGCTGTTACAGATTATATTGAATGGGTGTCATTGATTGGGGGTTTACTGGTGTAACTCCCTAACAGTAAGCATCGTGAATCCCAACATCTGTGCTTTCAATTGCGCGGAAATCATTCTCATTAATGTTGAAGGTCTCGTTGGTTTCATCAGTATTTTCTGCCTCACTATTTTCATTTTGCTGGAGCTCTTGTTCAGTTCTTTCTCTTTGGGGCTCCTCTACTCCAAAAAGTGTTCTGGGACGACCAGGAAAGCGGTTTCTTACCCTCTCCTGAGAGCTCTGGTTCAGTTGTTCAGCTTCAGATCGAGATCGAAACCCATCTTATGTATATGCAAAGATAAAATGAAAAGATCTTCAAATAAGTGGAGGCAAATACTCTAAAATCAAATTATTTTATGGATATGTTTGATGTTATAATTCTATACTATAGACATAATTTATAATTTTCTTGAGCCGTACGAGGAGAAAACTTCTTATACGTTTCTAGGGGGGGGGGGGGTATTGTTCATCTATCCCAATGAGCCATTTATCGAATCGTTGCAATTGACATGTATAATGGGACTCTATCTTTATTCTCGCCCGATTAATCAATTCTTAAAAAGATCTATCAGACTATGATGGAGTGAATGATTTGATCAATGAATATTCGATTCTTTTTTCAATTTTTAATCGATTCACAACAATTCTTTCGTTTTCATATAAATATAAAAAAATACAGATTCGAGCCGTCATTGGAAGACAATCTTTCAATAAATGGAAGTTACTATTGTAAACTAATTACATAAATTCCTTAAACCCTATACACACATAGAATCACATCAAGGAAAAGATCTTGAATCAAATAAAATATTAATTAGAATATATAGTACTTACCTGCCATTGATGAAAGCTCAAAAGAAAAGTCTTCTATTCTCTGTAGAGTTCTTATGTTCAATTAGCAATAGGGACTAGATGTTTTTTAAAGTGTGTTATAAGAGAGCATGTGACCTCCTCTTGAAAATGGAATAAGTTACTATTTTATATATATATATTATTAGTCTTTGTTATATCTGCAATATTCCTAATGATCAACTTGGGAAAGTCTTTCCAGGAAAAACCAAAAAAAACTTGGAAAAGTCTTGTAGAAAAGGACTTTGTGTGGAGAAAGGTTCAAGATTTTCAATTTTTTTTTTCTTAAAATCTAAATACAATCCAAAAAGAAATTAAGCAAAATCAAAATTAGGCAAACCAAATCAATCATAATCACACAAAAAATGATAAATACACGGGCAGTATCCTACCAGGTTTAAAGAAATCGAAGGTAAAATAGTTTGCCAAAGCAATTACCAGCCCACCTAAATCTAATCGAAGGTAAAGATACCAATGGAACGAAGCTTCAAATAAGTTGATTTTTAAAGTTAATCTTTGTTATATATCTGAAATAATCATCATGGATAGTTTAGTCAAAAGGGCAAAAAAGGTACTCCGTGTGGAAAAATATCGTTGAACTTTGTTTTGATCACATGCAGGACAAAAGAGGGCCACTCTTGGACCGGACAGACATTTTAAAAGGAATGTCTCTTGTGGAAAAATTCTACAATACATTGTCCATCAATTTGGAAGCAACAATTTGAATGATCCTAGAGGGGTGGCAAGGTTACATGGATCAAATGAAAATAAAGATTTGGATATGGAAGAAACACAAGTTTTTTTTTTTTTTTTTTTTTTTTTTTTTTTTTTTTTTTTTTATTGAGAAAGAACTCAACACAAAGTGAAGTGATGCTTAGATTGATCTTCTCAAAATGATTCATACAAAGAGCGTGGAGCTTAAGGGGTTTACAAGAAATAAGAATTCGTTTGGTTCACGGAATGATTTGAGGGAAATCATTTCCCAAGGGATGAGAGATAAAAGATTCATTTCTCACGTTTGATAATGCTGGGAAGGTAATCGGGAGATAACACTTTATTCTTTTCCCATGTTTGTTTTGAGTAGGAATGGAAAACAAAGTTTGTATAAATTTTCAATTATACCCATATTAAATTAAATACAAAATAATGCATTTAATGATATATGTAATTTTAAATTGTTAATGGGGACAAAATGGTCATGAAAAATATGTCACTACTACAAAAAAGGCCAAAGACGACGGGAATTCACCGTCGTGTATTTGGTTTTCAAACTGTTTGTGAAATCGACTGCCGTCTATTTGGGTTTCAAACTACGACGGCTTTTCACCGTCGTTGTTTATCTGTAAAGACGACGGTTTTTAAAGAAAATCGTCGTTGTTTAGAGGTAAAGATCGTTAATTATAGGAGAAAAGACAACTGTTTTTAATAAAACCGTCATATATTGTACGTAAAGATGACGATTTTTTTATGAAAACCGTCGTAGATTGTTTATAAAGACATCATTTTTACATACAATAGACGACCTTTTTTTTATAAAAAGCGTCATCTTTACGTACAATAGACGACGGTTTTTTATATAAAAAGCGTCATCTTTAAGCACAATAGACGACGGTTTTTTATAAAAAGCGTCATTTTTACGTAAAATAGACGACGGTTTTAATAAAAAAGCGTCATCTTTACATACAATAGACAACGGTTTTTTAAAAAAAAAACGTCATCTTTACGTACAATAGACGACGATTTTTATAAAAAGCGTCATCTTTACATACAATAGACGACGTTTTTATAAAAAGCGTCATCTTTACATACAATAGACGACGGTTTTTTATAAAAAAGCGTCATCTTTACGTACAATAATGCTTTTTGATTTCCTATGATGCTATACAACAATTTTAACTAGAAAACCAACCATAATGCTTTATCAAAAATAGTTTCTTTCATAAAACTTGAAGATTCAATAGTTATTACATAGTTAACCAATCTTTATTCTACAACAAACATAATTCCTAACAAGACCTACGTACTCCTAATCCAAGCATTCCTCATCCAAACATACAAATGATGCACAACTGAAGTCTCCTCCATCATCCCTGTAAATAAATCAAAATGACAAAGAGAGAAAAAAAGAAGAAGCTAAGATTATAAACATAAAAAATTAGGTGGAAGAGAAATTTTACCATTGGTCCATATTTCCATAGAAAACTTGTAAAATGAGCATAAAAAAGACCATCGAGAACCTGCAAATTTTCAACAACAAAAAACAAACGACTCACATAGAAAACCCTGCAAAAGAAAAAGTTATAAATCTGCAAGCTTCCTCCTCATCTCCTGATAACCAAATCAGAAAATCTAAAAGAAACCAGAAATAAAAAAAATATGTAAACAAATCAGACACAATCAAGAGACACTACTACGTTTTCACTATTTGCGCGACGAAACATTGCGCGACGAAGATAAACTCGTCGCGCAAACCATAATTGCGCGACGAAAAACATATTCGTCGCGCAATGCACTGAAAATTTGCGCACCAAACTTTTTCGTCGCGCAAAAGGTATATGCGCGACAAACCAATTTTTCGTCGCGCAAACTGAGTTAAAAAAAGGCGGGGGATTTTTTTTATTTTTTTTGCGCAACAATTTTGCCGCGAGAATATATCGTCGCTGAAGGCAACATTGTGCGCGAACGAACAACAAATATCTCCGCCGACGCAATAGAGACAGTATCCCTGATTTAGCGCGACGGAAATACCGTTTCGTCGCGTAAGGAACAAGAGATGATTTTAATTTTTTGGCGCCAAAAATGACCTGGTGGGATTTTTTTTTTGTTGCGCGACGTACTTAGTTTAGTGCTAACGTTCAAAGGTTTGCGAAGAATATTTTTTAGTGCGCGACGGAAATTTGTTTTTGCGCGACAAATTTGAGCGACGAAAGTTTGCGCACCGGAAAAGTACCAGCGTCGCGAAAGTTAGATGCGGCAGTGTGTTTGCGCGAAGAAAAAATGGGTGTGCGCGACAATAAATTGGTTTTTTGCGACGGGAGTTCTTGCGGCTACGAATCAGTATAGGGGTGTTTTCGTGTGGCGTCCGTGCAAAGTCCCTTTCGTCATTCATAATCTACGAATGTTCACCATCTAGCACTGCGCGCTGAATTCAACAAAGCATTCGTGACGGCTAATCTCCTCTCTCAGTTCACCTCGCCTGCTGCTGCTTGGGATTGACTCAAGGTTACATTGTTTGTGGTAAGTATTTAGATTCTGTCATTAGTTTTAGCTGAAGTCTGAATTTAAGTTTTCGTCTAAGGTGTTTTTATTTGATAAGTTTCGTGCGTGATATTTTGTAATTAGCGATTGGTGGAGACCGAAAACTGAACAGAAGGCAATTTATAAGGGTTTTGTATGTATATCTATTTTAGAACTGCTATCTTGGGAAGGGGGGGGGTTATTTTACATATTTATGTTGTGTGCGTAACTAGGTAACCTAAACCTCCTCTAGTGTTGCAATAGTAGGAAAACGTGTACGCAGTTTAATTCATTAAACTTCGGGCTTTGTTATGTTACTAACATGGTTTAGTCAACCAGGAGCTTAGTTGTTTTCCGTTCGCGATGTTAGTTGGATTGATCGTGCAATTGGATGCTATAGTGGCATTACTGCGGCCACATCAAACTTCTTGAAATTGGGTCCCCTTTGATGTTGACAGTTTGATAATGCATATTGTGTTTGTCCACGTAATCTCTGGCGTCCAAGGATGGTTTTCGATTGGTAGATATTCGTTGTCATCTGCGTACGCTGATCTTCCGGGTGGGATGCTGTCACAAATCGGTATTTAATACCTAATTGCCACCCTCAAGAACTGGAAGCGCGATGACTGCGAAATGCCCTCCACGCCCAGACATGCGCATCTCATGTCGTCGGCGTTAGTTGCATGGAGTAGGAAGGCCCGCAATGGATAGGACCCTTACCCGGAAAGGCCTAATGTGGACATTAACTGTCGTCTCTAATTTGATTGAAGGGTGTGATTGAGTTTTGATGTGTGACTTCTGTTTCAGGAACTGAATTTGACAGAAGGTGGATCCAAAAACCCCCTAACAGTTCGCAGACAGGGGAAAATACTTGGATGGACGGGGGGGTTGGATTTATATGAGATGCTTGCACGAGGGCCAACCCGGGTGGGTCCAGCTGATAGCAGATGCACGTAATTTCTTGTAGGCGGGATGCCAACAACACGTCTTATGGGAGACAATTGAAATGTTTGAATTTCTTTATAAGGCCAGGATGGAAGATGTATTGAGGACATCGAAATTTGCAAATATGGAAGCCGTTACACACGTGGAAAACCATGGGGTGAGGCATGCGGTCGCTTTCGCCAGAGAAAAAAACCCCAAAAAAACCCCCCATCAAGACCCGGTCTGCCCCCCCCCCCCCGCAACCCGCCCCTCCCCCACACAACAACCCCCCCGCCCCCCCCGCCCCCTTTCCCCCCGCGTCCCGCTACATAAAAAGTGGACCACCCCCACTCCCTCCCCCAGATAGGATAAAACTGTATCCACCTTATTTGACTATGTTCACCCATAAAGTGGGTGTATAGTGTCATGCATGCTAGTAGATGACGTCCTGGAAATAGTTAGACTAAGCAGTGACACTAAGTGTGTACCTATACATTGGAGTGCATCGACCAACATGGATGCAAATAAGGAGTAGCACAAGATGATGATGGCCTACCCAATGACGATGTTGTGCGGGTGAGTAACCTCTTGGGAGAGAGGTACAGGAAGCAGGGGGGAGGTGCACTGGACGAGAAATGTCCATATAAAGTACATCACTCTCAGTTAAAATTGGCCAGCATCGGCAGCGTTATAACCTACACCGAGCGTGCGAGGAGCATCTATGCGGTCTTCCTCCCAGGGCGCATGTGTGGAGCCGTACATGCACGGGACCAATAAAGTATACTTATGTCGAGCCAGTCTAGGTGTCGATCGGATTAACTTCTATTATGTGAAGGGGTTTACTAGAGGAGACTGTCTTCGGGACGACACATTGGTACTTGCCTAAAGGACCCAGAACAGGCGCAGCCGTGTGCATGGTCTTGGATGATGGGTTATGAAAATCCATGCTGCAAAACATTGCGGCCTAGTGGTTTTCGTACCAAGAGCATGTACTCGTCTGATTACATGTGCGGGCTAAAGGTGATTCTCTGATTTTCGAGGTTTCAAGAATGCGGCCTCTGCAGATAAGGACGACTAAGATCCCACTAAAACGGGATCATGCCGTTGATGTATGCCGCCAATGAACCCTAGGTTTTGCAAGCGATTGTATATGCATGCGCAATAACTTGGTCCACAGCTGAATGGCTAATCAGGAAAAACGGTAGGACTTCGTGTTTGGGCATGCTGCACAATCTCGACAGATGGGATGGCCATGGGTAAGAGTGTGCTATTGAATTGTCCCTATAGTTTGCTGGCTGATGCCACAGAAGGAGAAATATGGAAAATTGGTTTAGATTGGAGGGACTTGCCACTTCTGAGTGTCTACCATCCTCTCAATGGGGTGTCTAAAATAGCGAAGCGGCACACCAAGCACTTGCCTAGGTTCCGTCTTCCCATAGAATTTGCCGCCTTAGCGAAACGGGTGTCATGAAGTAATGAATACAGGAGAGGATGACTGTTTGAAATTGATCCGTGAGGCTCCCTGGGAGGTCACTCGTGGTTTACTTAAGGCCTGGTTGAATAGCTTCAAAGTGTATTAAAAAAATGTGGAAGGTCAGAACGGTGTTCGCCGTAACGAGTAAATCCACGGGGACGATGTTCCCTTCTGGCGGGCAGCAGTTATGTTGGCTTCTGTGAATGGAGTTTCCCAAGCAGTAATTGACCATTGGTTTGTGCCGTGGTGAGCACAAGAAGTCCGGTTATTAATGGCATGTCCTGTAGCCTAGTCAGTGTAAGCTATCATGTGTTGGCATGCTGGAAAGGATTATGTTTACCCTTCTGGTCATGGCACGCGATGATGGTTGCCATGGGACAAGCGAGTGGAGGGAAAAAATAATAGAGTTCGACTGGACACTAGAGGCCATCGCAGCTTAGAAACTTTTTTTTTTTTTTTTTTTTTTTTTTTTTTTTTTTTTTTTTTTTTTTTTTTTTTTTTTTTTTTTTTTTTTTTTTTTTTTTTTTTTTTTTTTTTTTTTTTTTTTTTTTTTTTTTTTTTTTTTTTTTTTTTTTTTTTTTTTTTTTTTTTTTTTTTTTTTTTTTTTTTTTTTTTTTTTTTTTTTTTTTTTTTTTTTTTTTTTTTTTTTTTTTTTTTTTTTTTTTTTTTTTTTTTTTTTTTTTTTTTTTTTTTTTTTTTTTTTTTTTTTTTTTTTTTTTTTTTTTTTTTTTTTTTTTTTTTTTTTTTTTTTTTTTTTTTTTTTTTTTTTTTTTTTTTTTTTTTTTTTTTTTTTTTTTTTTTTTTTTTTTTTTTTTTTTTTTTTTTTTTTTTTTTTTAAAGGAAAATAAACAAACGAATTTCATTAGAGTAAGAATGTCAGTCAATCAAGAAACTAGCTGGCAAGTCCACCTCTAACCATCAATCATCTAAACACATAGGTAATCAATTCTAGCAATCATTGATGACGACACTCACACAAGATCATGCATTTGATCGAGTTCGTAGTGCATTCTCTAAGTGCGTAAAGGTAGCATTACATCCAATACTGTATTCTTAATTGAAATATAGTTGGCATTTACTCAAATTAATAACCAAGAATCCATTAAGATCAAAGAGAATATGTGGTCACAAAACCCGAAACATGGCATTTGTTATTAGGATTCAATAATCGATTTCTCATAACTAGTTCTTAACCAATTATTCGTTGCAAACAAGAACACATTTCAATATGGCAATTGACCTAGTTCTACAACAATTTAATTCCAATACATGCTTCAAAGTTAGCTACTCAAAGAAACAAAATATCAGAATTCACAAAACATAGAGAAAACGAAATCATCACACTTGTAGAAACTGAAAATCCATTCAAACTTGTTTATGTAGAATTGAAATCATGTTTAGGGCTTCAAGATTAGCCCTAACTACAAGAAATTAGTTACTCTGCTCTTGGATGAACTCAAAATAAATACATAGAACTGAAACTTAAAAGAAGAAAGGAAAGAAAGAACTCGTTGGCAGCTTTCCTCTTACGCGGTTGATCCCCTTTTGGACGTGAATACTCTGTATCGGGGCCTTGGCTGGCCTTTTATATCACTTATATCAAAGTTATAAACCCTAAAAATTGACTGAGAGTCGTCCAGAAGTCTTGGTAAACAAGGATCCAAATAGGAAAGTAAAAATCACAATTCCTAACTCCACAGGGAAATACAGCTCAGCCCAATTGTCACACGATTTGGGGATCTTTGGCCTTGTAGAAAAATCATTAAAAATATATTTTAGAAAGATAAATGTCTTATCTTTCCAACCATATATAGCACGTAACTTGGAAAATTCGGGAAGGCTTCCGTTCTTCACATTCACGTAACATGTACGAAACTGTCTTGTCTGCACGTGGGCTAACTTTACTTGTAATACTGTACCAATTGGCTTGGTAGAAAATTCTAGAAAAATCACAGATTGAACTTCAAGATGTTAGCTTTCATCTCCAATTGGCCTTGTGCTAAAATTCCTCCAAAAAGTTGATTTTTCCTTAAAAACCTTCTAAGAGCGCAGAAAAGCTGAAAATCAGAAAATCAAAGTAATAAGCCCTTTTTAAATCTAATTCTCCTACAAAACCTAAGTAAAAAGAGTACATAAATGAGTATATTTATGGACTTATCAGAAGTTATTGGATTGCGTCCTTATATCCTGATGGCTATGTTCCTTCTGTCTGTCAGGCATACATGGCGCTTGGTGATATTGAAGCTGTAGTTGAAAGCTTCAAAAAGGCATTGGATCTGGAGCCAACTGATTGTTTGTCTCTCACTGAAAAGGCATTGGATTGCGTCCTTATATCCAGTAAGTGGTGTGAACAGTTGTTATATTGTTCATACTCTGCAATTGAGTTGATTTCTATGACATAGTACTAACAGTGTACTTCTATTACATATTATTAACAGATTTTCAGTAACGAAGCATGCTTTATATTTTGCTCATATGCTGTGCACTTGAAGTTTATGATATGCATAATGTGATTTTCACTAGGAAGATAGTTCTATGACATAGTATTAACAATGTACTTTTTTTCCTTCTTATACAGGGCCTTTGCGATTGCTTCAGGTGAAAACTATGGGACAATTGGAGGTGGTTTTTGCAAAGGATATCGGATATCTTGTTGGGCTTTTTTGGGTTTTTTTTGAGTTTTTTCTATGAAATGGTATTAACAATGTTTTTCTATGAAATGATATTAACATTGTATTTCTATGACATGATATTAACATGTATTTCTACGATATGGTATTAACAATACACTTCTATGATATGGTATTAACAATAAACTTCTATGACATGATATTAACAATGTACTTCGGGTTTTGCTGGGCTTATTTGGGTTTTTTTTTAGTTTTTTGTATTAGGCTTATTTTAAGTTAATAAATGGCAGAATGTAATTTATAAGAACTTCAACACTCATTTTTTAGATAATAAATGGTTTTTGGGTATGTTTCTAAAGTCTATTCCATATAGGGTTTTTTTTTTTTTTTTTTTTTTTCAAATCCTATTTTGGGTATATTACTAAAGCTCCCTTTAAATAATCACCAGTGTTGATTGGTGAAATCAGCGATCAACGTAAAACTTTGATCCTAGAGGGGTGGCAAGGTTACATGGATCAAAATGAAAATAAAGATTGGGATATGGAAGAACACAAAGTGAAGTTGATAATATGCTTCGATTGATCTTCTCAGGATGATTCATACAAAGAGCATGGAGCTTAAGGGGTTTACAAGAAGTAGGATTTCTAAGTGAAAAGGAGATAGTCAAGCGCATGTGGTCTGCATGGGCTGGGGAGGCATAGCCTACTAGGCTGAAAGCGTGGCTTTCTGGTAACCGTCACTTCCGAGCAGGGCCCAATCAAAGGTTAATTTGTGGATAGTCATGAATGCTTTATGGAGTTTCCTAAGGCGACGATGCTCTAACAGTCGCTTACCTCCGTCTTGTCATGTGTGAGGCCCAATGGCATCTCCTCTCGTAAAGACATGTCTTGTCCTAGAAGTGGCCCAATGGTGATCAGATACGTGGACGTCTTCAATCATTAGTGGCTCCAAAGTCTCTAAGTGAGCCATCCCTCAGGCCCCGTTTGGTTCATGGGAAAGGAGGCATGAGAATGGGAATTCAATTGCTTTCCCATGTTTGGTAAGTCCAAGCATGAGAAATGGTTGCCTGGCACATGGGAAAGTAGAGGGAAAATGAAGATCTCCTCTTAACTTGGGTTTTGTTTTCCCTCATCATGGGAAAGTTTGGGAAAATGAGCCAACATTCAATGCACAATTTTCATGACTATTTTGTCCCTATGAACAATTTATAATTACAACGTATCATTAAATGCATTCTTTTTTTATTTTATTTAATATGGGTATAATTGGAAAATTATACAAACTTTGTTTTCCATTCCTACTCAAACAAACATGGGAAAGGAAACAAAGTGAAATCTCCCGGTTACTTTCCCGACATTACTAAACGTGAGAAATGACATGGGAAGTAATTTCCCCTCAAATCCATTCCGTGAACCAACGGGGCCTCAGGGTGGTTGACTGGGACTTTCCAAGGTATGTAGGAAGATACCCTTGATTTCTCCTAACCATATAGGCCAACCCGATGGGTCGATGTGGTGACACTACGGAGCTGTGTAGTTTTAGTGCTCGTCCCGTTCGAGTGGTCAGTCATAAGGGTCTGCCTCAACTAGTGTGGCTTGTGTGGGCTTTGAGTCGACATCGCGGGTACTAGTGGTTAATTGGGCTCGGTCAGATCAATCCCTTATATCAACAACCACCACCATGTACAAATACATGGTACAAATAACTAGGGGTGGCATTTTAGACCGAAAAAACCGCAAAAATCAACCAACATTATACTGCATTGGAACCGCAATAGCTAAAAACCGACCGAAAATTGCGGTTTTAGAAACCGAACCCCAATTGAGGTTGCGGTTGTGGTATGTGATTTTGGCAACTCGCAGTTACTGCAAACTGCAAATATATATTTTTAAAATTGCATTTTAGTAGTTAGATGTTATGTTTTAATTTGGTTGAGTTTAATCTATTATTAATATGCTTTTATATTGTTGCTTTTATGTTGTGTTGTGTTGTGTTATAGATGGATTCTAGCCTCTCTAACACACCCAATGCCTCTAATCCCCCAAATACAAACCTATACACCCAAAACACAACCTCCACTCCAACTCATAAAGAATGACTTCTTCTTATAATAAAATCCACTCACCACCACCTACACTTGAGTTCTCATTTTGGTTTGTTATTTTAATTAACTTTGAATTGGATTTTTCTTTAGGTTGTGAATGCTTGAGAAGTTGAGGTTGAGGTTGTGAATTTATATATGCTTGAGAAGTTGAGGTTGTGAATTTATTTCTTTAGGTTGTGAATTTATATATGCTTGAGAAGTTGGGGTTGTGAATTTATCTTCAGATTGTGAATTTATTTTTTTGGTTAAAGTATGCTTGCACTCACAAAGTTTCAAAAGAAGCATCAAACCTAGGCTTAAAAGTGTGGAAGATTGAATTTTTATGACACAAAAACCATACTTAAAGATATAAAATTGTCTAATTTAGGCCCAAAATATTCAAATCGTTTTAAACCGTTAATTCACAGTAACCGACCGATTTTCGGTTTACAGTTTCAAAAATCACCTTACCGCAAATAGTAGGTTGGTTTGCGGTTCGGGAAAAAATTCACGGTTATTGAACCGCAACCACCCCTACAAATAACCCACTTTTTCGGTAGCACTTTGAGCCAATACAATGATGAAGATGAGCCACGGAGCATCAAATGATGCTTTTGAGAGGAAAAAGATCTGGGACAATCCAAAAGCATCCAAGGCTGGAACAAAAATATTATAAAAAAACTATATTTTTCATATCCATACACATAAAAAAACAACTTTAAATAAGAGTATCCTTGCTTCATAGGTGGATATAAAGAAAAAAGCTAGAACAAGAGGAAACAGTACTGATTGCATGTAGACAAATAACATTCAGATTCAGAGAAAAGTTCAAGTGTAGGAGCTCTGGTGGCCATAAATCTCCAAACCATACATCTCAGTTTTTGTTTTCTTCTTGCAAATTCCAGCCTGTTTATCCAGCAGCCCCTTACCTTTTTATCTTATTTATATTTTCTTCTTGTTCGTACCGCTAGCTTCGCTATATATATTATATATAGCAAAAACTAGAATAATAAGCCCACCAAGAAAGAATGATCCGTTCGACATGGAGTAGTTGTTGCCAAATTTGCCAATCCCCACACGCTGGCCTTTGTTTGAATGGATTTTATTGCCCTTAATGTCGTAGTTTCGACCCCTCCTTGCTTCAAGACCATCAATATAACCTGCACGATAGTCGTTGTTGAAGTCGAAAAGCCCAACTTCTGTGGCTTCAGATGAGCTGATTTCATTCCTATGAATCTTCCACGTCTCACTATTTTCGTTTTGCGGAAGCTCTTGTTCATTTCTTTCTCCAGTGGACTCTTCTCCGGAATTCTCCTTGGTGCTCTTGTTCAGTTGTTCAGCTTCGGTTCGAGATCCATCTTATACATATATGCAAAGAGAAAATGAAAAATAATCTTCAAATAAGTGAAAATTGGGCAAATACTGCAAAATCTTTCAATAAATTCAAGTTACTATTGTAAAATAAGTACTAAATTCCTTAGGCATGCACGCATAGAATCACATCAAGGAGATGATCTTGGATCAAATAAATTTACATACCTGCCATTGATGAAAGCTGAAAGGAAAGTGTTCTTTTATCCTCTGTAGAGTTCGTATGTTCAACCGGCAATACAGACTAGATGTTTTGAACGCGTGTTTGGAAAATAGCATGGATGCGCCCATTGTTATAGACCATTGAATGGATAGTTGGTGATGTGGAGTTATCCACACCGTTGAGTTAGTTACCGGATAAATCGGTTGTTGTAGGTAAAAAGAAAAAAAAAGCAAAAACTCTCCTTCAGTCTGACATTTCCTCTCAGGTATCTCTCTCTTTCTTCTCCGTAATGTCTCTCTCATCTCTATATCTAATGGTCTCTCAATCTCCTTCCCAGGCTTCGTTTCTAAACCAAACCCATACCAAAAATCTCAGCCCCAATCTAAACCCCCATTTTGCTCGATCTCTGCCGTCTATCTCTCTCTTTCTCTCAATCGTTTCAGCCTTCACTCTCGGTCTCACTCGATTCTCTTTCTCTATAGCTCTGGCTTGCTCTTTCTGTCTCTCTCTTAGATATGAGCACCAAACATGGGTGGGCACAAATCTGTGCGTGATGAGAATCCTTTGAAATAGAAAGTTTGGGGTTTCAATTTTGTTAAACTGAAACCATCTTAGCCAGAAAGTTTAGTGATGGGAATTCTTATGGGCATCACTCTCTCTATGCCAAAAGATAATTTTAATTATTCAAGGTTTGAGTTTTCTAATTTATATTGTAATTTAATCATTGATGTGAATTTATGAATTTGAATTTATCTTATTTTATGTATGAATTTGAATGTGTGAGATGATTCTCATTATATTATATATACATATATATATATATATATCTGGCAATGTGTGAAATCATTGAACTCTTTGGCCTTCTAGGGGTTGATTTTTGTTTACAATGATGAATTTGTAATTGTTTTCATATTAGCATATTGCTTTATGTTTCCGTTCATTTTATTGATTGTTTCGTGATTGTTTTTCAGGTTGGGGTAAAGATTAGGCCAAGTACAAGACTATATACTATTTTGGAGTCTATTTATTTGGCTAGTTGAATTTGTAATATTTTCATTGTATCTGGAGATTGTAATTTTTTTTTTAAATATACACAATGACTTGAGATTTTAGATTTATAATTATTGGTTATGTAGAGTGAATGTATTGAACAATACTTTCAATTACATGAATGAAGTTTATGTTGGCTTTGATGAGGATATAGTACCATTGAGAATAAGCTTTTAAAGTAAATTTGACTGTTATATCATAGTTTATGTGCCAATTGAAATAATCATCCCATTAGCATTGTGAATGGGCATTGTACCATAAAATTGTATTTTGCGATTAGTGTATGCATTGTCATGTTATTGGCAGTCTTTTCAATTTTAAGAAAGTAAATACAATATGTGATTTGTCAATGCAATTGACAAATAGGTAGTGCCATTTGCATTCCAGTCGTGCAATTGACAAAGAAAGTAGTACTATTTGCATTTTAGTTGAGCAATTGCCATTATCTGTGCACAATTAATTGAAAATGTAAATATAATATGTGATTTGTCAATGCAATTGACAAACAGGTAGGGTAATTTGCATTCTAGTAGTGCAATTGACAATTAAAGTAGTCCCATTTGCATTTGAGGCAATATTAACAGCTCAACGACATTGAAAATAAACTTTTTAAAAAGCAAAAAAAGCTCCCAACCCTAGCCCCCCTCTCTTCTAGCGCCGCCAGGCGGTGGCTTGCTCACCACAATTTTCTGTTGGTTACTGGTTTCTCTTTGGTGGTTGTTGGCTTGCTATGGTGGTGCGGCTTGTGGCTGTAGGAATGTGCGGCACATATCTATTAATGGTGTTAGGGTTTCCTAATGTTGTGTTATGCTTTGTGGGCTTATGCCTTTTGTGGGCTTTTTACCATTATGTGGGCTCTTGGCCTCTATGTGGGCTTAATGCCTTTATGTGTGCTCTATGTATTTTGTTAGTTTTATTTATAGTGGGCTCTATGTCTGTTTGTATTACATTTTGTGTGAACTCAATTATTTGAGTTCATTTTGACGTAATCTGGCTTTAACCTTCTATTTAATGAAACTCGATTTCGACCAATAAAAAAAAAACGTAGTCCCATTTGCATTTCAGTCTTGCAATTATCATTATCTTTGCACAATTATGAACGTATAATCTCTTACTAATGATAAATCCTTCATAATTAATTGGGTAAACTACAGTAAACCCCCCAACCTAGAAGGTCATTTACGAGTTCATACCCGATTTTGGGGACATTTATGGGTACATACTCAACGTCGCGGAAAACCTACAATTTACCCCCTCCGTTAGCCAAACTGTTAGTGAATCTGTTAAATGCTGATGTGTCAAAAGTGGGACCCCTTTTTTGATGACGTAGACTTCCACGTGGACAAAAAAACTAATAAAAAATTATGTACATTTTAAAATCATTAAAACATGAATAAAAAATAATTTAAAAAATTAGATAGATGGCTACGTCTTCTTCGTCGGTCGCACAGCTTTCGGAATTAGAGAAGAAGATCAAAACCAGCAGATGAAGCAGCGACATTCCTCTACACCACCAACCTCGTCCACAGCTACAGCAGCTACTCCACCTCAGAAGAAAAAGAGAAACCAACCTGGAACACCAAGCAAGTATCCAACAATTAATTAAAATTTTGTTTTCTTTTGTAGCTAGCAAGGATCTAACACAAAAGAAAATTAAATTAATTTTTGAATTCATTCACAAGTGTTCCTACTTTTTTTTTCCTTCATCACAGATAAGGAACCGTAAATTGGGAGAGGAATCAATTGAAATGGGAAAAATACAAACACACATATATACATATATATAAATATACAGTCCCCTTCAATTGAGGGATCTCTCAAATAATTTTATTTGAGGGACGCCCATTAGAGTACCCTACAATTTTTTTCCTAATGATCCAAACCATCTATTTTTTAGGTTTTCATTCATAGATCATCCTTATAAAAAATTAGAGAAATCGGAAACCGTTTCGACATCCAATTATGTCTTACAAAATCAATGAACACGGTGCTTCAAGAAAGTACTAAAATTTCAATAACTCAATTGAGTGGTCAAATGATATCGGATTCAAGTGATTTTTTGTAGAGATGATCTTTGAATGAGTATCTACAAAATAGATGGTTTGGATTAGTGAAATACAATCCGGAGTGGGGCTTATAAGGGGTGTCCCTCAAATAAGCTTATTTGAGGGATCCCTCAATGGAAGCTCTCTGTATAAATATATATAGATATGTATAAAAGTTTATGCTTTAGTTGGATTGAAGTGGTGCGACCGTGACAAACCAGCACGCTTCCTCCTCTCCTTCTTCCAAGACCATAGGGTTTTCGCCATTGGCCACGGCATGGTCGAGATCTCTAGGAAAGGGTTGCTGTGGACATTAGGGTTAGGGTCCGGGGGTGATTGGGGGGCGTGGTCGTCGGCTGTCATCGGCGAATCGGCGATGCTCAAGGTGTTGTCAATGGGTTCAGAGAGGAAAATAGCGTTGCACTTGGGGTCCGGCCACGAGGGCAGTGCGAATGTAGAGAGGGTCGCCATTGGAGGAGGATTTGGAAGGAATTTTCGAGGGTTGATTTGATGTCAAGAGCTAAGAGATAACAGTGTGCTCAATTTACTATTTGCGCACAGAATTGGAGAAAGGAGAGGAAATTTTTGGGGAATTTAGGGACCGGCTCGCGAAGTCATGTTTCGCCGGAAACCCATCTGAAACAGAGGGCCCCACTTGCCAAACCTGGTTCACGCTCATCTCCTCCACCTTCAACTTCACAAAGAGCCTAAAAATGCCACCGGATGACTCGGCGCTGGTGTCCCAGACATTGAAAGCGAGCTTCGACTTGACGATATTGTTGTAGGAGCTGATGTTGAAGGTCTTGATGTCCATGGAGTCGTCGGATTTCTTGTAGGTGAGTAGGGTCTGGGCCCCCTTCATGCCGGTGCTGGGGAGGGAGAGAGGGTTGGAAAAGAGATGATAAATTTTTTTTCTTTTTTTTTTTTTTTTTTTTCTTTTTTAATTATTTTAATGATGATTTAAAAATTATTTTTAACATGTACAAATGGATGGGGCAAATTGTAGGTTTTTCCGAGACGTTGAGTATGTACCCATAAATGTCCCCAAAATTGGATATGAACTCGTAAATGACCCTATATGTTGGGGGGTTTACTGTAGTTTACCCTAATTAATTATATGTTCAAAAGATTGTAATCCATGTGCAAAAAACTTAGTAGAATGCATAAAAACATTGCTTAATAGAATGCAATTGTATTTTTCTTTGCAATTCGTAACTTTTGTTCTTGCAATTGAATTTTATGCACATTATTGCAAATGTGGTTGCAATCATGTTATACATTTTATTCCTAGAAATGCATGCTTTATAAGTTTATCTTGAAAATACAAAATAAAATTAAACTATATATTTGGATAAGTTTATTTCCGAAAAGGAACATTTGAATTGATTTTGTCTCCTATTTGACAATTGCCTTTGATACCATAAAAAAAGGAAAGAGAAAAAAAAAGGTATGATTTACGAGGTTTGCATCATGATTACAACTTTAAGGTTCTTCTAATCCCTAATCTTGTAATGTGGATCCCATAACATTGTAAAATGGTGATTTACAACATTATGGATTTGGTGAACCCCTAATGTTGTAATCCAGGAGCAAAACCTTGTAAACTGTTACCAAAACTTATAAGTTATGAGTTTAGGGATTCTTTTTACGGCGTTATGGTGCCCTCAGTCTTTAATCTTGTAAAGCATTTTTTTACTAGAATAATGACTCATTTTACATCACTAAGGTCCACCATTACCAATTCCTTGTAATGTGGATCCATAACATTGTAAAATGGTGATTTACAACATTATGGATTTGTTGAACCCTAACGTTGTAATCCAAGAGCAAAACCTTGTAAATTGTTACCAAAAACTTGTAAGTTACGAGTTTAGAGATTCTCTTTACACGTCAGCATTTAAGGTACCATCGGTCCCTAAGGTCCACCATTACCAATTCCTTATAATATGGATCCATATCCTTGTAAAAGGCTAGTTTACAACATTATGGATTTAGTGAACCCTAACGTTGTAATCCAGGAGAAAAACCTTGTAAATTGTTACAAAAACTTGTAAGTTACGAGTTTAGGGATTCTCTTTACGATGTTAAGGTACCCCTCGTATCCCAAAATTGTAAAATTGGCCATTAATCTTGTAAACCCTCATTTTACTAGAATAAGGACCCCAATTTACATCCTCATGGTCCGGACTTACCTATTCTTTGTAATTTGGATCCATGTCCTTGTAAAATAAGGATTTACACAACGTTAAGGATTATGAGAACCCTAACATTGTAATCATAGTACAAAAACCTGTAAATCACTACCTAAATCGTGTAACTTACATGTTTATGGATCCATTTTACAACGTTTTGGTACCATCGTATCCCAAAATTGTAAGATCGGCCCTTAATCTTGTAAACTCTTATTTTACTAGAATAAGGACCCCCAATTTACATCCTCATGGTCCAAACTTACCTATTCTTTATAATTTGGATCCATATCCTTGTAAAATAAGGATTTACAACGTTAAGGATTATGAGAACCCTAATGTTGTAATCATGGTGCAAAAACCTGTAAATCACTACCCAATTTGTGTAACCTACATGTTTATGGATCCTCTTTACAACGTTATGGTACCTTTGTATCCCAAAATTGTAAAATCAACCCTTAATCTTGTAAACCCTCATTTTACTAGAATAAGGACCTAATTTACATCCTCATGGTCCGCACTTACCAATTTCTTGTAATGTGGATCCATATCCTTGTAAAATAAGGATTTACAACATTAAGGATTATGAAAACCCTAACGTTGTAATCGTGGTACAAAAACTTGTAAATCACTACCCAAATCGTGTAACTTACATATTTTGGATCCTTCTTACAAGGTTATGGTATCCTCGTATCCCAAAATTGTAAAATCGGCCCTTAGTCTTGTAAACCCTCTTTTACTAGAATAAGGACCTAATTTACATCCTCATGGTCCAGAGTTACCAATTCCTTGTAATGTGGATCTGTATCCTTGTAAATGGGTATTTACAACATTATGGATTAGGTGACCCTAATGTTGTAATCTTGGTTCAAAAACTTGTAAATAGCTACCCAAATCTTGTAACTTATAAGTTTTAGGATCCTCTTACAATGTTATGGTACTCTCATATCCAAACTACTATCAATCACTATCCAATCATATTCCAATTGCCAAACAGGAAGGGCATAATTGCATGACCCTTATGCAATTGCATTTTCAAAAAGTGGAAACTTGATAACTTGTATAACGGGTAACCAATTTTTTAAAAAAATCTGGGAGCATCATAAAGGACAAATGGTGCATGGGTGCACCTAGTGCACCATTGAAGGTGCCCATCATTAAGTTCCAATAAAATAAGACCCATTACTTGCTAGACACGTGGATACACAAATGCTTGCTGCATCTTCTTTCCTTTTTTTATTATTGTTTCTCTTTCTTCCCTTGATTTTGCATCTCTCTTTTTTTAAAATTTAATTTTCTCTTTCTTCTCTCAATTGCTTCTCTCTTTCTCTTTTTTAATTATTTTTTCTCTTTCTTCTCCTTATCCAAAGTGCCCATTGACATACCACAAAAACACCACCAACCTATATCACAAATAAGTCACAGATTTCAGACACCCAAAGACACAACAATTCAAATCGCATAATTAACCAAAACCAAAGGTGCCCATTTTATGAACAAGAGCACAAAATAGAGGGGTCACGAAAAATAAGAAGTAAATATTTCCCCAAAAACAGTAATGAATCAATAGGAAAACTAAAAACTAGAGCTACCCAGATGACCAACAATAGAAAAACCAATAATCCCCAAGATACCCAGATGAAAAAACAAGGGAAAAAAGAGAGGAGGACGAGGCTAAGGATGTGAGGAGGAAAAAAAAGAGAGAGAGAAAGACAGACGAAGAGAAGAAAAAGAAAACATAATTATATAAAAAATAAAAAAAAGGAGAGAGGCAAATTAAGAGAAGCAGCAAGCGTTTGTGTATCCACGTGTCTCACAAGTAATGGGTCAATCGCTTTTTAGTGATTGTGAATAGTATTCCTCGATTATAAAATAAATAAGTACTTTGTGTGGAGAAGGTTTGAGAGTTTTTATTTTTGTTCGAGTTTGAGATTTTTATTGTTGAGATAGGATTTCATGGGGAGATTTTTATTGTTGGGATAGGATTCCATCCCATGATTCATGACTAAGAATTTGAATCAGTCAAACTTATTTTGAACAGCTAGAAATTTGTTCATCAGGTTTTGAACACTACAATGTCCCTGATTGCTAGCTGGCTGTATGTTGACAGCTAGCGATTGCTTGTTGGTGAAGGAAGTGGAGCAAGAGAGATCCAAGCCCTAAAGTGGGCTCAGAAGCTGCTCTCTCATGATTTGGGATAGGCATGCCACTACTAGTGATACTCTTTTAGTAGAAAGAGGGAGTGAGGTGAAGATTAAGCCTGTTAAATTGTTGCACCCTTGTTTTCTTATCTTCTAATCAAAGTCATTGTGCTCTAAAGAGGGGAATCTGGTTTTAGATAGGTTCTTTTCTATGCCTCAATGAAGAGCACTTTAATATTTCACCTATTATGGAATAAAACGCAAGGTGGATGATGATTTTGAGACTGTCATCGGACAAAGAGTATAATAACGAGCCTTGCATGAGAAGTGTTCGATGGATAACATAATATTAGGAAGCAATTATGTATCTAACAAATACTTAATAATAAATACAAAGTAAAGCTGGTTCCAACAAAACTACGAGAGCCTTATCGGACGAAAACAAATTCCATCAGACATAACTACAATATACTTGAGACAATGCAGAAGGTATGTCTGATGAGCGCTTGTCAGAATATCTACAGTCATAACTTGTCCAAACCATAGATAGGAGTTTTGATTTAAGTGAGTTGGAAATCGAGACCAATTATCAAATCATACCAAGCGATGATGGCAGAGCATATAGGTTACAAACAATAGCAATGCAATTCCAATTAGGAGTTGTCAACTGGGAACTGGACATAGTATAGTTTGGGAAAAGAATAGAATTCCAATCAGGAGTTGTCAACTGGGAACTCAGAGAAACGAAGAGGATTCGATTCAAGACTTGGCTTTGGTCTGCTGTGAGACGCTTTGCAAGAGTTTGAGCCTGGGGTACTTCGAGGTTGTCGAGAGTAAGCGTATTTTGAAGACTATTCAAAACAGGTTTGAAAAGTACTTACCCTACACGTATTCAAGGCTAGAATTTGAATCAGTCTTCCTTTTACCTTACTGGTAATTAAAGAAAAACTTTATGTGGATGTAAATAGATGAATGCCTAGAGATGTGGCTCAATAAGTTAAAAATTGAAACTCACACAAGGAGAAAATCTTGGGTACGTAGGGCTGCCTAATCACATGGATTCCAGTCTGCTGTTTGGTACAAGTATGGGCTAGATTGCATTGGACTTCAAAAAAATTTGTTTTTAAATTAATTTTAATGTTTATTAGATTATTTAATATCATAAATAATTAAATTTATAAAAAAACCCAAAATTCAAAATAAGAATTCACATGAAGATGAAATAAAAATAGTCCATAAATTCACAAAATTAATGATAACTCGAAAATTATTTTAATACATTCAAATGATCAACAAATACTTAGCTCTATTTGCCATCCACTCATTAAACATCTCAGTAGCCAAATTATCCCTCCATGCAGACCATCGGATGTGGCAATGGTATCAATAGTGCCATGATCTACATTTGGTATCAATAGCAGAAGTCTAATACTGAAGTACTAATTGAGAAAGCAAAAATCTGTCCACACGAGAGAGAGAGAGAGAGAGAGAGAGAGAGGAGAGAGAGAGAGAAGAGAGAACATTTGGGAATCAGAAAGATTAATCTAAGATTTTGTTCCTATTGTGGTGTGTGAATGGGAGCCAAAAAGATTAATCTAAAAATATGTTTCCAATTATTTCAGAGCATTTGTTTTCCTGCTTTTAAATTCCCTGAGCAAATCAATGATTTTGACAAATTGAAAAGGGAAAAACATAAGAAATAAGGTAATTTAATAACAACCATGTGTATATCTCATTTCAGCTCTCTTTAAATTCCCTAAGCAAATCAATGATGGTGACAAATTGAAAAAGGGAAAACACAAGAAATAATGGTAATTTAATAACAAGCTGGTGTTATATATCACATCTTACATGCTCAACCAATCATTAACATTCAAACAAAAAACCCCATCTTCATAACAAGCACAGTTTTGAACAAACTAAACAGAGAAAGAGGTTAAGAAGCTGCAATTCCCCATCCACTTCATTCAACGACAAAGAAAGCAAAAAAGAAGTAACCCAATTTCACAGATCCACAAACTGAGAAGAAAAGTATTGGAGAAAGATGGGTATGCTTCATCTTCAAATGATTGAGATATAGCATTTGGAACCTTCACGGGGAACAATTGGACAATGCTTCATCTTCAAATGCCACAAGAGTGGAGAATGTTGAACCTATTGTGGATCATAATGAACAAGTCATGGATATTATAAATGATGCTTTTCCATTTGCATAGACCAACATTAATCAAGAAGGGGAAGATGACGTGCCTACCGCAATGGACAGTGCAGAGTTCGTACAATATGAACAACTGTTAAAAATGCCAACCAAGAGTTATATCCGGAGTGCGAGAGCTTTTTTGTTATCACGGCGATTGTGGAGCTAATGCACGGAAAAATAAAGTATCGTATGTCGAACCTGTGTTTCGATTACTTTTTGGGGGTTTTCAAGAGAATGCTTCCGACGGACAATTGTTTGCTGAAAGACCATAGACATGCTGAAAAGGTGTTGAATGGTCTTGGATTGGGTTATGAAAAAATTCACGCTTGCAAAAACAATTGCATGTTATTCTACAAAGAGTATGAAACATTGGATACATGCCCTATATGCAATGAGTCGAGGTTCAAAATGACATCTCAGAATAGAATGACTAAGATCCCACAAAAAAGTCATGCATTATCTACCCTTGAAACCTAGGCTACAGTGATTGTATATGTCGACACACACTACCACATACATGAGATGACATAAGGAAAAACGGGTAGACGACGATGTGATGCGGCATCCTGCAGATGGGGAGGCATGGAAAGAGTTCAATCGAACGTTCCCGATTTTGTTGCTGATCCCCGAAATGTTAGATTGGGACTTGTCACTGACAGATTCAATCCGTACGAGGTTCTAAACCAACAACATAGCACTTGGCCGATTTTAGTATTCCCATATAATTTGCCGCCTTGGAAATGCATGAAAAAAGAGTACATGATGATGACTGTTTTGATAACTGAGGATCTTGACAGGTCAATCGATGTTTACTTAAGGCCGTTAGTTGATGAGCTTAAGGATTTATGGACAAATGGTGTGCCACGTACGATAAATCCACTGGGATGATGTTCACTTTGCGGGCAGCAGTTATGTGGACTATGAATGATTTTCCCGCATATGCAATAGTTTTTGGGTGGAGCACGAAGGGTTATATGGCATGCCCTGTATGCAAGGAAGATGTAACTTATGGTTGGCACGCTGGAAAAGTTTGTTACCTTGGTCATCAGAGATGGTTGTCATGGGACCACGAGTGGCGAGAAAAGGATAAAGGGTTTGACGGGAACACAGAGCATCGCCTCAGACCTAGAGAATGGTCTAGTGATGAGATCTTGGAATAGCTTAAACTGTTTGGATTTTGCTCCATTCGGGGAAAACAGTTAGTCATACCAGACCTTCTACACATTTGAACTGGACGCACAAGCCTATGTTTTTTGAGCTCCCATATTGGTCGAAACTAAAATTGAGGCACAATCTCGACGTTATGCATGTTGAGCAAAATGTCTTTGACACATTGATGGGCACGATTCTAGATATCGAGGGCAAGACAAATGACACGATCAAAAGCTCGTCTTGATTTGGAAAGAATGGGCATACGAAGAGGTTTATGGATGAATAGTGACAGTGATAAAGCTAGAAGGGATCATGTATTTTTTCCATGAAACTGAATGACAATAAAGATTTTCTAAAGTTTGTGTCGTCTGTAAAGTTTCCCGATGGGTATGCTTCTAATATCGCGCGTTGCGTGAATGTTGACGGGCGTAAATTTACTGGACTAAAGAGCCATGACTGCCATGTGTTTATGCAACGCCTACTTTCTTTGGGTATTCGACACCTTTTGCCTGAAGATGTAGTGAAACCAATCATGTTGTTGTCCAGATTTTTTTCCCAACTAAAGGCAAAAACATTGAGAAAGATAGACATTAATCAGTTGCGCCATGACATTGTCCAAGTCTATGCAAGTTTGAGATGATATTCCCTCCATCTTTCTTCACAAGTATGATCCACGTGATGGTTCGCTTGTGAGAAAAGGCATTGCTTGCTGGTCGTGTCATCTATCGCTAGATGTATCCAATAGAAATGTATATAATCCTCATTATTTGTTTATGCATCATTTCCTTTTATTTTGGCAGGCTTCTCGAAGAGCTGAAAAAAACCTGTACGCAACAGGGCGATGCCCAAGGATCAATTATAGAGGCTTGGGTTCAATATGAGTCACTTACTTTCTGTGGAATGTATTTAAAAGATGTGGACACGGCTTTCAATCGTCCTCGGCGCAATAATGACGGAGGTGTGAGAAATGAGAAACTTTCTATTTTTGCCCAAAGCGCACGACCTTTTGGATATCCTGGTCGAGGAGAGTCGTTTTCCAAAAATGACATAGAGGTAGCGCATTGGTTCGTACTGAACAATTGTGATGAGATAATGGCATACTTAGATGAGCATGAAGAGATGATGAAGCGAGAACATCCATCACATTTGTATGCCAAGAAACACCGTGAATTGTTTCCACAATGGTTTTTGGAATATGTAAGTTATAAGTGTTTTGTATTTCACATATATATTGTATTATTTAATGTTCTCAAACTAACATGTGAATGTTTTTGTATAATATTAGGTGAATAAGTTGAAATCATCAAATTGCCCCACTTACAGTGACATATTGGGTGGAGTGTAAAACTATGTAAATGTCAAATTGCCACATCAGCCATCAAATTTAAATTTGATGTTTGGTATTTGATATCTCCCTTGGAGATGCTCTTTCTACTATATTAATTTGAGGGATATTGTCTACTTGTAATTAATCACATCAGGCTTTCAACCCTAGATGAGGAATAGAAAATCTAAGTCATTAAGCACAAAAGTAGCTGACACGTGACCTTTATCTATCACTACTCTACAACTCCATGTACATAAAATTTGAAGATAACAAAGATAAAAACGAAAACAAAGCAAACGGAAAGGGTATAAAACATGTAGCAATAACTAGTTAATAAACCAAACTATTAATGCCTTCCTCTAAAGGTTAAGGGAAATAGTCTATCAGTGCATGACAACCGTACTGATACTGATATATATATATATATATATATATATCAAACGTATGAGTGATTATCAAATGTTGATGCATTCATTCGTCTGCCTCTCTTTCATAGAACAGGCAAAATAGGGACGAAAGAGTTTTGATTTTAAAGCTACAGTTTGGTTTTTAGTGTGAGAGTAGAGGGAGTGAGAAATAAACAAGAGATTGATGGGAGTTGAATGTGGTCCATCGACACGTGCAAATGATGGCATTGTCTTGGCTAATGATGGATTCCCACCGCTTCTTCCACTGCGTGGGTTCCCACTCCTATCATGCCACCCAACTTCATCACCCCAATTTGTTTGCATCTCCTCTTTTTCTTTGATAACCCTTCAAATCAAATTATTTATATCAATCTTATGCTTTTTTTTTATTGGTCGAAACACACTTTCAATAACGAAAGGGAAGGAGAGGGCCACAGCCCGAATACAACCAAGAAACAGCACCATGTAAAACAAAAACCCAGGCTAACAACTGTAAACCCCAGTGTACAAAAAAGGAGCCACACAGGCCGACTACACCAGTTGAAACAGAAACCAAAAATGAGACGCCAACCAGCTAGGAAAAGCAACCTAGGACGCCGCCCCAGAAGACGAGCGTCAGCTCCTAACTGGGCAAAAAGACCTTAGCTTTGTGGAGGACAGGGAAGGCCATCACTTTGTAAAACGAACACCAGGGAGGATGGGGGTCTGTTGAGCCAGACCTCATCGCACATCCTCCTCTTTGCTGCAAGAGCTGCAGCATCCGCTGCTTTGTTTGCTCTCCTCGTTGCTACAAGAGCTACAGCATCCTCTTTGCTACAAGTGCTACTTAATTAATTAACAAACTCATCATCCTCTTCCTATTCCCATAGCCATCTGATCTGATCAGTATATGTTTTCATGAATTGGGATGTCCGCAGATCATAATAATAATAAGGGGTCTTTCGATATAGGTCCAATTTTGAGTTTGCACTATGAATGCAATCCACCTCTCTTTTGACGTAGAATTGGGTCCAGCAACTCAACAAGACATCCAAGTATACAAAGCTTTGGTCACCGTTTTTAAAACATTTACATATATTGCTATTGTACAGCCAATCCTCTAAATTTTATTAATTACTACAATCAATAAATTATTATCACATTCTACAATTAATCTTAATTCATCAAAAGTTTTCAACCAGTGAATACCTTGTGGTGAGGTATATATGTCTTTGGGTGGTTTGATTTACTTGCTTTGTAGGTTTGTGTATACCTCCTTCATAGGTAATTTCATATCATATATCTCCTCCATAGGTAATTAACATTCATATGTATACCTCTTCCATAGATAAATAGCATTCATATGTATACCTCCTCCATAGAATTGTAAGAAGAAAAACAAGGAAGAAGAAAGAAGAAGATGAACAAGATGAAGAAGAAAGATTATAGGAAATTTATTTATTTATTTTTTGTATCAGCACATGTTTATGGAATTTTCAAAATTAAAATGGATAGACAAGAAAATATTTTATAAATTCAAATCATAATTAACCAAAAGGTCAAATATAGTAATTATTGGCCTAAAATTAATTTCTTACCCGTTTATGAATTGCAATCAGAATCAATAGTTGTATTAATTAGCTAATTAATATGATATGAATCAATCTTTCCCGATTTAAATCATAAGGGCATGATTGGAACATGAAAATAAATTTAAAAAGAAAAAATATATATCATTACATCATAAAATTAGAAAAGTAATGTAATCCTACATGGCATTGAAGTCAGAGGACTTGGATTACTAACAATACGTGTGTGGATTGCACCCAAATTCTATCATAAGAATTGGACTTATACCAAATTATTTATAATAATAATAATAGTAATAATGCTCGATTGGATGTGACATTTTTGGCCAATATCAATGAGCATCATGCATCCTGCTGGCCCTTCATTTGGTAATTCAAAGAAAAGCTTTCGAGATAGTCGTTAAAAATAAGGCCAATCGTTTGTTTAGTTGGGAAACATTATCTATGCTATGTGTTCAATTTCTTTGCTTCTTCAAACAAAAGGCACACAAATGATTCAAATTATTAGCTTGACAAGTTTGAAGGGGAAATGTCCTAATCCTGTGTTAACTAATTTCTTAGCTTAAAATATCTGCAGCAGGAGGGTAAAATTTAAAAGGTTCAATGAGTGGTCCTTGTTACTTGCATGCATGTAATTATCTAAAGCAACCTTAAAAATAGTAATTTTTGGTTTTATGGATCGACATAGAACGAGTTAGGTGCAGAATGATGGACACCTACCTAAGTAGGAACTAGGAGCAGATTTATGTTAAGTGAGGAAATTATTTATGTTGTCGTGATTGAAGGGAGCTGATAGGATGTAAAGATACAAGAAATTTATATATATATATATTTATGCTTACGTGTGAGTCATGTGTAGCTAATGGCCATTAGCTATTAGATTATTAGCTCATAATCTTTGAATTAATTTCAACGATGGTATGATTATCGCACGCATATACGTCAAAGTAGAATGACAAGTGTCCAATGAAATTACAAGTAATTGGTCACCTCACCTTTCAAAAACGATCTTCCACTTGTGGGAGTATCCAATTTTCATTTTTCACCATGCAAAGGTACACGCAAACTTACATAATTCAATTTTGTTTTCACCTCTTCTGTCACTCTTATTTTAGCCACCACCTAGTACAAGTAAATATTCCTAGCTAGCTTACATAATTCAATTTTGTTTTCATCAAGGAAAATATCTTGAATCAAATAAAAATATTAATCATATGCATAGTAGTACATAAATACCTGCCATTGATGAAAGCTCAAAAGAAAGTCTTCCCCTCTCTGTAGAGTTCTTATGTTCAACTAGCAATAGGGACACACTATTATATATGTGGATTTTTTTATTACTCTTTATTATATCTGTAATGATCAACTTGAAATATATAGACTTTGCCAAAAGTGCTGTGTGGAAAAGGTTACATATTTTCCTTTTCTTTTTTTCTCTCTCCCAAAACTCGAGAGTGCTAGTGCATTTATTAAAAATAAAATAAAAGAATTCCAAATTAACAATCCAAAATTAAGCAAATTAAAGATTAGACAAACCAAATCAATATAACGTAATCACACAAAAAATAATAAATACACCGGTCCTACCAGGTGAGAAGAAATCAAGGGTAAAATAGTTTGCCAAAGCAATTACCATGTACCCCACCTAATTACCCTAGCAGAAATTATCAAGACTTGACCGAGAGGTCATATCAAGAATGCAAAATAACAATAAGGATTTTTGGTCGTTTTACCCTTGAAGTATCATGCTAATCGGCACTTTATCCTACTAATTGGCACTTTATCCTAACAATAATAACTACAGACGCCATGTCACTGAAAAAATTAGATCATTTTTTTTGATGCATTGCGTTCATTCAGCTTCCGGTGGGTGGCATTTTAAAGTCGTCATGGTTATTCATTCTAATCATTCATTTCAAATATACTTTTCACTGTATTGGGTTAGAATTTTTTAACTGTTTGCCTTTTCTCTTTCTTACAGAAGAAAGATTGAGAGGATGAAGAATCCAATACAAAAGTTTAGATGATGCTCTTACCTTTAATTGCTTGCCACCATTAGCTTCTGCATTACTTTTTTGTCCCTATATATGTCATTAATTCTAGCAAAGCCGTGACAATGGTTAATGATTGTTCAAAATCTAGCTATAGTGTCAAATGTTTTGTTAAGTTGTAAACGTGGCTCATGCCATTAAGGAAATTAGGGCTTAACTCTCAATTCGAAGAAAAGATTAGAGTTAAACCTTTGCACTCAGGGCTTAACGATCTTGGGGAAAATTTAGGTATCAAATTGAGATGGGCAGCATTGAGGTTAGGGTTTTGACACTATTTTGAGGTGATATCGAGGATTTGTGGAACTTTTGCTGTAGTAATTGTGAACATTATTGTTTCCTAGTGGTCTAGGGAATCTTAGTGGTACTTAATATTGTGCAGGCATCCTACTCCAAAAATCCGATGGCTTACTCTGCTTCAGAGAGCCACTGTGCCTTGTTGAGCAAATATTTCTATATAGGCTTCAGAAATAGCCTGGTTATGAGCATCATTGCATATAGGCTTCAGAAATAGCCAGCCGGTAGACATATTTTCACCGCCTGGGACTCGGGGTACCAATAATTGGCTGCTTGCGTGCCAAAAAAAGTAACTATTGTTTCTAATTGTAAGTGAAGCTAAACTAAACTCTTCTTCTTTATCTAATAGACAATGTGAGAATATGATTAGTCAAGCTCTCTCTTTTGTTACAGTAGATACATTAGTGTTTGTCGAAAGTGAAGATATAAAGATAATAAAGCAACCAATTGGCAGAGCACGTCTGAATGCACCACGATCTCTCTCCTACTCAAAGTCCAAAGGTTCACACCACCCTTGCACACTCCCCTCACGAAAAAAGCAAAATAGGCCGGTGTGTGCGACCCCATTTTTGTTTGGGTGGGTGGGTGTAGTAATTTTCAGGATCAAGTAGGCCTTTTTTCTTTTTTAATTGTACTAGAATTCAGGTCCACTAGATCCTGAAAATCAAACACTACTCCCCAAATAAAAATCGGGTCCCACGCATCACTGGCCTATTTGCCCTTTTTGCGTGAGGAGAGGAGAGTGTGAAAGGGTGGTGTGAATCTTCGGACTTTGAGTAGGAGAGAGAGTGTCGGGGTAAGGAGTTTTTCAGGGGTAAACGAAGACTGGTTTACTGGTTTGTACGTAAATGGTTTACTGGTTGGTAAATGGAGACTGGTTGGTAAATGTAATGATGACAATATTCAAATACATTAACTTGGACCTTATTTTTTTGGTTGGCCATGGAGTCAAAAGAGTTTATGGCTTGCTTTGGGCACTTGGGTACTTATGATATCTTAGGGATCAATGAAATTTCTCTCCTAATCTCCTCAAATCAAATCAAAATTGTTAAACGGAAACCATCAGGTTTATTCAACTTACTAGTGGGGTGTGTAAACTAGTGTTGAGAGAGTAATAGCGTGAGCGGAAGCTCAGTATAGTCAGCCGACCTTGAGAATTTTGCCCATCAACAAACACTCTAGACAACTTTATATGCCCATAACTTTATTAGACCATCACACACATCACCCATTAGACAAGAAATTAGTGACGGAGCCATAAACTTTGACAGAGGAGGCACCTCAAATATTAAAATATATTTTTCTTACGGTTGCATTTGAATTAATTTTTTACGTGATACTAAATTCCTAAATTTGATTACTACACTCTATTATTTTAGATATCACATTCACTATCTATTTATCATTGATACTAGCAAAAGATATTAACTCAAATCAAATGTACTTTGTCAGATATACAAAGATTTGATAATAAAAGATTTGTAATTGTGTTAAGAAAACAAAGGTCTCAAGAAAGTTTAGAGGGGGGCATTGGATCCCCCAATACCCTAGCTCCCTCTCTGCTCCGGACTATATCCTGCTATATAATCTAACTCACCAAATGAATATAATAGAAGAATGAATGTTCCAACATATCGCATGGTACAAGGTATTAAACCCTAATATTCCGATTATTCTTTGGTGACTACTAATCCCAAATATTCCTTGTATATATACAACAACGTAATTAAAACTGCCAGACAAAATCACATCCGCAGCATGTCAATAGCAGCCGTCACCATTTCAATTTGGATCTACAAATTTTTTTATGTCCCATCATGAGAAAGAAACATGAACACCAATAGGAAAAACGAAAATTTTCCACCCACATAAAATACCTTTTTAGTCCAAGTTGATTATCAGGACTTTATTTATTTATTATTTCCATTTTTATCCTCACCTCTATATACAAGATGGGTCTCCAAATGAAGCTGAATACCTGCACAAGGAGATGGCAACACAACCCTTTACTGGTCCCTCTAGAACAGTTTGTGAAACTGAAACAGAGCTCCCACGAAAAGAAACTGAAACAGTGCTCCCACAAAAAGAAACTGAATCAGAGCTCCCGCAAAACAGAACTAGTGAGGCAGAAAATAGTAATAACCAGACCTGCAACATTCAGAAGAATGTAATTACCGCAACAAAAAGCAAACGCGCTGGGGTTTTCGACTTCAACAACGAATATCATGAAGGTGGTGCTGTTGATCATCATCAAGGAAGGAAGGTTCAAAACAAAACTGACTACAACATTGATGGCAACAAGATTGATTCAAAAGAAGGGGAGTTTGTTGGGATCAGTAAATTTGGCAACAAGTACTGCAACTCGAGGAAAGACGAAGCAAGAAGCTCGAGCGAAGAAGAAGGAACGAGCAAGCCATGATATAAGCTTTGGTAAAAATAAATAGGCGAAAAAGTAAGGGAGCTGCGCTGCTGAATAAAGAAAGAGGCTGGAGTTCATTTCCATTTTATAGTCCATGTCTTTGTTTCTTTGTAGTGTCTACTATTTGAATGTGGTTAGTTACAGTATTGGAGTTGAGAATATGGTCTCTTGGGTCGATCTGTGGAATTTATATATTGATTTTCAGCATGAAAAATACGTTCTAAATGAGAAAAGTAATTTTGAACCCCGAAGTCATGCGGGTCTTGATCAAAATCATAGAAGGATCAACCCCTAACATATACTCATCAGTAATCTGTGTGTATTTGAATTTATTAATTTGCGCAAACAAGAAGAGGAAACTTTCCCGCATTCGAATGCCATGAACATCTGAAAGTCTAATTCTGAGCATGAGAAAGAACTAATAACGAAGAAATCTGACTTATTGATTGCCACAAAACCAGTCCATACATAAATCTAGTTTTTCATGCCCCATAACATGTGGTAGAGTCTTGACCTGCCCCATAAGATCTAGTTTTTCACCAACTATTTATTTTTGTTCTTCTCAGTCGTGCCATTTTTTTCACTCAAGCCGCTTGCTTCATTTTTTGTTTTGCTTACTCACCATTGATATATAAAAGAGAAAAGAAGAAGCAATAACTAGAAGAACAAGAAGACCAAGAAGAATTGGTATGCTCGACTTCTTGTTGTACTTGTTGCCAACTTTGCTAATCCCAACAGGCTTGCCTTTGTTTGCATAAAATGTATTGCCACAAATGTGTTGTGGTTTCGACCCCTCCTTGGTTGATGAACATCAACGCCACCTCCACCTTCTTCGTTGTAAGCATCGTGAATCCCAATATCCATGCTTTCAATTGCGAAGAAATCATTCTCACTAATGTTGAAGGTCCCGTTGCTTTCAACAGTATTTTCTGCCTCATTATTTTTGTTTTGCTTCTCTTTCTCCTCGGGGCTCTTGTCCAAGGGCGACCAGAAAAGCGGTTTCTTATCCTCTCCTGGAGGCTCTGATTCAGTTGTTCAGCTTCAGATTGAGATCGAGACCCATCTTATGTGTATGCAAAGATAAAAATGGAAAGATCTTCAAATAAGAGGAGGCAAATACTCCAAAATGAATTGGAAGACAATCTTTCAATAACTGGAAGTTACTATTGTAAACTAATTACATAAATTCCTTAAACCCTATACACACATAGAATCACATCAAGGAAAAGATGTTGAATCAAATAAAATTTCCTACTCTCTCTGATTTTATCCCCGTAATATATTATTCCCAACGATGTTGAAGTCATTGCCTCTTCCGCCCTTGTCTTTTTTCTTGGGTTGGAGAGTTTTGGTGCTCAAGGAAAAGAGAAGTTCACATTAATTATATAATAAATTATAATTAGTGCTTGCAATTATCAATTATCTAGCTAATTGATAACGTTGAAATTATAATTATCTTGCAATTATCAAAAGAGTACCCCTCTTGTCCTAATCAAAGAGGGACCGTACAGACTTTTTAAAGTGGCCATGCTTGTGGAAAAATTATACAATACATTGTACATCAAATCACTACTACATTTTAGTCTTTGCGCGACGAAAGGGTATTCGTCGCGCAAAAATGATTTTAGTCGCACATCATTATGCGTGACAGAAGTTTCGTCGCGCACAGTCCGTCGCGCAAAGTTCGTGAAGAAAGGATTTGCGCGACGAACAAATGTCATTCGTCGTGCAGTTTGCGCTACGTATAACAACTTCGTTTCAAAAAACATTTCGGGACGACCTCATTGTCCGTCGCACAAATATTTGCGCGACGAACAAGTGGTCGTCGCAAAAAAAACTGCGTGACGGAACCTTGTGCGACGACATCTTATTCGTCGCGCATACACATTTTGCGCAACGAAATTATTCGTCGCGCAAGATTAAAATATATTTGTCAATTTGTTATTTAAATGTTTTTGCGCGACGATTTACGTTTCGTCGCGCAAAAGCAATATATATTATTTAAAAAAATTATTATTATTTGATTTTTAATTTTGTAAAAAAAAATTTGGTTTTTTTTTAATTAAAATGAAATTACAATAAAAAAATTAATCGTAAAGAAAACATCTATTATATAAAATAAAATAAATGTATACAAATTGTAAAAGTAATTATAAAAATAAAAAACTAATCAAATAATGTTCCAAAATCTACTTGGTCATCTGCCACATGCGGCTCGGAGGTATGGGTGTCTGCAGGGGCCGTGGTGTGCTGGGGATGCTCGGGGTGGACGGGCTCGGAGGTCGACGCACCAAAATTCGGGATTGGAATGCCCGGACCGCGCGAGGGACTGCAGAATCACCGACATCTGACCCTCAAGCTCGGCAACCCGCGATGTCAAAACAGTCACCTGACTGTTTGCCTGCGACGATGACCGCGGTCGAGGTTCCCTCTGTCGGGCATTCCCCATCCCCCTACAATACGTTCCCGGCCTCCTCCCGAGAGTCTGATCCAACGTCTGCGTCAAAATCTGAAATCCAGCATCAGGCGGAGGATCCACAGACTCGATCGGAGTCTCGGGAGGAAGTTGGGAGGCGGACTCTTGAAGAACCAACTGGCTCCTCTCCACCATCGTCGTCTGTTTAACATTACATAAAATATAAATTCAAAAATGCATATAAATTGAAAGTGTAACATAAGAATTAAAAATACATAATACTTACATGAAGGGACTCGGCCAACTCATTCCCAGGTCGAACATAAACGTCACCAAAGACGTCGATCTCTGGGAATTTCGACCCCCCCCTTAATTGAACAAGAGAAGAAAATATTAGTATGAACAAAAGAAATTAATAATAATGACGTATTAAAAATTAAATATAAATTATATTATTCTTACCCGACGCCGTGCATCCATCCTATATGAGAAGGGCCTGGAGCCGGAATGGTGAAGAAGAGTCTTCTTCTTCCTATTGCCCTTATTCACTTGGGCTTTATTCTGTTATACAAAAAATAAAACGTAATAATTGAACTATAAATAAATTAAATAATAATGAGATATAAAAATAAAATAAACATTAAACAAATATTATTAAAAAAATACCACATAATCGGGCGCCTGAAAATGAGCGCAGAGCCACGCCCAACTATCCTCCCGCCCCTCAAGCTCCTTCGGGCAACCCTCCTGAAGAGCGACTTGCGGATCATCAAACGCCTGAAAATGGTGGTGCAAGTCGCTCTTCCACTGCTTGTACCTCTCACCGAAGAGTCTGTTGACGTACGCCAAGTCTCCTCGTTGATGTCCTCTAAGTCGTAGTTCGTCTGCAATAAATTGATTACATACATTAAGTAACACTACAAAAAAAAGGTTCATTACCGACCAAATGTTTCCCGAGGGCTCCCAAATTCCCTCAGTAAAAGTGTTTTTTCCGACGAAAAAATGTTGTCCGTTGGAAATATGTCATGAGACTGGAATTTATTTCCGACAAAGGAACAACCCTCGAAAAAGTCTCTATGGTCGTCGGAAATGTAATTTATTTGGCGGGAAAACTTTGCGCCAACTTTATTAACGACAAAAATTATGTTTGTCGGAAATAAGATGATTATTTTCGAGGGGATTCTCATCTCGTCGTCATTGTTTGACTATTTCCGAGAAGAAATATGTCCGCTCGGTGATGCTGTTATATTTACGACCAAACACTTCCTCATCGGTAATAGTTGTGCTTGTTTCTGAGGGCATATTCGCTTTTGTCGGAATAATATAACTATTTTCGAGGGCAACATATGGTTGTCGGTAATAATATTTCTATTTTACAAGGGGAATTAGCAGCCGTCGAAAATGATTATCTTAAAAAATTTATAACAAATTAAATAAAAATAAGAAAAATACACCGAAAAAAGCTATGCATTCCTTACAACAAATCCTTCGATTTTAGAGGTCTAAAATCATAATTCTACATAATTGAGGGATCAAAGAAGCAAGAGTGTTAGCTTATCAAACGTTAATTAGCGTTTGGTGTGTTTACAAACTAATTAAAGTTTTTGTTGTCACTTTGAAATTTTATAAGTAAAAGTAATATTTTCGAAGCTTTAGGACGAAGAGAATGTCACTAGGAGTTCATATGAATTTTCAATGGATTTTTCAAATTTTTAATGTATTTATTATGATTTATAGGTGTGAAATCATATAAAATCCATATTAAACTGAATTGAGTGACAAGTCGCAACTTCTTACAGGTGCTTTTTCTGTTGGTGATGTGTGTCCTCATACCACAGCGCCACATGTCATTTTTCTTACTTTTTTGTTGTTTATCTTAAAAAATTCATAACAGATTAAATAAAAATTTGAAAAATACAACGAACAAAGCTACACACTCCTTATGACAAATCCTTTAATTTTAGAAGTCTAAAATTATGATTCCACATAATTGAGTTCAAAGTAATTGGATCAAAGAAGCAAGAGCGTTAGGTTATCAAACATTAACTAGTGTTTGGTTTGCTTACAATCTAATTTGAGTTTTGGTTGTCACTTTGAATTTTTATAAGTAAAAATAATATTTTCCAAGCTTTAGGATGAGGAGAATGTCACTAGAACTTCGTAGGAATTTTCGGTGAAGTTTTTGGATTTTTAATGTATTTATTATGATTTTTAGGAGTGAAATCATATAAAATTTACATTAAACCAAATTTATGGACAAGTGGCAGCTTCTCACAGGCGCCACCAATCCTTTTTCTTCCTTTTTATTTGTTGCCAATTTCTGCCCAATTTGTTTTCCTATGGCCCTTTTTTTTTCCACGAAAATTCTAATTTCGCGCTTTACTGTTACCCAAACCCTAAAATTCCCACACCACTCTCAATCTGCCTCTCTCTCGCATTGTCTCCCTATGTCTCTCTGTCTTTGGTTCTATCTCTTTCGGCCACTCTTCCTCTTTTGCTCGAAGATTAGCCAGCAATCTCAACACTCCCCTCTCGTCATCGGTCTGTCTCTCTCTCTCTTAGTCTCTCTGTCTTTGATTCTATCTCTTTTTACCCAAACCCTCACTTCCTTTCTCTCATCTACAAACTCTCCAACTCTCACAAATATCTGAGTCCAACCCCAAAATAGCAAGGTTGTATATGCACCCTCCCTATCTTTCGTCTATCAATGAGCATGACTTGGAGAAGTGATTTTTTTTCCTTTCTATATATATCTGAATTTGGTTTTTTTCTGAGTTTCAGGTTTCGATTTTTCCTTGATTTTGGTATAAATTTGTCCGTTTGAGTCTTGGAAAAAGGTAAATTAAATTTTGTAAATCAGTTCGCTGCTTCATTGCTTTAATTTTGTTAACTGTTAATTGGTTTTTTTAATGTGTTGTTCTGTTTTTCATTTGAGAGGTCTATTGACTCTTTCTATTGCTATAGGCCACAAAAGATGTCAAGAACAGGTACTGATAAATATTTTGTTGGTGAAAGAATGTTGGATTGTCAATAATTTTGGTTGTCCTAACTTTTTTTTCGATGCCATTGTTTTCTTTAATTGAATATGAAAGATGAAGCTGTGGAACTCTAGTAGATAATGGTAAATTGGTGTATGAACGACTGACAAATGAAGCACGTGAGATGGTTGGGATATCTCTTTATAGGCTTTGTTTTATGATTTGAGTGCTGCTGTATTTTAGTTTTCATTTTGGCTGCTGTCATGTTATATTATAATGTTTAGCCCTGTTTTGCAGTCTTAGTTGATATGCTGGTTAGACTAGTAAACAACTTTTTTTCTCTTTGTCAAAAGGTTTGCCTGAATCTGCAAGGATCTCTCAATATGGGAGGATATATATTATTCTCTTTTCTTTTTATCTTACACAGTAGTGCACTTAAAAGACTTTTATAGACTTGTCTCTCTTACACTAGCACATGTTCTCTTACACTAACAGTGTGTTTCTGGAATGCTATATATTGTTGTTTTGTTGATCGATACAGGTTAGTGACATGAGGAGCACTCTGTGATTACCATGTTATTTCTTCAACGGTTCTTCTATTCTATGTGTACTCTTTTATTATTATTTAACTAGTTTTGTTGCCTCAGTTCTTTATTTGATCCATTTTGTCATGTTTTAGGTATGTTATTAAACTCTTAATCGTTTTTTTTAACCTCATAAAGATCAATTTGTTTTGATTCCTCATAATATTTTCTTTCATCCAAAAGAATATTTATATGTTTTCAATTCAGGATCATAACTATTTGTATGTAGGTGTGCTTGAATCATGGGATAAGGTTTTGCATTTCAAGGAAGCCATATTTACATACAAGTCACATGAAGACCTGAAAGCTGCATTCAAACACCTTATTCGGTTGGAAGTGGGCTTCGAGGACCATTGATATAGGATATATCTTAGGATTGTAATGAGTTTTTGGAATTTGTTACATTGGTCTTTTACTAATAATAATATATATTATTTTTCGGGCAACAATTTCTCATTGGAAATCTTTTATATATTTCTTTTACAAAATATTTGTACATTCCGACGACTTTTTACTCTCGATAATTGCTATAAATGTCGTCAGAAAAACATTTTTTTCGACGCACTTCCATGTTGGAAATGCACAATTCCGACAAATTATATTGATCACAAATAGTAATTTAGGGTCGGAAATATTATTTTCGGCAAATAGTCATTGGTCGAAATATAGTCGCAAAACAAAAGATCTTGATAAATAATTATTTCCGACAGTTGCATAAGTATTTGCGACCAGAGTTATGGTTGCAAATGAATTTGTATCATTGTTTTGAAAATGCATTTTCGACAGAAATTTAAGCAATATCGATGAAATATGGGCATCGAAAATACATTATTTCCGACGGAGTGGTTGGAAAAAAACTATTTGCAACCAGCGTTTTTTCGACGACTTCCGACGGCAATTTGCCGTCAAAAAAGGGTATTTTCGACTGCAAAACACCTTTTCCGACCATAAATCACCCTCGCTAAAGGCATTCTTTTTTGTAGTGTAATAGAAATATATAAAGTTTGAAAGAAAAATAATTAAAAGATAGGAAACATACCGACAACTGGCCGCGAACTTGCATCTTGATCTCGTCAGGTATGACCTTCCAAGACTTCCATTGCATCGGGCAATGGGTCCGAACGACGTGGCCAATGTCGTGGGCCAAGGAGCTATGCAAGTCCGCCGTCGGTGCAGCCCGATGGCGCTCGTCATATCCGATGCTGATACGACTGTTGGTCACCCGGGTGACCTTCGCCGTCTTCAGCTGCCGACACGGCCCTCGGGTGTTCCTCTTGGCTGCAAAGGGATATGACAATATTGTTACATATACAATCAAATTGAACCATAAAATTCCCAATTAAAAAATGTTATAAAAAAAAATGAAAGGGGAAGGGTATTACCTGGAGGTGCCCCCGAGGCACCAGTACAGTCAGTGGATGTGGTGTCGGTGGTGGTAGCGGGCCGGTGTCGCCGCCTAGCGCTAAGAGGCTTCACCACCGAAGAAGATGATGATGCAGCCGCCTGGGATCCCCCAGGACCAGCTAGCACATGGTCCTGCTCCATCAGTGCTGGACCAGTGGCAGCTGATACCGGCTAAGCCGGGGGCTCCGAACTCGATGTAGCCGTCACCGCCCTACGACGTCTAATCAAGTCTGACATCTGCACAATTTCACTAATCCAATGTAGCACATACAATGTCAGTAAAAAATTGAACTAACTAATTAAATCATAGTTTGACCTAGGGTTTGCGATTTCGGAGTATCCGGGACTCCGATCCACGATCCGTCGAATCCTAAACGATCCTATAAATACATGGTACCACATACGTGAGTTTCAGCTCGATCCAACGGTCTGAACATATCAAACCCTAAAATCGCACAATAGGTTCGAACCGTTCGAGACTCAAACGATAACCAAATTCCAATCCGAGCACACCTACGCGCTCGTGACAACGAAATGTTTGCACTGGGACAAAATGCCCTATGCCACAGTACCCCACGCGCCACCACACGCGTCGGCAGCGCGTGGGTGCCCTAAGCGTTAACAATCCCTGGGAAACCCTACAAATTATGGAGGCACTTTTGTTCTCGGACCTACCCCAAAAAACGGACGGATGTGGCCGGAATTTCAATTTCAAAACTGGCCGAAACCTAGGGTTTCAAATTCACTACCCTATGCACACAATCAATCAAATCCTACACAACCATCACTAGAGCATGAAAAATAGCCCAGAAAGCATACCTCAATTGTCGGATTTGGTGCCCGGAGGAGAGAGAACAACGGCGGCGAAGATTCGGCCTAAACGGAGGAAATCACGGCGGCAGGATGGACGGCGACGGCGGAGAAGCTCCTGCGTTCGACGGTGGTGGCGGCAAGGTCTGAATTGGGGCGAAGTAGGGGCTGAGGTCACGGCGGAGAGAAAGGGAGGTTTAGGGTTCCGTTTGAGAAATTGGGGAAGAAGGAGAAGATCGCGATTTTCAGAAAACTTATTCGACTTTGCGCGACGAATATATAAATCCGTCGCGCAAAGTTCATTAAAATAACCTTTGCGCGACGCAAAAATAAACTTTTCGTCGCGCAATATTATAAAAACTTGACCTTTGCGCGACTTAAAAACTTGATTTCGTCGCGCAACGTTGTGAACAGATATACCTTGCGCGACGAAAGAACTAGTGTCGTCGCGCATACTTGTCCAGCCGCCCAAAATTTTGGGATTTGATTTTGCGCGGGAAAAATACATGCAATGAGATTGCGCGACGAATGCGTATTCGTCGCGCAATCTAGCTGTTGCCAAAAAAATTTTGCACGACGACTGGACACGTGTTCGTCGCGCAATCTGGCTTTTGCCAAAAAAATTTCACTAAGTGTTGGAGCGGAGGAGGGAGCAAATTTTTTTCTTGATTTTGCGCGACGAATGGGCATATGTTCGTCGCGCAATCTGGCTTTTGCCAAAAAAAATTTCACTAAGTGTTGGAGCGGAGAGGGGAGCGAATTTTTTTATTGATTTTGCGCGACGAATGTACATATGTTCGTCGCGCAATCTGGCTTTTGCCAAAAAAAAATTCACCAAGTGTTGGAGCGGAGAGGGGAGCGAATTTTTTTAATGATTTTGCGCGACGAATGGGATTATGTTTGTCGCAGATGTTTTGCGCGACGCGTAAGTGTAGGTTCGTCGCGCAAAACCATACCCTAGTACCCTAAAACCTAAAACCTGTACCCTAAGCCCTAAACCCGAACTCCTGAACTAGTTTCAATGATCCAACAGGCAATCTTCTTTTTTCATAGTTTAAGATCGTATACGTCAAAAATCATAATGAATGAACATTCAGAGATTGAGTAACGGGACAAAACTTTTCGACGGTTCTAAACAAATTGTCCCGATTCAATGGTGATTTTAACTCCGATGTTGAAAATTTTTTACAGCTGCGGTTCTTGACCCTATATGAATACAGAGATGTAATTCGATCTTCAATTTCAGATATTTACAATACAAGACATCACATAATCTTATGTTAGACTGAATGAATGTATAAAGAAATTATTCAGTTTTTATGAATATTGTGTTTTTATGGAATACGCATTCTAGGAAACTAGTTTCAGTAATCTAGCCGTCAAATATGTTTGTTTATTCTTCGAGATCTTATATGTCAAAAATGAGAAAAAAAAACATTCAGAGCTCAAGTAACGGGACAAAACGTTTCGACGGTTATAAACGAAAAGTCATGATTTAACGGTTATTTTGACTCTGATTTTGATGATTTTTTACAGCTATACTGTTTAACCCTATGTGAATACAGTGAACTACTTCGATCGTCAATTTCAACTATATACGTGTGTATATATCAGAAATATATATATGTATATGTTTGTGCGACGAGGTCTGTTTTTCGTCGCGCGAAAGGCACTTGCGCGACGATATTATTTGTCGCGCAAATAATAGAGTATGCGCGACGTGTACGTTATCCGTCGCGCAAAATTTGCGCGACAATTATGCCTTCGTCGCGCAAGATTATTTGCATTCACATATTATTAATCTGAATTATTCATCATTACATATAATTAATTGTATGAAATTATGATTTATTCTATTTTCTTTTGATTTGAGAATGGAAGGATTGTTGATAATCTTATGTTCTTTGTATTCATTTTTTCGGTTATATGGTTTTCATTTTTTAAAAGTTTTTTGTGAAAATAAATTTAAACTTTATGATACAAATTAGTTGGCTATATTTATTTACCAATGGTTTATAACTACAATTATTTTAATAATGTTTCACTTGGTATCATATATAATGTTTGGATATAACAAGTACATATATGAAAACATTTGCATTACACAAAATATGTCCACTAACATAATAAATTACAAAAAAAATTAATCATTCATCATCTGAACTATAATAACTTTCGTTATCGTTGCTATCATCACTTTCGGTCTCCCAATCCTCTTCCTCCTCCTCCTCCTCCGCCTCCTCTATAACTACATCATCGTCGTTGCTCGGGCCAACTGCAACATCATACCGCGGAAGATCACCGAGGTCAATTGTAATTGACTGAATCGGTATTTCGATTGAAGACACTCCTTGTATTTGAAATGGCTCTTGTATAACATTAGTATATCGAAGTGTTTCCGCATCATTTTCCATTGAAGATTCTAAACGTTGGTCAGCCACATTGTTGACGTCGTTGTCAGTTGGGTCTAGTTCTGGTATAGCATACACGTTCCTGTGATCCATCTTTTGAACAACGTTCCAACCGCTTCCGGCTTTAGGGTCATCTAGATACACAATTTGTGTTGCCATGTTTGCCAAAATATAAGGGTCGTCATCATACCAAGTTCTGTTCATGTTCACAGATAGTAAGCCATGATCGATTTTAACACTTCCCGGCCTATTTGGGTTGGTGTCAAACCATCGACACTTAAACATGATCACTTGGTATCGATCTTTGTAAAGCAATTGCACGACAGTTGTGAGTTTGCCATAGAAATCAATGTCCGTACTTTCGCCTCCACCTGGGACATGGACACCGCTGTTTTGCGTACACAACTTGTCATCTCGTGCTTCGGCCAAAAATTTGACACCGTTGACATTACAACCCGAGAACAATTCAGCGCGAATCGGGCCGAACGCCAAGTTATATAACTCATCACTGTAAGTTGGGGAATTCGATGATTTCAACTTATTCACCTAATATTATACAAAACCATTCATATGTTAGTCTGACAAAATTTAAAAAAAAATTTATATTTCTCAAATAACAAACACTGATAACTTACAGAATCCAAAAACCATTGTGGAAACAATTCACGGTGTTTCTGGGCAACCAAATGTGATGGATGTTCTCGCTTCATCATCTCTTCATGCTCATATAAGTATCCCATGATCTCATCACAATTGTTCAGTACGAACCAATGCGCTACCTCCATGTCATTTCTAGAAAACGACTCTCCGCGTCCAGGATCTCCGAAGGGTCGTGCGCTTTGGGCAAAAACAGAAAGTTTTTCATTTCTCATACCTCCATCATGATTGCGAGGACGATTGAAAACCGTCTCCACATCTTTTAAATACATTCCGCAGAAAGTAAGCGACTCATATTGAACCCAAGCCTCTACGATTGATCCTTCGGGCTTCGCCCTGTTGCGTACACTTTTTTTCAGCTCTCCGAGAAGCCTGCCAAAATAAAACGATATGATTGAAATTAGCAAGCATGTGATAATGATGCATACACAAATGATAAGGATTATATACCTTTCTATTGGATACATCCAGCGATAGTTGACAGGACCAGCAAGTAATGCCTCTTCTGGCAAGTGAACCATCACGTGCATCATACTTGTGAAGAAAGCTGGAGGAAATATCATCTCAAACTTGCATAGGACTTGGACAATGTCATGGCGCAACTGAAACATGTCCGTTTTTTCGCAAAGTTTTCGCCGTCAGTTGGGAAAAAAATCTGGACAACAAAATGATTGGCTTCACTACATCTTCCGGCAATAGGTGTCGAATACCAACAGGAAGTAGGCGTTGCATAAACACATGGCAGTCATGGCTTTTAAGTCCAGTAAATTTACCCCCGTCAACATTCACACAACGTGCGATATTAGAAGCATACCCATCGGGAAACTTTACTGACGATACAAACTTTAGAAACTCTTTCTTGTCATTCGGTTTCATAGAAAAGAATGCAAGATCCCTTCTAGCTTTATCATTGTCCCTATTCATCCATAAACCCCTTCGTATGCCCATTCTTTCCAAATCAAGACGAGCTTTGATCGTGTCCTTTGTCTTCCCCTCGATATCTAGAATCGTGCCCACCAATGTGTCGAATACATTTTTCTCAACATGCATCACATCTAGATTGTGCCTCAATTTTAGTTTCGACCAATATGGGAGCTCAAAAAACATAGGCTTGTGCGTCCAGTTCATATGTGTAGAAGGTCTGATACGACTAACTGTTTTCCCGAAGGGAGCAAAATCCAACCGGTTAAGCTGGTCCAATATCTCATCACCGGACCATTCTCTGGGTCTAAGGCGACGCTCAGTGTTCCCGTCGAACTCTTTATCTTTTTCCCTCCACTCATGGTCCCATGGCAACCATCTCCGATGACCAAGGTAACAAACTTTTCCAGCATGCCAACCAGAAGTTACATCTTCCTTGCATACAGGACATGCCATATAACCTTTTGTGCTCCACCCAGAAACCATTGCATATGCTGGGAAATCATTCACAGTCCACATAACTGCTGCCCGCAAAGTGAACATCTTCCCAGTTGATTTATCGTACGTGCGAACACCGTTTGTCCACAAATCCTTCAGCTCATCAACCAGCGGCCTTAAGTAAACATCGATTGACCTCCCAGGATCCTCAGTTATCAAAACAGTCATCATCATGTATTCTTTTTTCATGCATTTCCAAGGCGGCAAATTATATGGGAATACGAAAATCGGCCAAGTGCTGTGGTGTTGGTTTAGAACCCCATACGGATTGAATCCGTCAGTGGCAAGTCCCAATCTAACATTTCGGGGATCAGCAGCAAACTCGGGGAACGTTCGATCGAACTCTTTCCATGCCTCCCCATCTGCAGGATGCCGCATCACATCATCGTCTACCCGTTTTTCCTGATGCCATCTCATGTCTGTGGCAGTATGCGTCGACATATACAATCGCTGCAACCTAGGTTTCAGGGGCAAATAACGCATGACTTTTTGTGGGATCTTAGTCGTCCTATTCTGAGATGTCATCTTGAACCTCGACTCATTGCATATAGGACATGTATCCAACGATTCATGCTCTTTGTAGAATAACATGCAATTGTTTTTGCAAGCATGGATTTTTTCATAACCCAATCCAAGACCATTCAACACCTTCTGCGCCTGTTTATGGTCTTTCGGCAAACAATTGTCCGTCGGAAGCATTCTCTTGAAAACCCCCAAAAAGTAATCGAAACACAGGTTTGACATACGATACTTTATTTTTCCGTGCATTAGCTCCACAATGGCCGTGAGAACGGAAAAGCTCTCGCACCCCGGGTATAACTCTTGGTTGGCATTTTTTAACAATTTCTCATATTGTTCAAACTCCGCACTGTCTATTGGTGTAGGCACATCATCTTGCTCTTCTTGATTCATGTTGGTCGATGCAAATGGAAAAACATCCTGTATAATATCCATGACTTCATCATTAGCATCCACAATAGGTTGAACATTGTCCACTCTTGTGGCATTTGAAGACGAAGCATGCTCTAATTGTTCCCCGTGAAGGTTCCAAATGCTATATGTCTCAATCATTCCATTCCTTACTAAATGAAATCCAACATTTTCAATTGTCTCCCATAACGTGTTGTTGCACCTCCTACAAGGACAACGGATTCTAGTTGCACCCGGGTTGTGTCTACGTGCAAACTCAATAAAATCCTCGATTCCATCCAAGTATTCGTCTGCGCATCTGTTCGGGTTCTGTATCCACCTTCTGTCCATAATTCCTGAAACCAGAATCACAACACAACAATCACAACAACTTCATACGAAGTTATAATGTCACCTTATGCCTCCGGTAAGGGTCCTATCCCATTCGGGAATGCATACTCCTGCCACGTAACCTACGACTACATGAGATTAGATTTCGACGTGGATGAATTTCGCCAGCATCTCGCTACAGTTCTTGAGGTGGCCATAGGTATAAATACCTATGTACCACCCGAAGAACGTACCGAGATGACAACGAAATCTCCACAATCGAAACCTAATCCTGTAGCCATAGATTACGTGACAACACTATGCATTACCAAACTGTCCAAATAATGGGACAATTCAAGAATTAATTGGACCGCAGTCATGCATTACGCATCCATGCACGAAATCCAACTAATCTCGAACGGAAAACTAAGTGTTACTAAACATAAAAATAAAAGCACGAAGTTAATTTCAATTAACTTCGTACATCACAACAGATTGTACTACGTTACGCACAACATAATATAAATATAACTTCACAAGAACATTTTAAACATATATAAAACAAATAAAATACCTTCTCAATTGTTCTCCACCAATCGCTAATTACAAATATCCCTAACGAAAACAAATTAAAAAACCTTAGTACGAACTTAAATTAATACTTTTAAACTAATGACGAAAAATACTTACCCAATCAATGTATTGAAATCCCAGCAGCGGCAGAGAGGTTGAGAGAGAGGCAGAGGCAGAATGCTTTGTTTTTGCATTCTGCCTCTGCAATGGCAGAATTCTAATATGAAGAAGAAGGACTTTGCGCGACAAACATACTTATTCGTCGCGCAAACTTCCGTCGCAAAAAACCAAATCATCCGTCGCGCAAACACCTGCCGACATCTAACTTTTGCGCGACGCTGGTACTTTCCGTCGCGCCACCTTTCGTTGCGCAAAAACAAAATTCCGTCGCGCAAAACAAGATATTCGTCGTGTAAACGTTGAACTTTACGCGACGAAATGTACTTACGTCGCGCAAAAAAATAAAATATCTCTTGTTCTCTTACGCGACGAAACGTCTTTCCGTCGCGCTAAATAAGGGGACTGTCCTTTTTGCGCGACGGAGAATTTATTCGTCGCGCAATGTTGCCTTTAGCGACGATATTTCTCGTCGTGCCCCCCTGCTTTTTTTAACTCTGTTTGCGCGACGAAAAATTGTTTTGTCGCGCATATACATTTTGCGCGACGAAAAAGTTTGGTGGCGCAAATTTTCAGTGGATTGCGCGACGAATAGTTTTTTTAGTCGCGCAAGTATGGTTTGCGCGACGAGTTGTTCTTCGTCGCGTGATCTTTCGTCGCGCAAATAGTGAAACATAGTAGTGAATTTGGAAAGCACCAATTTGAATAATCACCAGTGTTGACCAGGGCCGGACCTTGGCCAGGGAAACTAGGTCATCGCCCGGGGCCCACAATTGAGAGGGGCATAAATATGACGTTTTAATATGTGTTTAGGTCAGTTACCACGCGGGTATTGTATTTGTATGAGATATTTCTTAGAATGAACAAGAATTCCTTGTAGAGATTTGTAACTTTCTTGTTTTGTTTATGGTACTGGAAATGACTTTCTGTTTTTAGGTATTTTAGATGCACTGCATCCATATGGAATATATATATGATTTATCTACGTTTCAAGATATCAATCATTAATCTAACCAAAAATCATCTGATGACTACAATTTGTGGCTTATCCACTTTCCTTCATTGGGGTTTCTATTCAAGCAATGCTGGTAGTAAGGTAACATGCCAACAAGTGGCTATGAAAGAAAAAGGCTTGAACAAGAAGAAATAATACTTATGGCATGTACACAAGAAGAAAAAGATACAATCTTACTCAGCGTATATCAATATACTTATGGCATGTAGAAGAAGAAGAAATACATAAATATATATGAGAAATAAGATTCACATTCAGAGAAAGGAATGCAAAGTAAAGTTTGAGTATAGGAGGTCTGGTGGCCATACATCTCCAAACCCTTCCACTACGTAATAGTACGGGAAACTCCAACCGGCACCTTTCTTTCTCACTTATTGATTTTTCTCTTCTTCTTCTTTTTCTTCTTGGTCGTGCCTTCTTTTTCACTCAAGCCACTTGCTTCATTTTTTGTTTTGCTTACTCACCGTTAATATATAAAATAAAATATAAAATAAAGCTAGAACAAGAAGAATAAGAAGACCAAAAAGAAATGGTACGCTCGACTTGTTGTAGTTCTTGTTGGCAACATTGATAATCCCAACCCGACGGCTATTTTCTGCATAAAATCTATTGCGAGAAATGTTGTGGTTTCCACCCGTCCTTGCTTGATCACCACTTCCGCCTTCTTTGTTGTAAGCGTCTTGAATCCCAACATCTGTGCTTCCAAATGCGGAGAAATAATTGTCATTAATGTTGTTGGTCTCGTTGCTTTGATCAGTATTTTCTGCCTCACTATTTTCATTTTGCTGGAACACTTGTTCAGTTCTTTCTCCTTGGGACTCTTGTTCATAAAGAGTTCTAGGGTGACCAAGAAAGCGGTTTCTTACTCCCTCTTGAGGGCTCTGGTTCAGTTGTTCAGCTAAGATTGAGACCCATCTTATATATATATGCAAAGATTAAAATAGAAAGATCTTCAAATAAGTGGAGGCCAATACTCAATCAGATGGAAGATAATCTTTCAATAAATAGAAGTTACTATTGTACACTAATTTCATAAATTCCTTAAACCCTATACATGTAACACCCTGACTCCAAATTTAATCCCCTATTTAACTTATTTAAGTGAAATTACGAAATTGCCCTTGGGGTATGTGTAATTTGGTCATTTCTTATCCGGAAGAATTTTGGGATCACAAGTGGTATGACTATGTAGGTCGTACTGAGATGAGTCCGTAGACACGTAGTGGACTCAAATCGGAGTCGTAACGAAGAAGTTACGAGCAAAACATCACCAGCGTAAAACCGTAAATATTTCAAAAAGGGAATTTTGATAAAAGTCAGAAATGCCCTCATTTCTCTCTCTCTCCTCCCGCGCGTCTCTCTCTCTCCTCTCGCGCGACGACTGGAACAGCCGGCCACGTTTTGGTCGGCCGTGCTCTTGTCCGGCCACCAAAGTTGACGAGGCCAGTACCAAAATGACAAGGCCGCCATCCTCTTCCTACCCCAGCCAGGCCCCGCCGCCAGTCGTCGAGATTTTGCCAGAAAATCGAAGAGAAAAGCCCGGTTTTCTCCCGAAACTTCGTCGGCTTCGTTCTCCGTCGTTCGGCCGCCATTTTTGGCGATCCAAGTATGGAAATCCATCTATTCCTCGAGCTCTAGCTGATGGTTGGATAGGATTTCATTGATTTTGAGTGTTGATAGTTAGATTTTTGATTTAGGGTTCGACCGATTTTGAGATTGCGATTCCGGCCACTTCCGATCAGTTTTTAGGGTATGCCCAAGAACAAAAGTGACTCCAAATAGGGTGTTACACCTAGGGTAGGAGTCTTGAGCCGAGATTTTGAGATTTTACAACGATGCTTAATCGCTTTAGACACCCACGCGCTTCCAGAGCTTGTGGCGGTGCGTGGGCACTGTAGCTCAGGGGCATTTTTGTCCCAATGCAATCCCATTGATGTCACGAGCACGTAGGTGTGCTCGGATTCCAATTTGGTTAACGTTTGAGTCTCGAAAGGAAATCGCCTATTACGCGTTATCCGGGTTCGATAGGTTTGGACCGTTGGATGGTCTTAAATTTGTTATATATTGATCTAGGTATTCCTAGGATCGTGTAGGATCCGACGGATTGTAAAACGGAGTCTCGGATACTCCGGAAATGCCAACCCTAGGGTTAGGTTTATAGTAACCGTCCAATCGTGCGATCATTAGCGATCCGACCGTCCGATCTGGACCAAACTTGCAGGATGTGTGTCCTAAGCCTTGTAGAATCTATAGGAACTTTTGGAACAGGATTTGGAGGTCGTGGGCCCCGCGGGCCTGTTTGACCAAGGTTGGGTAGTTTGCCCCTGGGTTGACCGTGAGACTTCCTAGGTAGCGTTACCTTCCTAGGAAGATTAAAATGACCGTAGTGACAGGTCTTGATTGTATGTTGGTTATGTGGGATTAGGATATCAGTTTATGATTCTAAATTAGGGGATTATCGGATGTTAGATTGTTGTTGAGGCTTCTACAATATTAGAAATTAATATATATAGTTATGTGTGTATATAAAAGTGTAAAAAGGAGTTTAGAATGTCTGTTTGAAGTGCTATATGCACTACCCTATGTACCTCCCCGGATATTGATGACACGTAAGTACCACCCTATGATTGTGAGGTCCCACGTGTCGTAGGATTATCCGGTATGCGAACAGACCCCACATGCGACGATGGTAGTAGTACCGGCATATGGAGGGATTTTGTGATATTGTGTTGAGGTCACACGTGTCGTAGGAGTAGCCGGCGTGTTGACAGACCCTATACGCGGCGTTGTTATATCCGGCGTATGGGGAGATATGTGATTGTGTTGAGGTCACACGTGTCGTAGGAGTAGCCGGCGTGTTGACAGACCCCATACGCGGCGTTGGTATATCCAGCGTATGGGGAGATATGTGATATTGTGTTGAGGTTACAAGTGTCGTAGGAGTAGCCGGTGTGTTGACAGACCCCATACGTGGCGTTGGTATATCCGGCGTATGGGAAGATATGTGATATTGTGATTTAAAGTAAAAGGTTTTGGAGGAAGAACTGCGTGTGGCTTGATCCCTCAGTAAGGGTACGTAGGCAGCCTTGGGTTACTAGGTGCAGCCGCGGGTTAAACCTTGGACCTTGTCAATGGTCCTGAAACTCGGATGGAAATGAGGCTTGATTGAATAAATATTTATTATGTTGTTATTTTATGGAGGCGATCGAGTTAGATATTTGGGGGAGTTAGATGATAGTGGATGCATGCTAAAAATTTGGGAAGTTAATTTATGTTATGTGATGGCCGGAGGCCAATCATTGGGATTGCATGAAATTATAGTGCATGCTATCGGTTGGGTTATAAAAAGGTGTTTTATGCAGGTTGAAATTCTAGGAAATGATCAATTTACAGGGGAGACTCTGCCGAAATTTCAGTAGAAAGTCTCGTACCCTTACTCCTTTTAAGGAAATGAAGATACAGTTTCAGAAGTGGGCCTAACATCGGGGTGATGTCGGGAATTCCACAGGATTCATCTCGGGTTTCGAGAAATTCGAGGCAGGTCCTATCAATACACATATAGAATCACATCAAGGAAAAGATCTTGAATCAAATAAAAATATTAATCATAATAGTACATACCTGCCATTGATGAAATCTCAAAAGAAAGTCTTCTACTCTCCATAGAGTTCTTATGTTCAACTAGCAATAGGGACTAGATGTTTTGAACGGGTGTTTCTAAGAGAGCATGGACCACTTCTTGAAAATGGAATAAGTTACTATTATGTATGTTTTTTTATTTTTTTTTTTATTATGGTTTTTTTTTTTTTTTTTTTTTTTTTTTTTTTTTTTTTTTTTTGTTTTATTAATCTTTGTTTATATCTGCAGTATTCCAAATGATCAACTTGGAAAATTCTTTCCAGCAAAAAAGAAGAAGAAAAAACTTGGAAATGTCTTGTGAAAAAGGACTTTGTGTGTGTGGAGAAAGGTTCAAGTTTTTCAATTTTTTTTTTCGAATCTCGACAAAAGAAATGAAATAAAATAAAATGATTACAAACTAACAATCGAAAAAGAAATTAAGCAAAATTAAGCTTAGGCAAACCAAATCAATCCAAAGATACCAATGGAACGAAGATTCAATTAAGTTGATTTTTATAGTTAATCTCAGTTATTTATCTGAAATAATCATGGGGCATTCTAAAAGACTCAGTTCTTCCTCCCCTCTTCTATCTTATCTTCTCCTTTCTCCTCTTCCCCTATTTTCAGATACATAATTTTTTCCCTATTTGTCTTCGTTTTGTTATGATTTTCCTCCAACCATCACATGCGGCTTCATCTTGGTGTCGAATCTCCATCTACATTTTTGGCGTCAGATCTCCACCATCATCATTTTTGCCCTTTTTTGTGTTTGGAACAAGTCACAAAGACTCTTTGGGTTCTTTGTGTAGTTTTCATATCTCCTTTTGTGAGTAGTTTTCATATCTCCTTTTGTGAGAGCTTTTCACCTCTTCTTTGTGAGAGCTTTTAATCTCTCCCTTGTGTGAGTTTTATTTGTATTGTTATGACTTGGTTTTTTCAAGCTTTATCTCTTTTTGATTATTACAAGTTTACAATCTTAATTGGAATGCTTATACTAGAGTTTCGATCATAAGTGATCGTTAATGGAGGCACACCAGATTGTCTTAATTTTAATGTTAGATAACTCTGTTATTGCAATTGCCCCTTGTGGCAAGTTTGTATTGGTCATTTGTGACTAGGGGTGGGCATCGGGACCGAAAAACCAGAACACCAAACCGGACCAGTGAGAAAAAACTGGAAAAAAATGGTTGACCGAAAAAGTCAACAAATCAGACCGAAATCGAACCGAACCAATTCCAACCGATTCCAGTTTCGATTTTACACCGCACCACACCGGACCGGTTGCATTTATTTTATTTTATTTTATTACAAAATTTTAAAATCCAATGCTATATTTGAAATTTTATAATTAATATTTTTCCAAATTCAACTTCAAAAAATTTCTCATGGTATGAATTGGGTCATTTGTTAATTTTTAAGCCAAAAAAAATAACTTATTTATTATAATTTTTATTTTAAAAAAATAAAAACAAAAATTTGAAAAAAAAATTAATAATCCCGTTCAAAACCGGAACCAGTTAGAACCAAACCAGCCAATTTTTTTAAAAAAATTGCTTAAATCGAATCGAACTGGACCAGTTTCGGTTCCGATTTAAGGTGAGAACCGGATCGTGCCCACCCCTATTTGTGACTAGTGGCTTTTTAAGCTAAATTATGAATGCAATCCAAAAATTTCTCAAAAAAAAAAAAAAAAAAAAACAAAAAAAATAGTCATGATCGATAGTGTAGTAAAAAAGGTATTCCTGTGGAAAAAATATTTGACTTCTTCGGACACTTTGGAAATTGGTACTTAGGTGACGATGGGTAAATTTAACGACACAAACAAGACACAACAACACAACAATCTTCACACACTTTAGACCTTGACCAAATACACATATGACTAGTCAACTGCTAGTCATGAACAACCACAATCAAGAGAACACACAAAGCATGCCACAAAGTACTTGCAACCTTAGAAGATTACTAGTGACAACCTGGGAACTCAGAAGGACCCGTGAATCTAGGCATCCCTTGTGCTAGCAACAATTATGGTGAAAGTGTGTGAAATCATCATTATCAAGTAAACACCAAACATCAGATAAAGATGACTAGTCAACCACCAAGAACACAAACCGAGAAAAATTACAGATATGCAAAACAGAATTTGTTTACCTAGAAACCCACCATTGGAAAAAATTGGGAGTCATCAACCGACCAAGCACTTCACTAAGTAGAAAAAGATTCTTACAAAGGAAACACAACCAAGCTCAAGAAACACCTAGATCTATTTAGGAATATGAGCTATACCTCCTTCGTGCAATCTTCTTCTCCAACTTAGCAAAAGTTGAAGCTTAGTTCTTCATGACAATGGCAACTCCTTCTCCAGCTCGTTCATCCCATGGCACTAGCTTGCAAGCTCCAAGACAGACCGAAACCAAAATTTGGATCCAAAAGAGAATGACCAATTTCTTCAAGAAACCATACTCTTGAAGAAATCAGTCTTGAATCTGACCTAGATATAAATGAGAGAATGATTTAAGTAGCTAGATGCATATTCGTGTTTCAAATGCAGTTTTTTCAAATAAAAAATCAATTGGAAAAACTCATAGATGAAATATTTGGTTCTCTCTTGAGGAAGAAGAAGAGAAAGATAGCAAATCAATCTTTCCAAAACTTTCACACAAAAGAGACGACTGCCCAAAAAGGAATTTCGTAGCCTTTAAAGGCAGAAATTCCCTTAGGTCAGAATCACACCTGGTAGCAAAGAAAGAAAGGAGAATAAGACAAAGAAGTTGGTTATCCAGCTGGAAATCCAACAGAGCAAGGATGACTAGTCATACGAGAAACAGATGACTAGTCATCATTTTATAAAAATAGTTTAATGCAATGATATGCAATGCACACCTTACCTTTGTCAAATTGCTTGAACCTCCATAGGATATAAGTTAGATAAGAACACCAAGAGAAGCTTTTCTTAATCTAAACTTGAGCTTGATAAATAACAATACAAATCCTATTACAAAGTTGTCAAGGGAAGCCAAAAGAAAAACTCAAAATGCATAAATGCATACATTAACACCTTTGAAAGAGAATTTCACACATAAATTATATAAGAAATTATAATTAGTGCTTGCAATTATAAATTATCTAGCTAATTGATTACGTTGAATTTTTGTTTTGATCACATGCAGGACAAAAGAGGACCACTCTTGTCCTAATGCAAAGGGGGGCCGGACAGACATTTGTAAGTGGCCATGTTTCACAGAGTGTACGTAGTATATGCCCAGTTGGCTTCTAAACAAAGAGCTCCTGTATTTTGTAACAAAAAAAAAAAATAGCTTCTTTGTTTTATTTTTAGCCAGTCCACTGTTCATATTTATATAAAAATATAAAATATGAACAATTTTATATTAACTTCCGCAGTTTCCTTTGATCTGTACACATATTCCGGCTGGTCACTTGCAAAAATTTTATATTGAAGGTCACCACGTGCCTAGTGACAATTCTTGGGTGTCACCATATTTTATCCTCTGTCTTCACATCGCATGTCACCGTGTACTTAGTGACAAGTCTTATGTGCTTTGTCATTTGGTGCTTTATTGATAATCGAGGGCTCTGGTTATTTAATTAGAGTCATTTTTTCATTAGTATTATGAATTTGGGATTTTTTTATCGTTGGTAAAAAAATATCACTCAACCTTAAGGTTAACTATAAATCAGAGTGAGAATGAATCGAATCAACATGAATTCTCATTAAAATATATACTAACTATCATGAATCGAAATGAAGAAATATTTGATTAGTGGAATGCATGCCCTCGAAGAATGTATATTTTATTTTATTTTTTCAGAAACCTACTACAACTTTTCAAATGGGAAAAACTATTTCACTGACAATAAAAATATTATGTAAAAATATTTTATGTACTTGTGATATGTATTAAAATAAAAATTCATTATAAATATAAGCTATAGTTGCCTGTGATCATCTGACACATTATATATTATACTTGCACTCCTACTGAGAATTGAGGGGCTCAAGCATCTTTGATGCTTTCCTGTTTGTTTATCGTAAACTTACAACAACTTCCCCTCTTTTTTGCTGTAACGTTAGCAAAGATACTAGTGATATTAATTATTGGAGCAGTACATAAGCTTGAAAATAGGCCCAGGTATTGCTATTATTAATTTATGATTTTAAAATGTACAAATTCTACAATTTAAGGGATTCAAAATTTCAAGAGCGATGTTGAGTCAAACAATACGGGGTAAAATATTTTTTGATATATTTTCATTCATCAAAATAAGGTAATTATAATACAAGTGTGTAAACCCTAATAGGGTTATACAGGAAAACAAATAAAATTCTAATTACACAAAATTTGTACAAAAGAGAAAGAAAAAAAAATCAAATAGAACAGGAAATAAATATCCTAATCAAACTAGGATCTTGTGAACATGGTGATGATCACCGTAAAGTTCATTTTAGTATTCGAAAATACATAATACGGTCGGTTATAGTAAACGGATTTTTTGATAACGAGAGATTTGTTATATCTATTAATGTTCGTAAAACTTCATTTTTCACGAAAATCTGATGAACGAACTCTGCTTCTTCATTTTCCATTTTTATGGTTCGTAAAATAATGCCACTGTTGCTGAACTTGAGAGAGAGGAGCATTAATATTGTATATTGACGACCATCAACATAATATATATTTTATTTTATTCATCAAATTAATAGTACATATAATTAAGAAGGGAGGGGAGGCCCTAGCATGCTACAGACCTCAGCGAGTCATCAGTTCTGCTTCGTCTTCATCAGTACTGGATGCCGAGCCAGTTTCTCCACCGGAGTCGACTAGTTTTTCTTTGCCGTGGCCTTTGTAGATGTGGGTGTTGCCAAACTCGAAAATTCCTACTCTCTCCGATTTTTTCCCCGTAATATTATTCCCAACGATGCTGAAGTCATTGCCTCTTCCGCCCTTGTCTTTTTTCTTGGGTTGGAGAGTTTTGGTGCTCACTGATGGGGATTTCGATCTGTTGCTGTTTTGTTGGTCGGTTCTTGCCTTCGAAGAATCCTCAGAACCTTGTTTCTGATCACCAAGTGGAGGCTTCAGGTATAGCCAGCCGGTAGACATTTTCACTGCTTGGGATCCTTGTCTGGTTTGAAATTTATCTATATATATAAAGGCGGAAAGCCTCAAAAGCCCCAGAATACCCTTGGTAACCTAAAATACTAAATTGCATGATTTTAATTAAAATAGGATAAAATTGTAAAACAAAAATTAATAAAAGAAAAATAAAAACCGGCAGAATTTATTAATTTTTGCAAACACGTCTTGGAGAAACCGCTAGCCCTATTCATACACCTTCATCAGAGGTCTTGGGTGGTTCCTTCAAGTGTGGCTCATTCTATTATTGGTGAAAACATTACAGGAAGTGATGACAGAAGAATGGACAAGACTGATCACAATTGCAGATGCCATCTCTTGATATTTTGAACTTGCATTTCTCTTCATATGAAGAAGAAACATGGTATGAAATCTGCTTTGAATTGTGTTAAGAATAAAAGAGATGGAATAATCGTTCTGTTATTGATATGTTGTTGTACATAATACTATCCTTTATATATTAGGTTTACAATCTCCTATTCTAGCATAATTCCTAATTAAGGCTACAATATCCGAGTTTGACCCATAAACCTTGGGGTCTAATATAGGAAAGACAATTACAATATTTACAATCCTTCAATTACAAGATTTGATTTCCAACACTCCCCCTCAAGTTAGAGACTGAATTGTGAAGTCCCAACTTGCGACTTAAGTAATTGAAGGCATCTCCTCCCAAGGCCTTCGTAAATATATCTGTCAGCTCATCTTGTGAAGAAATATAGGAAGGAGAAATTACATCAGCATGCAGTTTTTCTCTCACAATGTGACAATCAATTTCAATGTGCTTCGTTCTTTTGTGGAAAACTGGATTTGCAGCTATATGTAATGCAGCTTGATTGTCGCAATACAAAAGTGTAGGATCCTTCTGTGTAACTCTTAAGTCTAGCAATATATAGCGCAACCATGTAATCTCAAGACAATAGTCAAGAATGATTTGAAAAAATAAAATAAACTCCTGAAAATTGGATGATATGTCAACTAAAAGAAGGGACAAGCAATTGCAGCCCTATATGGAAAAGGACAAAAGCTTTTCACACGCTTTTTCAATATCTAAAGATATTCTTCCATCAAGGGCGAAACTAGGAATTTTTCAACGGGTGGGCTAACTAAAGTTATTAGCTTTAAAATTTAGTGATTATTTTTTTTTGGTACTTACAATTTCTATAGTCTTTTTAGAAATAAAAGGAAACATTAAATCATATAAACCAAGCTAGTTCATAGCTCCATAAACTAATTTTCATTAAGTTTTAACATAAACCAAATATGGTTTAACACCATAGTGGATTGAACATCTAAGGTTTTTTTACCTAGATTGACCTTAGGTTCTTTCATGCATTCATATTATAGATGAAAAGTTATTTTATGTAAAAATATTGACTAAGTATGAAAAATGGGTTTTCGATATAATCATTTTCTCAAGATAATTTTTGGTGGCTTTTATTCCTCACACATCAAATAAGAAAACTTGATTTTATAGGATTTTAGTATGAAGTATATATTGACTTAATGAGCCATCATTTTTAGCCTAAATCGTATTTGGCACTAAAACCGATTTTTCATATTTTGATTTGGTGGGAATTTGATTTTCTAGTATTTTTATTTGAATCCAAATGGGGGGTACTTCCTTATTTACATCGTAAACTTAAGTAAATGGAGTAATATAAAATAAATAAAAGTAAAATGACAAAGACATTTACTTAAATGTTGAAAATGGAAATAAGGTAATCTGTACAGCGCCACTAACTGGGCTAATATTGAAAATAAGTTAAATATATAAGTTTTTTTTTCTTAAAAAATCACACTGGGCTACAGCCCACTGTAGCCCTTAGTGTGGTTCCACCCTTGTCTTCCATTAACGAAGTAGCAAGGAATATTATTTATTGGCTTTTGAATTACTTTTTCTTTCCGATGTTATCAATTCTAACAAACTCGTTACAATGGTTAATGATTGTTAGAAATCTAGGTACTCAATGTCAAATTTTCATTAAGTTGTAAATGTGCTCGTGCTGTTAGGGAAATTAGGGCTTAACTCTCAATGATTCGAAGAAAAGATTAGAGTCAAACCTTTAAAATCAGGGCTTAACAACCTTGGGGGAAATCTAGGTTTCAAATTGAGATGTGCAGGATTGAGGTTAGGATTTTGACACAATTTTGAGGTGACATCAAGGATTTGTGTATAACTTGGGACAGTAAGAAAGCATATTGACATTGATATACGGCCAAAGGTGTAGAAGAATATAAAGTCTCAAATTGGAAACTTGACGAAATCAAATACACTATATAATAAGTGGTTCCACTACTAATAGCATTGAGACCTTTTATATAAAACTCTACACTGCCGTGAAATCTTAACAAAAAGATTATGGCGAGTTTTTGCTTCCAACTTAGGTTGCTTGGGGTTTTTATAGTCGTTGACAGCTATTGCAAAGGGGATTTGTCGGTATGGAGTTTAGTACGCAGTTTAGAAATCAAAATGCACTATTTTTGCTGTATAATTAATAATGCACTGTGGTTTAGGGAATCTTAGTGATATATAGTTTCTTACTATTGTGCATGCATCCTTCTTCCTTATGTATTGGGTTTAGTAGGGAATCTGGGTGGTCCTGCCATGTGCATAATTTTATTTGGTTTTCAAATGATCATTATTTCACCACGAATTCACGTATGAACAAGAGTTTATTCACACTCCACGTATTCAAATACATATATGGTAGGGGTAAGTACTTTGATCATGTAGATGTAGATAAGTGATCAGAGTTAGGGTTTGAAAACCTATCCATGAACCAGCAAGTGGTCGGTTTGAACTGTGACATTGATGTCTTGGCATTATGTACATGTCCCTTTGCATGGCATTTGTTAATTTGGCACAACTCTTTTTGGTTCTTAATAATAAACCGTCTATGAAACGTTTAGGGGGCGTTTTGTATCTTATTCAAATATGGAACTCAAAAACTTCGATTTTTCTTAAAAACAAGGAGTTCTTAAATCTATTTTTAAGATTCAAAAACTTGTTTGGTATGCAACTTGAAAACTATTTTCAAATCTTAAAAATGTGAGAACTTGTGAGTTGTTAGAAAAAAAACTAAAAAAACATATATTTTTTGTTTTTAATAATTGTGGTGTTTTTTAGTTGTTCTTGAGTTTGAGTTTTTAAAAATAGGGCTACCAAACAAGTTTTCTTTGTTTTGGACTTAAATTCTATTTTTGAATTTAAAAAGTTGAATACCAAACAGACCCTTAATTGTCTAAAATGAATCTCTAAATTTATGGCTTGTCAACATCAAACCTTAAAAAGAAATTTTTTATGTCACATCATGTGAAAGAAACATGAACACCAATAGGAAAAACGAAATTTTCCCACCCACATAAAATACCTTTTTAATATTTGACTATCCAAGTTGATTACCAGGACTTTTTTTTTGTTTTTTTTATATTTCCATTTATATCCTTACCTCTGTACAAGATGGGTCTCCAAAAATGAAGCAGAATACCTGCACAAAGAGATGGCAACATGACCCTTTACTGGTTCCTCTAGAAAACTTTCTGGAACTCAAACAGAGCTCCCACAAAAAGAAACTGAATCACAGCTCCCGCAAAACAGAACTAGTGAGGCAGAAAATTGCAACCAGACTTGGAACATTCGTGAGAATGTAATTACGGCAACAGAAAACAGAAACGTTGGGATTTTCGACTTCAACAACGAATATCATGAAGGTGGTGCTGTTGATCATCATCAAGGAAGGAAGGGTCAAAACAAAACTGACTACAACATTGATGGCAACAAGATTGATTCAAAAGAGGGGAAGTTTGTTGGGATCAGCAAATTTGGCAACAAGTACTACAACTCGAAGAAAGACGAAGCAAGAAGCCCGAGCGAAGAAGAAGGAACGAGCAAGCCATGATATAAGCTTTGGTAAAATAAATAGGAGAAAAAGTAAGGGAGCTCAGCTGCTGAATAAAGAAAGAGGCTGGAGTTCATTTCCATTTTATAGTCCATGTCTTTGTTTCTTTGTAGTGTCTATCTACTATTTGAATGTGGTTTGTTATAGTATTGGAGTTGATCTATGGAAAAATACGTTCTACATATACTCAGAAGGATCAGCTCCTAACATATACTCATCAGTAATCTGTGTGTATTTGGATTTATTATTAATTTGCGCAAACGAGAAGAGGAAACTTTCCCGCATTCGAATGCCACGAACATCTGAAAGCTTAATTCTGAGCATGAGAAAGAACTAATAACGAAGGAATCTGACTTATTGATGTGCCATTTTTTTACTCAAGCCGCTTGCTTCATTTTTTGTGTTGCTTACTCACCATTGATAATAAAAGAAAAAGAAGAAGCAATAACAAGAAGAACAAGAAGACCAAGAAGAAATGGTACGCTCGACTTCTTGTTGTACTTGTTGCCAACTTTGATAATCCCAACACGCTCGCCTTTGTTTGCATAAAATGTATTGCCACAAATGTTGTGGTTTCGACCCCTCCTTGGTTGATGAACATCAACACCACCTCCACTTTCTTCGTTGTAAGCATTGTGAATCCCAACATCTCTGCTTTTACTTGCGCAGAAATCATTCTCATTAATGTTGAAGGTCTCATTGGTTTCATCAGTATTTTCTGCCTCACTATTTTCGTTTTGCTGAAGCTCTTGTTCAGTTCTTTCTCTTTGGGGCTCTTGTCCAGAAAGCGTTCTAGGACGACCAGGAAAGCGGTTTCTTACCCTCTCCTAAGAGCTCTGGTTCAGTTGTTCAGCTTCAGATCGAGATCGAGACCCATCTTATGTATATGCAAAGATAAAAATGTAAAGATCACTACTACAAAAAATGAAAAAGATGACCAAAAAAGACGACGGTAGAAGAAAAAAACCGTCGTTGTATTTAAAAAAAGACGGTAACAAAAAACCGTCGTGGATAAGTGACTTAAACAACTAAAAAACGGAGGTACTGTTGAATATTTTTTTATAACGACGCACACAAATAAAAAAGCGTCGTCTTATTAAAAAGGTTTTCTTCAGAGTTAAAATCTGACCAAAAAACAACGACAGCAGGTATGACAAGCGTCGTCTTTTAAAAATCAATTGTCCTTTTTTTGGTAAAGACATGGTTGTTTTGAAAGAACTGTCGTCTATTATATGTAAAGATGACGGTTTTTTTTTAAAAAGGGTCGTCTATTATGAAGTAAAGACGATGGTTTTTTTTTAAAAAGAGTCGTCTATTATGAAGTAAACACGACGGTTTTTTTTTAAAAAGGGTTGTCTATTTTATGTAAAGATGAATATTTGTTTAAAAAAGAGTCATCTATTATGAAGTAAAGATGACGGTTTTTTTTACAAATAGGTCGTCTATTATATGTAAAGATGACGATTTTTATACAAACCGTTGTCTATTATATGTAAAGATGACGCTTTTTATATATAAAAAACCGTCGTTTGTTATATTTAAAGATGACGATTTCTATAAAACTCATCGTCTATTACATGTAAAGATGACACTTTTTATACAAACCGTCGTTTATTATATGTAAAGATGACGCTTTTTATACAAACCGTCGTCTATTATATGTAAAGATGACGATTTTTATACAAACCGTCGTCTATTATATGTAAAAATGACACTTTTTATAAAACCGTCGTCTATTATATGTAAAGATGACGCTTTTATAAAAAAACCGTCGTCTATTATGAAGTAAAGATGACGGTTTTTTTTAAAAAAGGGTTGTCTATTATATATAAAGATGACGCTTTTTCTAAAAAAGGGTCGTCTATTATATGTAAAAATGATGCTTTTTATATATAAAAAAAAGGTCGTCTATTATATGTAAAGATGATGGTTTGTTAAAATAACCGTTAAATCATGATTTTTCATTTATAACTATCGAAATTTTTTGTCCCGTTACTTGATCTCTGAATGTTTATTTTTTTCGATTTTTGGTGTATATGATCTCGAAGTATAAATAAACAAGTTTGATGGTTGGATCGTTGAAACTAGTTTCTTAGAATGCGTATGCCATCAAAACAATATATTCACTAACAATTAAGAGTTTATTTATACTTTCGTTAAATATAACATAAGATTTTGTGGTATCCACTAGTGTAAATATTTTAAATTGAAGATCAAATTCAATCATTGTATTCATATAGGGTCAAGGAGTGTAGTGGTAAAAAAATCATCAAAATCGGAGTTAAAATAACCGTTAAATCGTGATTTTTCATTTATAACTGTCGAAAATTTTTGTCCCGTTACTTGATCTCTGAATGTTTATTTTTTCCGATTTTTGGCGTATATGATCTTGAAGTATAAACAAACAAGTTTGACGGTTGGATCGTTGAAACTAGTTTCTTAAAATGCGTATGCCATCAAAACAATATATTCACTAACAATTAAGAGTTTATTTATACTTTCGTTAAATATAACATAAGATTTTGTGGTATACACTAGTGTCGTCTATTATATGTAAAGATGATGGTTTGTTTAAAAAGGGTCGTCTATTATGAAGTAAAGATGACGCTTTTTATAAAAAAAAACCGTCGTCTATTATATGTAAAGATGACGCTTTTTATAAAACCGTCGTCTATTATATGTAAAGATAACAATTTTTTTTTTAAAAAAGCGTCGCCTTTTAAAACATGCTAAAAAATGGCCGCTTAAGTGAATTCGCGCTCAACAAATTTTCAAATTTTCACCCATCTTTGAAAACCTTATCTCTCATTAACAAGCGTCGTCTTTTAAAACACGCTAAAAAAAGGCTACTTAAGTGAATTCGCGCTCGACAAATTTTCAGATTTTGCCCCGTATCTGAAAACCTATCTCTCCCTCCTTGAAACCCTCCTACACTCTCTAAAACACCCTCATGAAACTCTCTACAAAATTATCAAAAAATCGATATCAATGAAGGAGTTGAGAGATTGAGGTTTTCGCAGATCCATAAGATGTAGAGGGATGTTCTGTATTTGAGAATCAAATCTGGTTGAAAGGTTTGATTTGAAAGTCACCTAATCTCTTAATACCCTAGTGAATTTTGGATTAGTCTCTTTGCGTTTCTGATATGTTCTTTGTCTCCCTAATTTCAGATTTTGTCTCTCTTGATTTGTCTGGTTTGTTTACATATTTTTTTATATTTCTGGTTTCTTTTTAGATTTTCTGATTTGGTTATCAAGAGATGAGGAGGAAGCTTGCAGATTTATAACTTTTTCTTTTGCAGGTTCTCGATGGTCTTTATATGCTCATTTTACAAGTTTTCTATGGAAATATGGACCAATGGTAAAATTTCTCTTCCACCTAAATTTGTATGTTTATAATCTTAGCTTTTTTTTTTTTTTTTTTTTTTTTGTCATTTTGATTTATTTACAGGGATGATGGAGGAGACTTCAGTTGTGCATCATTTGTATGTTTGGATGAGGAATGCTTGGATTAGGAGTACGTAGGTCTTGTTAGGAATTATGTTTGTTGTAGAATAAAGATTGGTTAACTATGTAATAACTATTGAATCTTCAAGTTTTATGAAAAAAACTATTTTTGAGTGTATATATTCATTAATAAAGCATTATGGTTGGTTTTCTAGTTAAAATCGTTGTATAGCATCATAGGAAATCAAAAAGAACTAAAATGTAGCAGTTTGGAAACATATTAGACGACGGTTTTTATAATAAATCATGGTCTTTACAGATAATTAACGACGGTTTTTATAAAAAAGGTCGTCTATTATAGGTAAAGATGACGATTTTTATAAAAAAGGGTCATCTATTATATATAAAGATGATGCTTTTTATAAAAAAAACCGTCGTCTATTATATGTAAAGATGACGATTTTTATACAAACCGTCGTCTATTATATGTAAAGATGACGCTTTTTATAAAAATCGTCATCTATTATATGTAAAGATGACTCTTTTTATAAAAACCGTCGTGTATTATGAAGTACAGATGACAGTTTTTTTTTAAAAAGGGTCGTCTAATATATGTAAAGACAATAGTTTTTTTTAAAAAGGGTCGTCTATTGTTAAGTAAAGATGACCTTATTTAAAAAGGTCTTCTATTGAATGTAAAGATGGCGGTTTTTATAAAACAACCGTCGTCTTTATAAACAATCCATGACTGTTTTCATAAAGAATCGTCCTCTTTAAATACAATACACAACAGTTTTATTAGAAATAGTCGTATTTTCTCCTATAATTAACGATCTTTACCTCTAAATAACGACGATTTTCTTTAAAAACCGTCGTCGTTCCAGATAAACAACGACAGTGAAAAGCCGTCGTAGTTTGACACCCAAATAGATGTTGGTCGATTTCACGACGGTTTGAAAACCGAATACACGACGGTGAATTCCCGTCGTCTTTTTCCTTTTTGTAGTAGTGAATCTTCAAATAAGTGGAGGCAAAATACTCTAAAATCATATGGAAGACAATCTTCAATAAATGGAAGTTACTATTGTAAACTAATTACATAAATTCCTTAAACCCTATACACACATAGAATGACATCAAGGAAAAGATCTTAATCAATCAAATAAACATATTAATCATAATATATAGTACTTACCTGCCATTGATGAAAGCTAAAAAGAAAAGTCTTCTATTCTCTGTAGAATTCTTATGTTCAATTAGCAATAGAGACTAGATGTTTTTTAACGTGTGTTTATAACAGAGCATGTGACCTCCTCTTGAAAATGGAATAAATTACTATTATATATATTAATAGTAAATTGAGCTTATACCCATAAAATTCATTTTTAATCACCTACAATCCATTCCTTTATTTTCTATTTAAAATACCCAATTTTTTCAAATCAAACCCGATAACTAGGATCCAAAAAGCAAGTTACCTAATCTAGCTTAAAATATGATTTATTCTATTTTTCGGATTCCAAAACTACCCCTATTTATAAGTTAACGTGGGTATGTGGGGGTGTAACTAGTGACATACATTGAATTTAGAAAGATTTTCAAAAGGTTATTTAATTTAAAAACTATTTAAAATTAAATTCAACTAATCTACATGTGATTAATGTTTTGGTTATTTAATAAATTTTTGTTGTTGTTTCCTTTATGAATTATACTACTAGTAATCTATTTTATTATAGTTTTATGAATAATAGTGTACATTCTAATTATGTTGAAAAGTATTTGATAATCTATTTATTGTTTGTTTTATGAAAAACAATTTTTTTTTAAATGAACATATTTTTTCTCTAAATAATGTACTTTTTTTTTCTTTCTAAATAATGTACCCTTTTTTCTCTGAATAAAGTACCTATTATTCACTACTACAAAAAGTGAAAAAGACGACCAGAAAAACACGACGGTCTAAGTGAAAACCGTCGTTGTTTTTTAAAAGACGACAGTTTTATAAAACCGCCGTGTAATAACACATTAGACAACTAAAAAATGGAGTTTCAAATGGCTGTTCCTAAAACACGACGTACTTAATTAAAAAACCGACGTCTTATTGAAATAGGATTTTCAAGAGGTAAAATCATAGCCAACAAATAACGGCGGAAGTTATGAACCGACCGACGTAGAAAGTAAAGACGACGGTTTCAAAAAAAGCCGTCGTTTTTACCCAGAAATTAACACGACCAAGTTTTCGTATAAGGCGCCGTATAATTACAAATAAATCCACGGCGGTAAAATACAAAATACCGCCGTATTAAATTAATGTACAACTACGGCAAAGGTAAATATAACGACGTCTTTCTCGTATTTCTACGACGACATCTTTAAATCTTACCAAGTTGGGGTTTTCATATAACGACGTATTATAGAATTTAACGTCGTATTTGTCCACTTTATACGTCATACATTATATTTAAACCGTCGTCTGAATAAGAATTTTTTTTAACAATTTATTTCTTGGATTTTGTTATCCTACGTCGGTAGATCTACTTAACGACAAGAATTGAAATAACCACGACGGTTTATATAGAAAACCGCCGACATAATCAGATTATTCTGAGATCACAAGGGTTAGGAAATCTTACAAGATGGAACTCTGTTGCTCATCATAATCTTACCAGAAAGACAATATTTTAGAGGTTAATGATGTATGTGTATTTGTGTCTTTGAGATACACAAACGCACATACACATTAACATCCAAAAAATTGCTTCTGAAATTTGACGACGGCAGCCTCAGATTTGCAATCAGAGAGACAATTTTTTGGAAGTTGATGATATGTGTGCGTTTGTGTATCTACACAAACGCACGCACACATCAACATCCAAACAATTGCCTCCTAAAATTTCACGACGGCAGCCACAGATTTGCAATCAGAGAGACAATTTTTTGGAAGTGAATGATGTATGTGCGTTTGTGTATCTACACAAACGCACACACACATTCACATCCAAACAATTGCCTCCTAAAACTTCACGACGGCAGCCACAGATTTGCAATCAGAGAGACAATTTATTGAAAATTGGTGATTTGCAATCAGATTTGCAATCAGCCACAGATAACCAACATTCAAACAATTGCCTCCCAAGAGATGAGGTGAGACAGAGAAAGGGGCAAGAAGAAGTTGAAACCCTAATCGAATACTAAAACTGAAAGAACCCGTGGAAAAAAACCCTATTTATAATTAAAAAACCAAATCCACGTCGGTTATATTACACATAACGACGTTTAACAAAAATAATCCTCGTCGGTAACAAATACATTACGTCGTTTTATTCTTACTTAAGACGACAAGAAACGACGACGGTATAACAAAAACAGTCGTTGTTTTATATTTTTATTTGATTTAAATCAGTCACCTAGAAAAGAAACTTTACAAATTCTAGAACATTAATTTCCTCGGGAAAAAAAACTATATCTATAAGGCACTGTTTTTGAAAAATAAACTATAAGAAAAAGGGGAAAAAAATTATATTTATAATAAAAAAATAAAATCCACGTCGGTTATATTACACATAACGACGTTTAAAAACGAATCCACGTCGTGAAAAAAATAATACGTCGTTTTAGTTTAGTGTTATCCACGTCGGTATATTACAATAAAACGACGTATATTATAAAAATAAACGTCGTAAATTTAAAACAACCGTCGTGTTAAATATTTCTACCATGACGCGAGATATTGAGTTATCGACTTTTATTTAGGAGTTTACTACGGCGGTACCTACAACACTACTGTCGTATTTATGTACCACGTCATAAGTTCAAATTAACGTCGTAGTTTGTCTATTAATACGTCGTCGTTCTATGTAAACCGCCGTCTTATTACTATGAAACGGTTTGTATACATATACAACTTTTCGTCTACCTGACTTACACATGCACTGTTTCCAAACCCGAGAAAAAATTTCAATCTCCCAGAGAAAACTTTTCGTCTTTTTTCCTTGTCAGAGCACTGTCAGAGTATCTCATCGTCTTCCTCTTGTCTTCGTCGTCGCCTCTGAACTTAAACACCAAAATCCGAGAGAAAGCTTTCATTGCACGCAAAAGGTAAGCTTTCATTTCTCACTATTTTTGTTGCTATTTTGCATGCTCATACTGTTTTTGTTTTGAAAATCTTTTTACCTTTTTTCTGGCGAAAATCATTTTTATTCTTTCCAAGTTTGATAAAATACACAGACAGAGAGGGAAAGTTTCAACTTTGAACACAACTAATTCAACTAAATAAGACGACGGTAGCTTTTTATTTACGTGGTTAAATATGTAGACCACGACGGTTCGTCAGTCGTCCTAGCGTCGTCTTAAAATTGATCTAAGTTGTTTTTAAAATGACGGTCAATTTTTTATTTGCTTGTTTAGTTGCAGGTTGATTTCTCTGAACCATGGTTTTCGTTTTTCCTAATTTGATAAAATACAGAGACAAAGAAAGTAGGGTTTGGTATCTTATATAGACGACGGTATCTTATTATTGACGCCGTGTGAATGTTCATACCACGACGTTATACTAAGATACCGTCGTCTATAAAAAGATGCCAAAGCTTTTTTTCTTTGTATTTTATCAAATTAGGAAAAACAAAAACCATGTTTCAGAGAAATTAAACCTGCAATCAAACATTCACAGAGAAAGAAAAATGTTTTTGGTTTCTTATAAATACGACGGTAGCTTATTATTCACGTCGTGTGAATATCCATAACACGACGTTATATTAATATTTACGTCGTGTTAATATGAATATCACGACGTCGTGTAAATATCGCCGTAATAAGTTCTTATTACGTCTTATTTAATATTGTTTCGTCGTTGTTTAAACATTTATATTGTTTCTTCTTTAAACATTTATTACGTCTGATGTTATGTTATTACGTCGTGTAAAATCTTATCATACGTCGTAGTTTATAAATAACCGTCGTTTGTGTTCTAATTTTTTTCCCGAAATATTTTCACTTGCAGGTTTGTTTATTCTGTAACCATGGTTTCTCAAGACCAAAGTAAGTACTCTGGCTCCAAAAAAAATGGAGGTAAGGAGCTTGGAATGGTAACTCCTCAAGACAAGCCCTTGAAGAAGATGAAGTTTGTTTCATCTGCTGAGACAGAACCAAGCAGCACGACAACAATTTCTGAGGATTCAAAGTCAGGTCGAGGTATGAGCACAATGCCTCGTGTTGTGAAGAGAAAATTGCAGAAAATCAAGCCAGTTGTTGAGTACAATAAAAGGGGGAAAGGATGTGGCCCTGCACATACTGAGATGCAGTCCTACATTGGTGTGTTGGCACGCTCCAGAGTCCCACTTGTGGACAAGAAATGGGCTGAAATCCCCAATGATATAAAGGAGCAGATTTGGGAAGCCGTTGACATGGCTTTTGTGGTAGGTCAAGGGGGCAAGACCTCGGTGTTATCTCTGCTGCTGCCAAGAAATGGAAGGATTTCAAGTCTACACTGACGAGGCATTATATCCTTCCATACATCAAGGAGAGGGAGAAATTAAGCCAACCCCCTGAAGTATATAAATTCATAGAGAAAGCAGAATGGGATGCCTTTGTAGCTTCAAGGTTATCCAAAGAATTTGAGTCTGTGCATTCTCAACATTCACAGATTAGGGAGAAACTTGAGTACAATCATCGATTGTCTCGAAAAGGATATGCTGGTTTGGAGGATCAATTGGAGGAAACCATGCCTGGGGTAGAAATTGATCGATCTACCTTATGGAAGAAAGCTAGACAGGACAAACATGGTAACATCCCGGATCCAAAGGTGGCAGAGAAAGCAAAATTAATTGTAAGCCTACACACTCTGTTTTAAATTTTTATTAAACTGGGTATAATTCTTATTACGTCTTATGTTATATTTTTCCGTCGTGTGAATGATTTTACTACGTCGAAATATTTTAAAAAACGTCGTGAAAGATCTAAATCTGGAATCACAACTCTGTTTTCTGTAATTATAGCATAAGACGTCGGTGGTTAATTTTTTTCCGTCGTGTTAATGTTATTACTACGTCGAAATGTTTTCAAAAACGTCGTGAAAGATCTAAATCTGGAATCACAACTCTGTTTTCTGTAATTACAGCATAAGACGTCGGTGGTTTATTTATTGCGTCGTTTTAAACAACTAACCACGTCGGTTTTAATTAACGTCGTTATAAATATATTATAACGTCGATTTCTATATTGGTGCGTCGTGTGAAATTATATATGCGTCGTTTGTTTATAATAAACCGTCGTGTATTTTCTTGTGCTGACTTTTTTGTATGTCTTTGTTTTAGGATGAATTGCAAAAACAAGTGGCTGAAGGCAGTCTGAGTATAACTGGCAGTAATGATGTGTTGACCTTGGCTTTGGGTCCCGAGCATCCAGGGAGAGTAAGAGGGGTAGGTGCTGGGATTTCCCCTAGGCAATTCTTCAATTTACCTAGACCACAAGGGTAAAGTTTGCTGATCAATTGAAGGAAAGTGTAAGAATTGTCCTTCAAGAAGAGACTAAGAAGATGGAAGCTAGAACCAAACAATTAGTAGAGGCTGAGAGGGAACATTTACTAAGTCAGCTTTCCCACCTCATCCCCCATTTTGATCCAAGCATGCTTAAAACCGAAAACTAGCCCCTGTCAAAACCCAGGTCTACAGCAAAGTCCCAAAATCCAATGTCTGATAAAGCAAGCTGTTCTGGGGCTGAAGTGAGATCCCCTACATTTAGAGGATGATACTGCCAGAAATGGGGAACAGCAGGAAAAACGGTAACATATCTGAACTTTGAATTCTCTGTTTTTTTTTAAAACATTAGACGTCGTTATTATGAATAAACCCGTCGTTTTAAAACCATACCACGACGATTTTATAAATAACCCGTCGTGTTTATTTAAATACCACGTCGTATTTAGTTTACTTGTTTTTACACGCCATTAGACGTCGTACTTTGTGGCTTTTAGACGACGGTTTTTATTCCTTAACGACGTATATAAAATTACCACGACGTTTATTATTTACCATCGTTTAATAATTTTAAGACGTCCATAATTCTTACATACCGTCTTATGTTATGCCTTACCACGACGTTTTGGTTTAATTTTTTTACTCTCTGTACAATCTGTCTTATATATATATTTCTTTATTATTTAAAACAGAAATCTGGGGCTTTAGATAATCAAGATGAAGAGAAGAAAGAAGAAAATAAAGATGAACAGAAGATGGGAGAAAAAAAAGATGAAGGGAAGAAGGAAGAAAAAAAAGAGAATAAAGATGAAGGCAAAGAGGAAGACACAAATGATTGAAGAGAAGAAAGAAGAAAAACAAGATGAAGAGCATGACGAGGAGGTATATTCTCATAACTTTGCCTTTTTAATTTGTTTTTCACATTTCAGACGTCGATATTTTTCTTTAAACCGTCGTTTGTTTTCACATTAGACGTCGGAATTTATTTTCTACGACGTAATAAATTATCTAAAACGACGGTATTTAATTACCGTCGTTTAAATTATAATCAACGACGTTTTTTTAATTTAAACCGTCGTTTTTAATGAATTACCACGTCATTTTATTTTGCTTTATTTCTTTAAACAGGTAATGAAGTAGTTGATTATTCAAATGTGGAGGTGCCATCTTCCTTACAATCCCTTTGTGGTTATGTGGAAACTACACTAAAGCCACAGGGGAAGATCATGACCTTCAACATTGAGAAGGAGGTGTTTGGTGCAGATCGAGGTACCTTCGTCTTGCATGAAGATATTACACAGTTTGCAGGCATGGAAGAAATTGGGGCTACTGTGGTTGCAGTATATATGAGGTTTGTCCTAATCAAATATCAAACATTATCATAAGACGTCGGTTGTTTAATTATTGCGTCGTTTTAAACCACTAACCCACGTCGTTCTTTTTTACCGTCGTGATAAATTAGTTATCACGTCTGTTTCTATTTCAGTTCGTCGTGTGAAATTGTATAATACGTCGTTTGTGTATAAATAACCGTCGTTTGTTTTATATATTTAGGTGCTTATATGATCTTTTGAGAGAAGCAAATATGTGCAGCATGGTTGGCTTTATCGACCCTGCTCAAGTTAGTGCCAACGCTGGGTCACTAACTGACAGATCACGAATTGTAGCCAGTCGACTTCAGAAAACAGATGGTGAACAGATTTTCATGATGCCTTACAATCCAGGGTTAGTCTCCTTAAAAGGATTTTGTTTGTATGATTTTCACTAACTGACACTTATAAAACTGTTTAACTAATTCTGTGTCGTTTGAAACATCTAACCACGTCGGTTTATTTATTTATTGAGTCGTTTGAAACAACTAACCACGTCGGTAGTTAATTACCGTCGTGATAAATTTATAATGACGTCGATGATTAAGTTATTACGTCGTGTGAAACTATAATACGTCGGTTTTTTATAAATAAACGTCGTTTGTTTTCTTGTGCTGACTTTTTATATTAACCGTCGTTTTTTATTTTATTTTTTTTTTTTTTTTTTTTTTTTTTTTTTTTTTTTTTTTTTTTTTTTTTTTTTTTTTTTTTTTTTTTTTTTTTTTTTTTTTTTTTTTTTTTTTTTTTTTTTTTTTTTTTTTTTTTTTTTTTTTTTTTTTTTTTTTTTTTTTTTTTTTTTTTTTTTTTTTTTTTTTTTTTTTTTTTTTTTTTTTTTTTTTTTTTTTTTTTTTTTTTTTTTTTTTTTTTTTTTTTTTTTTTTTTTTTTTTTTTTTTTTTTTTTTTTTTTTTTTTTTTTTTTTTTTTTTTTTTTTTTTTTTTTTTTTTTTTTTTTTTTTTTTTTTTTTTTTTTTTTTTTTTTTTTTTTTTTTTTTTTTTTTTTTTTTTTTTTTTTTTTTTTTTTTTTTTTTTTTTTTTTTTTTTTTTATTAGTGGTTATCTTCTCTTCAGCTTTTGCATACTCATTAAGAGCATCAAGGAATATCTCAAATTTTTCTCTCCATGCAGCGTAGTTATTGCACTTAAAATAAGGAGGGGAGTTGCAAGATCCAACAACTCGATCCCTTTCCATAGTAAGCACACCTAAACACCAAAACAAATCCTAGGATCTCTCTATTTGTGTTAAGAGCTGATGCCCTGATACCAATTGAAATTGGTACTTAGGTGACGATGGGTAAATTTAACGACACAAACAAAACACAACAACACAACAATCTTTACACACTTTAGACCTTGACCAAATACACATATGACTAGTCAACTGCTAGTCATGAACAACCACAATCAAGATAACACACAGAGCATGCCACAAAGTACCTGCAACCCTAGAAGATTACTAGTGACAACCTAGGCACTTAGAAGGACCTGTCAATCTAGGCATCCCCTGTGCTAGCAACAACTGTGGTGAAGTGTGTGAAATTATCATTATCAGTAAACACTAAACAGCAGATAAAGATGACTAGTCAACCACCAAGAACACAAACCCAGAAAAACTACATATATGCAAACAAAATTTGTTCACCCAGAAACCCATCATTGGGAAAAACTAGGGAGTCATCAACCGACCAGGCACTCCACTAAGTAGAAAAGATTCTTACAAAGGAAACACAACCAAGCTCAATAAACACCTAGATCTATTTAGGAATATGAGCTATACCTCCTTCATGCAATCTTCTTCTCCAACTTAGCAAAACTTGAAGCTCAGTTCTTCATGGCAATGACAGCTTATTCTCCAGCTTGTTCATCCCATGACACTAGCTTGCAAGCTCCAACACAGACCGAAACCAAAATTTGGATTTAAAGGGGAATGACCAATTTCTTCAAGAAACCATACTCTTGAAGAAATCAATCTTGAATCTGACCTAGATATAAATGAGTGAATGATTTAAGTAGCTAGATGCAGAGTCGTGTTTCAAATGCAGTTTTTTCAAATAAGAAATCAATTGGAAAAACTCATAGATGAAATATTTGGTTCTCTCTTGAGGAAGAAGAAGAGAAGGATAGCAAATCAATCTTTCCAAAACTTGCACACAAAAGAGACAACTGCCCAAAGAGGAATTTCGAAGCCTTTACAGACAGAAATTCCCTCAGAATCACACCTGGCAGCAAAGAGAGAAAGGAGAATAGGACAAAGAAGTTGGTTATCCAGCTGGAAATCCAGCAGAGCAAGGATGACTAGTCATACGAGAAACAGATGACTAGTCATCATTTTTATAAAACAGTTTAATGCAATGATATGCAATGCATGAATTTACCTTTGTCAATTTGCTTGAATCTCCATAGGATAGATGATAGTTAAGAACACTTAGAGAAGCTATTCTTAATCAAGGCTAGAGCTTGGTAAATAACAATACAAATCCTATTACAAAGATGTCAAGGGAAGCCAAAAGAAAATTACAAAAACCATACATTAACAAAATATGATTCATAATACCTCATGAATGACACCTCGATAGAGCACCACAAGAACCTCCTCTTGTTTAGCCAAAATAGCAGAGTTAAGCGACAAGAAAGCAATATATAAATATTTTGACTACTTAACGCTTGTAGGAAGGATTACGACACATCAAGCAAAGTCGTATTATTTAATTGGACTTAAACAGACTTGAAAAATTTGTTGTGACAGAGGCATTTCCAAACCAAATCAGCCACCTACCATTATTCCTAAATACCCTTCATTTAGGAGAAGAGACCTCATGGGTTTTACTTCTTCGCTTCAAGTTGCTTTTGCTTCTCTTTCCTTCAAAACAGATTCTGGTACACAAGAAAATAATCAATCTTGTAAAATCAAAATTTCAAAACTAAAGTAATAACTTCTCTTCATTTTTTATATTTATTTTGGGTTATATCGACTATCAATATACTGAATATAAGTGGGGTTACACAAGTTCTTAGAAGTCATTTACAAACAAGGTGAATGGAAAAAGAGAACAAAAAGTGGAAATAGCCGCACTCTAATTCTTTTGGCAACACTCCAACTTCATTGGGCCATAATTGAATATTTCAGACATTTATCTTCTCTTCAGCTTTTGCTAAAGACATTTATCCTTTCTTCGGTTTGTCCAAATTCTCTCTCTCTCTCTCGCCCTCTCTCCATGGCTTCCTCTCTTCTTCTTCTTGTGTCAGTTTCATGGTTCTCTTCCTTCCTGGCTCTGCTAGTCTCACCCGTACAAGCAGCCACCTGCACCTCACAGGCATTCAATAACAAGAAGCTCTACTCCAGCTGCACCGACCTCCCCGTCCTCAGTTCCTACCTCCACTGGACCTACGATACCTCCAACTCCTCTCTGTCCATCGCCTTCGTCTCTACACCCCCCAATCTGACGGCTGGGTAGCGTGGGGGCATCAACCCCACCTCCACCAAGATGGCTGGGGGCACAGATACTCTTGGCCTACAACACAGATAGTGGGATCCCAACCGTCAAAACCTTAAACATCAGCTCATACACCTCCTTGGTACGGGGAAAACTCTCGTTTGACATCTGGGACATCAGCTCCGAGTTCTCCAACGGAACGTTCAAGATCTTCGCCGCGGTTAAGGTTCCCAAAAACGAGGAGTCCGTGAACCAAGTCTGGCAGGTGGGACCCGCGGTCAACCAAAACTCTGGTTTCCCCGACAAACATGACATCGTCGGCCCCAACCTGGAGTCCTTTCAGACCTTGTCCTTGGCAGCTAAGACCACTACGGGCACTAGCATTGATCGCCCTAGACCTGTCCATTGCATTGCTGCTCCTGCTCCCAATATGGGCACTCGCACTCCCCCTGGGACGACTAACATGATACACTGCAGTCCAGCTAGTGGCCTTGGTGGTGGTGGTGGTGGCCTTGATCGTGGTGGTGGTATTGCAGGAGGGGCTTTGAGGATTGAGAGTGGAGGAAACGTGGTTTTGTTCTCTGTTTTGCTTTCGGTTCTTGCAGCTCTCATTGCTTTCTAAATTTGGTATTTTGGATTTGGTCTCCAAATTTTATTTTTCTTCATAGTAAAGTGATCGATGAGGTTTATTGTACAGGGATGGTAATTTTCTGATGCTAATGGGTCGTGTGAAGAATAAAATTATGTTTGGGGATAGCTTTGGGGAATTTTTTGGATATGAGGTTGGGGCCGGTTCGGGGAAATTATGATATAAAGTAATATGTATATATTGCTAAGTGTGTTCTAGTTGTGTAACATGAATATTATTAAATTTTAAATTCTGCATATTCATTCAATAGTTTCTAATTTTTTTCTCTGGTACCAAGCTCCGATTCGCTTGGTCATGTTCTCATCCCTATATATTGTTGAAGATGAAACAATTAGTAAGCACAAATTTTTATTTATTTTGGTTACTTGTTTAATAGAGTTTGTTAGTTAAATCCTTTTATTTAGTGGGAGTAAGCGGCAGAATCACCAATGACAATGAATCAATGAGAACAAGGACTCTGAGTTAAAACGTAACAGATGATAGATGACTTGGCTCAAGAAATCAGATGGCCTACGATACATAGACTGTACCAAAGGATTACCCAATAACAATCAACCAAACAAACTGCACACATACCTGACTTAACTAAACCTTTTGCATTCAGAACTAGTCATCCAATACTACTTTTTGCAGACGAGACACAAACATCCTAAATCAATTCAGAAACTGAAAACTCATTCAATCAAATTATCAAACACATGACATATGCATTCCAAGTGACATCCTAAGCACTAAGAAGGATCCGTCAAGTTAGGACTCCGTATTGCTAGCTACAACTAAGGTGATTCAAGTGTGTGCTCAAATCCATACATTCAGAAGCAAATAATAAGACATGCTGATGAATAAAACTAAGGGAACTTCGCAAAACAAAAATACAGAACAACCATTCTGTTTGGTTATGATTAATCATATTTGACACTCGTATAATTTTACTTTGTAATTTAAAAGCTCAATGGATCTAGATTAGGATAATGGTGCTAGCATATTTTCTATTTTTTTTTTTTTTTTTTTTTTTTTTTTTATATTCTATATTTTTCTACCATATTAGTTTTATATATATTTAGAATTTAATGCAAAGTTTTAAACCCATCATTTCTTCCTTGTGTCATGAAATTTCTTTATCTTAGAGCATTTTCAACCGATATGTCAAATTGTCACAGATATGAACTTGAAATGGCAAAAATGAAGGTTAAAGTTGCTCCAACCGAATAATTAAATCTTATGAATTCGAAGGCTGGAAGAGATATGTCAAAAATGACATATTCTTGGAGATTCTCTAGATGAATCATTTCTGTTAAAAGATTATTCCTAAAGGCCTCAGGTGTGTTATTTCTTATTGTGTGATAATTTAATACCATACCTGTATTTGTTTGGGACCTTGTAACACACAATAATGTATTGTCGTTTTGGAGTTGAAACTTGTTTTGAGTTTTTTAAAGTGCTTTTCTTCTGCCTCGTCCCTTTTCTATATGTTTTCCTTGTTTTGGCTTTGTACAAGCCACTACGTTTTCGTTATGTAATGATATTGTGACCCAAAAAACAAAGGCTAATTTTTTGCAGTAACACCTTTGAATAATGACAATACCAAAAAAGCCTTATTTGCTTACTAAAAACATTTAAAAAGTGTCTTTTGACCTTTAGGCAATTGTTGTTATACGAGTATGTTCTAGGTCGGATATGAAGGATAAAATTAGATACGGATATGCGTTTAGGGAGATTTATGGATATTATGTTGGGAATTATATTGTATCTGGAATCAAATAATTAATTCATGAAAAATAAAGCTTTCTTTTTGTTTGCTGTTCTAATCCAATCATTTCTATTTTATATTTGTTTTGCTCATTCAAAATTATTGTTTTTATGAGTATTATTGTAAGGTCAGGAATCCCTTCTCCAATGAATGCGAGAAGGGGAAATCTCCGGTTTCAATATTATGGGTGTTGAGGCAGGAATGAAATATGAATAGCTTACTGTTAGAATACAGAGACTATTATCTTGTATTTTAACTCTTAGATGAGAAAATGTGATCTGAAGAAAATGAGAGAGAGAGAGAGCTTAGGGAAGAAGAAGAGCTAGCAGAATTTAGCTCAGCTCCCACGCAAATCATACGTATATTGCTTCTGACAAAAAAACGTTAGGAATCGGAACATTCCTATTACATCATTTACAAATCCGCCATTCATTCACTACCCTATGAGATAGAGGAACTGGCAGGAAAGTTACATCCTGACTGCACAGTTGGACTGTTATCAACGGCTACATTTTCAAAATGAAATAATAAAAGAGATAAGAAGATGGCACATTAGAATACTAACAATCAGACTTGCATAGTGGTGTGAGGAGAGTAAAAAAGAAAGAAGGAAGTAGAGAATTAAGAAGAGAAATGGAGAGAAGGAGGGGTGAAGAATATAGAAAAAGGTGATTAAGGGTAGGAATAAAAGAAAATTTTTTTTTTTTTTTTTTTTTTTTTTTTTTTTTTTTTTTTTTTTTTTTTTTTTTTTTTTTTTTTTTTTTTTTTTTTTTTTTTTTTTTTTTTTTTTTTTTTTTTTTTTTTTTTTTTTTTTTTTTTTTTTTTTTTTTTTTTTTTTTTTTTTTTTTTTTTTTTTTTTTTTTTTTTTTTTTTTTTTTTTTTTTTTTTTTTTTTTTTTTTTTTTTTTTTTTTTTTTTTTTTTTTTTTTTTTTTTTTTTTTTTTTTTTTTTTTTTTTTTTTTTTTTTTTTTTTTTTTTTTTTTTTTTTTTTTTTTTTTTTTTTTTTTTTTTTTTTTTTTTTTTTTTTTTTTTTTTTTTTTTTTTTTTTTTTTTTTTTTTTTTTTTTTTTTTTTTTTTTTTTTTTTTTTTGGTGACGTTTATGTTCGACCCTGGGAATGAGTTGGCCGAGTCCCTTCATGTAAGTATTATGTATTTTTAATTCTTATGTTACACTTTCAATTTATATGCATTTTTTTAATTTATATTTTATGTAATGTTAAACAGACGACGATGGTGGAGAGGAGCCAGTTGGTTCTTCAAGAGTCCGCCTCCCAACTTCCTCCCGAGACTCCGATCGAGTCTGTGGATCCTCCGCATGATGCTGGATTTCAGATTTTGACGCAGACGTTGGATCAGACTCTCGGGAGGAGGCCGGGAACGTATTGTAGGGGGATGGGGAATGCCCGACAGAGGGAACCTCGACCCGCGGTCATCGTCGCAGGCAAACAGTCAGGTGACTGTTTTGACATCGCGGGTTGCCGAGCTTGAGGGTCAGATGTCGGTGATTCTGCAGTCGCTCGCGCGGTCCGGGATTCCAATCCCGAATTTTGGTGCGTCGACCTCCGAGCCCGTCCAGCCCCGAGCATCCCCAGCACACCACGGCCCCTGCAGACACCCATACCTCCGAGCCGCATGTGGCAGATGACCAATTAGATTTCGGAACATTATTTGATTAGTTTTTTATTTTTATAATTACTTTTACAATTTGTATACATTTATTTTATTTTATATAATAGATGTTTTCTTTACGATTAATTTTTTTATTGTAATTTCATTTTAATTAAAAAAAAACAAAATTTATTTTTTACAAATTAAAATTCAAATAATAATAAATTTTTTTAATAATATATATTGCTTTTGCGCGACGAAACTAAATCGTCGCGCAAAAACATTTAAATATATCTTAATCTTGCGCGACGAGTAATTTCGTTGCGCAAGATGTGTATGCGCGACGAATAAGATGTCGTCGCGCAAGGTTCATGTAGTTCGCGCGACGGACAATTCCGTCGCGCAGTTTGTTTTGCGACGACCTCTGTTTCGTCGCGCAAATATTTGTGCGACGGACAATGAGGTCGTCCCGAAATGTTTTTTGAAACGAAGATGTTATACGTAGCGCAAACTGCGCGACGAATGACATTTGTTCGTCGCGCAAATCCTTTCTTCACGACCTTTGCGCGACGGATTGTGCGCGACGAGCTTCTGTCGCGCATAATGATGTGCGACTAAAATCGTTTTTGCGCGACGAAAACCCTTTCGTCGCGCAAAGACTAAAATGTAGTAGTGAGAGACAAAATATGAAATTAAGGAGACAAAAACATAACAAAAACGCAAAGAGACTAATCCAGAATTCACTAGCAAGATATACAAGGGTATTAAGAGATTAGGTGACTTTCAAATCAAACCTTTCAACCAAATTAATCCAGAATCCCTCTACATCTTATGGATTTGCTAAGACCTCAATCTCTCAACTCCTTTATTGATATCGATTTTTTGATGATTTTGTAGAGAATTTCATGAGGGTGTTTTAGAGAGTGCAGGAGGGTTTCAAGGAGGGAGAGATAAGGTTTTCAGAGACGGGGGAAAATCTGAAAATTTGTCGAGCGCGAATTCACTTAAGTAGACTTTTTTTAGCCTGTTTTAAAAGACGACCTTGTTAATGAGAGATAAGATTTTCAAAGACGGGTGAAAATTTGAAATTTGTCGAGCGCGAATTCACTTAAGCGGGCCATTTTTTAGCGTGTTTTAAAAGACGACGCTTTTTTAAAAAAAATTTGTCATCTTTACATATATAGCCGACAGTTTTTTTATAAAAAGCGTGATCTTTACATATAATAGACGACGGTTTTTATAAAAAGCGTCATCTTTACATACAATAGACGACGGTTTTTTATAAAAGCGTCATCTTTACATACAATGGACGACGGTTTTATAAAAAGCGTCATCTTTACATACAATAGACGTTTTTTACCGCTACACTCTTGACTCTATATGAATACAATGACTGAATTTGATCTTCAATTTAAAATATTACACCAGTGGATACCACAAAATCTTATGTTATATTTAAACGAAAGTATTAATAACTCTTAATTGTTAGTGAATATTTTTTTTTATGGCATACGCATTTTAAGAAACTAGTTTCAACTATCCAACCGTCAAAACTTGTTTGTTTATACTTCGAGATCATATACGCCAAAAATCGAAAAAAATAAACATTCAGAGATCAAGTAACGGGACAAAAAATTTCGACGGTTATAAATGAAAAATCACGATTTAACGGTTATTTTAACTCCGATTTTGATGATTTTTTACCGCTACACTCCTTGACCCTATATGATACAATGATTGAATTTGATCTTCAATTTAAAATATTTACACTAGTGGATACCACAAAATCTTATGTCATATTTAACGAAAGTATAAATAAACTCTTAATTGTTAGTGAATATATTGTTTTGATGGCATACGCATTCTAAGAAACTAGTTTCAATGATCCAACCGTCAAACGTGTTTGTTTATACTTCGAGATCATATACGCCAAAAATCGGAAAAAATAAACATTCAGAGATCAAGTAACGGGACAAAAATTTTCGACGGTTATAAATGAAAAATCATCATTTAACGGTTATTTTAACTCCGATTTTGATGATTTTTTACCGCTACACTCCTTGACCCTATATGAATACAATGACTGAATTTGATCTTCAATTTAAAATATTTACACTAGTGGATACCACAAAATCTTATGTTATATTTAACAAAAGTATAAATAAACTCTTAATTGTTAGTGAATATATTTTTTTGATGGCATACGCATTTTAAGAAACTAGTTTCAACGATCCAACCGTCAAACTTGTTTGTTTATACTTCGAGATCATATACGCCAAAAATCGGAAAAAATAAACATTCAGAGATCAAGTAACGAGACAAAAAATTTCGACGGTTATAAATGAAAAATCATCATTTAACGGTTATTTTAACTCCGATTTTGATGATTTTTTACCGCTACACTCCTTGACCCTATATGAATACAATGACTGAATTTGATCTTCAATTTAAAATATTTACACTAGTGGATACCACAAAATCTTATGTTATATTTAACGAAAGTATAAATAAACTCTTAATTGTTGGTGAATATATTGTTTTGATGGCATACGCATTCTAAGAAACTAGTTTCAACGATCCAACCGTCAAAACTTGTTTGTTTATACTTCGAGATCATACACACCAAAAATCGGAAAAAATAAACATTTAGAGATCAAGTAACGAGGCAAAAATTTCAACGGTTATAAATGAAAAATCATGATTAAAGGTTATTTTAAACTCTGATTTTGATGATTTTTTACAGCTACACTCCTTGACCCTATATGAATACAATGACTGAATTTTGTCTTCAATTTAAAATATTTACACTAGTGGATACCACAAAATCTTATGTTATATTTAACGAAAGTATATATAAACTCTTAATTGTTAGACGACGTGTTTTTTTATAAAAAGTGTCATCTTTACATATAATAGACGACGGTTTTTTTTTATAAAAAGCGTCATCTTTACCTACAATAGACGACGGCTTTTTATAAAAAGCGTCATCTTCACATACAATAGACGACGGTTTTATAAAAAGCGTCATCTTTACATACAATAGACGACGATTTTTTATAAAAAGCATGATCTTTACATACAATAGACGACGGTTTTATAAAAAGCGTCATCTTTATATATAATAGACTACGGTTTTTATAAAAAGCGTCATCTTTACATACAATAGACGACATTTTTTTTTATAAAAAGCGTCATCTTTACATATAATAGACGACGGGTTTTTATAAAAAGCATCATCTTTACATTCAATAGACGACGATTTATAAAAAGAGTCATCTTTACATGCATAGACGCGGTTTTTTATAAAAAGCGTCATCTTACATACAATAGACGGTTTTTATAAAAAGCGTCATCTTTACATACAATAGACGACCTTTTTTTATATAAAAAGCGTCATCTTTACATATAATAGACAACTTTTTTTATAAAAAGCGTCATCTTTACATACAATAGGCGACGGTTTTTATAAAAAGCGTCCTCTTTACATACAATCGATGACGCTTATAAAAAGAGTCATCTTTACATACAAAAGACGACGGTTTTTATAAACAGCGTCATCTTTACATACAATAGACGACGGTTTTTATAAAAAGCGTCATCTTTACATACTATAGATGACGGGTTTTTATAAAAGCGTCATCTTTACATATAATAGACGACGGTTTGTATAAAAATCATCATCTTTACATATAATAGACGACGGTTTTTATCAAACAACCACGTCTTTACCAAAAAAATGACACTTGATTTTTAAAAGACGACGCTTGTCATACTTGCCGTCGTTGTTTTTTTGTCAGATTTGAACTCTGAAGAAAACCTTTTTAATAAGACGACGCTTTTTTATTTGTGTGCGTCGTTATAAAAAATATTCAACAGTACCTCCGGTTTTTAGTTGTTTAAGTCACTTATCCACGACGGTTTTTTGTTACCGTCGTCTTTTTAAATATAACGACGGTTTTTTCTTCTACCGTCGTCTTTTTCTGGTCGTCTTTTCACTTTTTGTAGTAGTGTGTGTTTAATGTGGTTTATTTCCCCAAATTTTCTCATGTGGAGAGAAAACAAAACCCAATTTGGAAGGATGGTTTCACTTTCCCCCCTACTTTCCCATGGGCTAGGCAACAATTCTTATGCCTAGATTTACCAAACATGAGAAAGTAATTGATTTTTCCTCCCCAAGTCTCCTTTCCCATAAACCAAATGGGCCTCTAAGTGAAAGGGAGATAGTCAGGGCGCATGTGGTTTGCATGGGTTGGGGAGGCACAGCCCACTAGGCTGAAAGCGGCTTATGGTAATCCATCGCTTCCGAGCAGGGCCCAATCAGAGGTTAATTCGTGGATAGTCGTGAATGCTTTATACAGTTTCCTAAGGCGACGATGATCTGAACAGTCGCTTACCTCCGTCTTGTCATGTGTGAGACCCAATGGCATCTCCTCTTGTAAAGGCATGTCTTGTCCTAGAAATGGCCCAATGGTGATCAGATACGTGGACGTCTTCAATCATTTGCGGCTCCTAAGTCTCTGAGTGAGCCATCCCTCAGGTGGTTGACCGGGGCATTCCAAGGTATGTAGGAAGGTACCTTGATTTCTCCTAACCATATAGGCCAACCGAGGGTTCGATGTGGTGACACCACGGAGCTGTGTGGTTTTAGTGCTCGTCCCATTCGAGTGGTCAATCATAAGGGTCCGCCTCAACTAGTGTGGCTTGTGTGGGCTTTGAGTCCACATCGCGGTGCTAGTGGTTAATTCTGCTCGGTCAGTCCCTTATATCAACAATAAGATTTTGTAATTTAGTGTAGGCAAAGCAATAATTTAGATTCCTTGTCAAAATCCAATAATACCCATGTAGAAAAAATTATTTCAACTGTCACACCCCATGCATACCTATATCCTCAAATAATTGGACTTTGGGCAAATATTCCAAAGCAAATTCAAAGAAATATTTCACTAAATTAACGTTGGTATTTGTTGACCTGAATAATTATCAACATTTATTAATAATAAAATAATTAAATACCAGCCTAAGGCGTGACCTAATGGCAGCTGACATCCTTATGGGGTGAATAGATGGATATAAATTCTCTGCTTGGATTATCTCTGCCATTATTTACTTGACTTTTCCTTTATGTATGTCACCTCATTAAAATTTAATCCAAGAGATTTTAAATTGACACATCATCTTTAAAAGAAAAAACAAATGTGCTCATCTATATATATAAAGCAAAAGACAGAAAATGGTAAAACATTCAAAATATCGGAAAATGCTGCAAACAATTAAAATTATTAATTAAATGAGGATAATATGGTAAATTCATACTTTTCATATTAAAAATAAATAAAATTAAAAGAAAAATCAGATGATGGATTTTATTTTTATGGAACACAACTACCCATTATTTTTTTTTTTTTTTTTTTTTTAAATTCTAAAATAAAAATTTTTTTTTTTTAAAAAAAAACCTCTTACAAGCGTAGAAGTACGTGCAGAGAGGCAAGTAAGTAAAAAGAAAAAAAACACCCTAACTAAACTAACGTAAACCTTAAAGACGCCAGTATCTCTTCTTCATTTTCTTTTTAAACGCCTCTGCAACCTTTTTCCTATAAAAAAAAATGCCTCTGAGCATTTTGAGGACATATTCGAATGAAGCTAATGAAACTCACAATAGATTGGAAAAAAAAAAAAAAAAAAAAAAAAAAAAAAAAAAAATATCGTATCTTGGGCTTGTCCATACGATTGATGATTAAACAAATTTCAATTGCAATATTGGGCTGAATGTTATGAGAGGCGTGCTACAATTGCCTAAGGATGACATGTACGGCCGCCCAATGAAGGCACAAAAGCAAGCAGTTAGCTTTGATCAAGAATGGGCGCCAGATTCTCTTTGTTTTCAATTTCAATTATCAACAACTTCTTTGAGAAGTCTGAGCACACAAATATTTAAAGACTTCATCTTTCATCCCATACATTGAACTAGCACCTAAATTAATCATCCCCAGCCCCCTCTCTCTATCTCTCTTGATGAAGATGAGCCACGGAGTATCAAATAATGCTTTTGAGAGGAAAAAGATCTGGGACAATCCAAAAGCCTCCAAGGCTGGAACAAAAAAATATAAAAAGAACTATATTTTTCATATCCATACACATAAAAAACAAACGCCAAGCACACAACTTTCATCATCACACTCATTACTTTATTGGCACAACCCTAGCTCAATCCAAACTAAAAAATTTAGGGTTATGTCAGCCGAGCCCAGCGCAATGATGAACCCTATCTATTATAAGATGGGTCTCCAAATGAACCTAAACAACTACACAAGGAGATCACAACAAGAACCCCTATTCGTCCCTCTACAAATGATGCTAAAATTGTTAGTGTTTTGAGTGTGTGAATGGAGAGTGACGAAGAAGAGAAGAAACGGGAGGAAGAAGATTGGCCAAAACTGCTCTATTATACGTGTAGTAGTGGAATGTTCATCTCAATTCAATCTTACAGCCTCACGCACTTAGAGTGAAGGAATATAATCGTTAGCCACAACTGGTATTTGACTAGGGGGAGTTGTTCTGTCCTGTTTTGAACAACTGGTATTTGACTAGTCATCAATCTATGTTCTGTACTGTTTTGAACAACTGTGATTTGACTAGTCATCAATTTATGTTATGTGCTGTTAACCTTGTTCATATATGCCTATCCTTTTGTGGTTAATTCCTTTGTATGTTGTTTCTATCTCTCTGCCTTTTTGCACTTTCCTTATCAACAAGGGGGAGAACACTCTCAACCCCACATCGCATATTGTTTTAAAAATTCTGTGATAATATGCTTGTTTTTGTGCCTGGGAGATTGGTTGTTCTTGCAGGTACCTTCACTCCATCATCTCCTTAGTTTCGGTTTTGGGTTGAGTGTTTTTAGAGAGTGTGTTGTCAAGGAAAGCCAAAAAGGGGGAGATTGTTAATGTATGGTTTTTGCTATTTTCTTTTGGCTTCCCTTGACAACTTTGTAATAGGATGTGTATTGTTATTTATCAAGCTCAAGTTTAGATTAAGGAAAACCTTTCTTGGTGCTCTTCTCTAACTTATGCTCTATGGAGGTTCAAGCAAGTTGACAAAGGTATAGTGCATTGCATATCATTTCATAAAACAGTCTTCATAAAAATGATGACTAGTCATCCGTTTCTCAGATGACTAGTCATCCTTGCTCTGTAGGATTTCCAGCTAGATAACAAACTGTTTTGTCCTATTCCTCTTTCTCTCTCTCTGCTGCCATCTGTGTTTTCTGACCTAACGAATTTTTTGGCTGTAAAGGCTTCGTTTTTGGTCATTTGGTGGCTGTCTCTTTTGGGTGGAAGTTTTGGAAAGTTTGGCTTGCCATCTTTCGCTTCTTCTTCCTCGAGAGAACTATCTTATTTCATCTATGAGTTTTTCCAATTGATTTCTTTTTGAAAAACTGCATTTGAAACACAAATCTGCATCTAGCTACTTAAATCATTCTATCATTTATATCTAGGTCAGATTCAAGATTGATTTCTTCAAGAGTATGGTTTCTTGAAGAAATTGGTCATTCTCCTTTGAATCCAAATTGGTTTCGGTTTGTGTTGGAGCTTGCAAGCTAGTGCCATGGGATGAACGAGCTGGAGAAGGAGCTGCCATTGCCATGAAGAACTGAGCTTCAAGCTTTGCTAAGTTGGAGAAGAAGATTGCACAAAGGAGGTGTAGCTCATCTTCCTAAATAGATCTAGGTTTTTCTTGAGCTTGCTTGTGTTCCTTTGTAAGAATCTTTTTCTACTTAGTGGATTGCCTGGTCGGTTGATGACCCCCAGTTTTTCCCAATGGTGGGTTTCTGGGTAAACAGTTTCTGGTTTCCAACTCTGTAAATTTTCTGGGTTTGTGTTCTTGACAGTTGACTAGTCATCTGGGTTTGTGCAGTTGACTAGTCATCTTTTTCTGCTGTTTGGTGTTTGCTTGATTCTGCTGTTTGGTCTTCACACACTTTCACCATAGTTGTTGCTAGCACATGGGATGCCTAGATTGACGGGTCCTTCTGAGTGCCTAGGTTGTCACTAGTAATTCTCTAGGCTTGCAGGTACATCTTGGTGTGCTCTGTGTATGTTATTGTTTGGTATAATTCATATATGACAGTTGACTAGTCATAAGAGTATTTGGTCAAGGTCTAGAGTGTGTGAAGTTTGCTGCGTTCTTGGTTGAATATCTTTTAAATTTACCCCTCGTCACCTAAGTACCATTTTCAACTTGGCTTAGAGCATCCACAGTGGGGAGGTGTATATGGGGGTGTATGTTAAATATACATCCCGAGTCACCGGAATCGTCTCCAATGGGGAGATGTAAATGGATGTAAATATACATCACCACCATGGGGATGTAAAATAAAATGTATATTTACATCTATTTTTACAACCCTTACAGGCGGGACCCACCCGAGAAAAGAGAAGAAAAATGAAGAAAAATCAGCATAAAAGGCTTGGGACCCAAGGCTACACCCCCCCCAAATTTACACCCCCCACTAGAGTAAAAAGCATATTTACACCCCCCGGAGGTGTAAAGGGGATGTAAAAGTGACTTTACACCCCCGAATTTACACCCCCCCACTGGAGCAAAAAACATATTTACACCCCCCGGAGGTGTAAAGGGGATGTAAAAGTGACTTTACACCCCCAAATTTACACCCCTCCCACTGTGGATGCTCTTATAAACTTAGAGAAAAACAAAAAAACTATATTAACTAATTGTTAAGTCAGCGTAAGAGCTTATAATTAAACACTCCCCCTTGAGCTGATTTAACTCCAAGCATGCTCCTAAGATAATTGTAGCCAATGGTTTGGTGAAAATGTCAGCAAGTTGTTCACTTGTAGGACAATACACCAAATCAATGATGCCTTCTTGTAGTGCATCTTTGATGAAGTGATATCTTCGATCAATACGCTTTGTCTTCTGATGAAACACAGGATTCTTAGTGAGCAGATGTATTGTCACACTACAATGGAGTTGCTTCAGTCTAAAGTTCTCCAAAGTCTTCTAGCACAATTCTAAGCCAAATGGTCTGTGCAGTAGCTTCTGATGTGCTTATGTACTCTGCTTCTGCAGCAGACAATGCAACACAATTTTGTTTGATTGAAGCCCAAGAGAAAACACTAATGCCAAAAGAGAATGCATATCCAGATGTGCTCTTACTGTCCTCAGAGTTCTCACCTCTGAGCTTCCAGATCTAGCCATTTCTGGTCTCAAATGCACCTAAAAACAAGTTGTTTTCATATTTAAAAAATAATCGAGCTCAAGCAGCTTCGTGAGCCTTGAACGACCTTTAAAATACCCAGATAGTTTTCCTTCACAGTTTGAACACCCAGCTTCAGATGATTGAATTTGGCTTTGAGGCCATGTTAGTGTTTTGAGTGTGTGAATGGAAAGTGACAAATAAGAGAAGAAACGAGAGGAAGAAGATTGGCCAAAATTGCTCTGCTATATGTGTAGCAGAGGAATGGTCATCTCAATTCAGTCTTACAGCCTCACGCACTTGGAGTGAGGGAATATAACTGTTAGGCACTGGCGGATCCACAGAGGTGTAAGGAGGTGCAGCTGCACCTCCCCTCACAAGAAAACTTCGTTGGGGATGCCGGAATTTGCCCATTTGCTAGTGCCCACCAATTGTTTGACTAAATGCCTCAAAGACTTTGTATTGTTTGTTGTTGTGTGAGACCCTGAATATTTACCTTATATTGTTGGGCTCAATCTCACGAGCATGTAGGAGAAAACGGTTCATCAATCAGAGCTCCACAACCAAATTATGAATTTTCGAAGTTTTTCTAGAATATTTGAAGTTAAGTTGCAGAGGCAAAGTTCAAGGAAGAATAAGCCTCCGCGTCAGCTCTTCTCATTTTGATTCTTTTTAAATGGTCCAATAGCAAGCCGACACACATGTCTATTTCTAATTGGCCTAACTTAAAAAATTCATTAAAAACTCATATGTATGCCAAAAATTCACCAAAAATTACTCCGAACTTTTAATCATGTGTACTTTTATCTCGTGACCTCCAACTCACTTGTGCTTTTGGTTAGATTAATTGGTATTAGTTTTGGATAGATTAATTGGTATTGATTTTTGTTAGATTAATTATGTAATTGACATGAATTTTGTTCATATTTTATATGAATTTTGCTAAACTAATTGTGTCAATGACAAGGATTTTGTTCATATTAATTGATATCCGTATAGACTATAATCAATTAGTCATAGACATAAAACTCTTATTTGTTTTAATTATGAGGGACATTAGTATTGTTTAAATTCTAAGGGCATTTGGTTGTCTAAATTATTGTTTGAATTTTTAGCCTTTTTATTTTTATTTTTTATAACACGCTACACTGATGTTATGACTTGAACCCAAGGCCTTGCTTGAGTCCTTTGCGAATTTTTAGCCTTTTAAATATTGCACATTCCTTGAAAAATTCCTGGATTTGCCACTGCCGTTAGGCACAGTAGTTGAATCCCTTACATCACAAGGTGATCTCCACCATTCATTTAGACAACCAATGGGATCTTTACACTTGGCTTATAAACTTAGAGAAAAACGAAAAACTATATTAACTAACTATTAAGTCAGCTTAAGAGCTTATAATTAAACAAAAATTACGCAGCCCCTACCAAGAACTACTGAAAATACCAATGCAAGCATGGAAACCACCATTGACTAGAATAAAATAATCTCATAACGAAGTACACAACTTGGGTTTTTCGACTTCATGGGCGGACCAGTGTTGAGGAGAACGAGGGTTCACATTCTTAAAAAATATAATTTATTCACGCCACAGCAAGGCTTGTTGGGGATGGGAACGCTACTTCAACGTGGGGTTCATATTTCTTCTTGTTCCTATTGCATTTGTCACTCCAACGGAACGGCATATCCGATGCGGAATATGGGATACGAACCTATTATAATTTATAAATAAGAGTATCCTTGCTTCATAGGCGGATATAAAGAAAAAAGCTAGAGCAAGAGGAAACAGTACTGATTGCATGTAGACAAATAACATTCAGATTCAGAGAAAAGTTCAAGTGTAGGAGCTCTGGTGGCCATACATCTCAGTTTTTGTTTTCTTCTTGCAAATTCCAGCCTGTTTATTCAGCAGCCCCTTGCCTTTTTATCTTATTTATATTTTCTTCTTGTTCGTACTGCTAGCTTCGCTATATATATTATATATAGCAAAAACTAGAATAATAAGCCCACCAAGAAAGAATGATACGTTCGACATGGAGTAGTTGTTGCCAAATTTGCCAATCCCCACACGCTGGCCTTTGCTTGAATGGATTTTATTGCCCTTAATGTCGTAGTTTCGACCCCTCCTTGCTTCAAGACCATCAATATAACCTGCACGATAGTCGTTGTTGAAGTCGAAAAGCCCAACTTCTGTGGCTTCAGATGAGCTGATTTCATTCCTATGAATCTTCCACGTCTCACTATTTTCGTTTTGCGGAAGCTCTTGTTCATTTCTTTCTCCAGTGGACTCTTCTCCGGAATTCTCCTTGGTGCTCTTGTTCAGTTGTTCAGCTTCAGTTCGAGATCCATCTTATATATATGCAAAGAGAAAAATGAAAAATAAGTGAAAATAAGTGAAGGGCAAATACTGCAAAATCTTTCAAAAATGCAAGTTATTATTGTAAAATAAGTACTAAATTCCTTAGGCATGCACGCATAGAATCACATCAAGGAGAAGATCTTGAATCAAATAAATTTACATACCTGCCATTGATGAAAGCTGAAAGGAAAGTTTTTTTTATCCTTTGTAGAGTTCGTATGTTCTGCCGGCAATACAGACTAGATGTTTTGAACGTGTGTTTGGAATAGAGGATGGACCCCTTTAAAACCAGTAGAAAGGTACTGTTTAAGCCTTCATCAAAGTCTATTCAATTCTGGGTGTATTCAATTCAAACTTTTTAAACTCCATTCAAATTTGGATGTATTCAATCACGACTTTAAAAGACTTCATAAAAGTTTGGGCGTATTAAAAAACTCATTGATTTTAAAGGAAATACAAAAAGTGGTAGATTTCGTTTGGTAATAAACTAATTTTAGGCCATAATAAATCTTTGCTTCCCCCTAGAGATTTGGATAGATATATTATTTTTATTCTCAAGACATGATTTCACCACTTCTACTACCATCATTTTACCATGACTATCACCATAGTCGCCCCGCCACCTCCACTGCCACCGCCTAGCACCACCACAACCACCCTCACCTCCACCAAAACCCACCGTCGACCCCACTACCAACCCCACCATCACCCCCACCTGTTAGATATATGCCCTAGAAGCCAATATAAAAATGGATAATTCTAAGGAAATAATTTATATATATATATAATCAAATGGGTAAGAACGTTGCTTTAAAACATAACGTACACAAAGTAACAAGTCTATGGATTAAGATATAAATGGAAAGTGGTCTAAAGAAGTTAGATGCACGAGACCTTTCCATACATATAAACATCGTATCCTAAAAATGTTCCTGGTCGTAGGATCACCAATTGGACAATGGTGACCCACAAGGACTGGTACACATTATGTCTACTCAATTAGGAAAATGACTAGTCTCAAGTTATTCGTGTAAAGACACTGAGACAGATGTGTAGGTGCTCTATAGAAGATGCAGTCTACTGAACGCGATCAACTCTAGAATTCTTGTATGGAAGTATTACTCACAAGTGTCAAACAATGAATTCTAAGTTGTGATAATGCAAGTTAATCCTTAGACCTGAGACATTACAGTTGTCTTGTATATATGTTGTTCCTCTTTGAGAGCACCATACGGTCGTATCAAAATAATGTGACTTAAAGGTGTTCCTCAGGATTCTCAACATGTACGCAGAAACAAGTGAATGTACAACAAGGAATCTATGCTGTTAGTAAGAAGATAGAATACTCTAAAGATGTGATTCGTGAATCTTTGGCCAAAGTATTGGATGGAAATTGAAACAAGAACGTTTGCAATTTCAACAAATTGAATCATATAATCTAGAGATGTCATATTAGGGATTTTGACACAAGTTTACCATATCCCGAGAATATGACATAGAGTATTGAATTAGAGAAGGATCGAATTGCATTGTAATAAAAAACTAGAATTGCATTGTAATCACCAACTGACTAGGTTCTCTTTTTAGCTTGGGTAGCCATGACATACTGCAAGGTGTCACTCATGACTTGTGGAAGCCTTGTAAGTACTAATTATAGTTAGCTTTTGCCAATAGGGAGAATTGTATGGAGGGATACAATTCACACTTGATTTAGAGTGAATCATTCATATCCACTACCTTACTAATTAGAACCTATAAGATCACACACTGAAAAGGAATTGATTGGGAAATTAAGAAGAGAATGAATGATTTTGTGACTTGGTCAAAGTCAATGTGAAAGTCAAAGTCAAAGTCAAAGTTCAAACGGTTGACCCGACACTTGACACGGTCAACTAAGGATGACAGAGACCAACACTCGTTAGACAAGTGAGTGATTGATTTAGTCAAGTCACTAGAGTAATTAAATTGATTAGATTAATTTAATTATTCAATTAAAGTTATGAAACTATAGTTAAATGTCCCATATGACTTGGAAATTCAAAGGGGATTTGACCATATGGACTTAGGCACATACGTGACACATTATAGGATTAATGTGTTGGACCAAGATAGCACAAAGATGACACACAAGAGGGGGGGGGGGGGTGTGGGGGCTATACTAGGGCATAGGGGTGTTTTGGTCACTCTTGTGACATTTTTGATCCTATAAGGGTGTAGCTATGGTATCCTATCATCCTGGGTTTTCTAGTTGGTGAAATTGGAAGAGAGAAAACATGAATCTCTCTCTCCCTAACCCCTTGAATCTATCACATCAAGTGAGGATGCTAGCACCACTCTTCACTTCTTATCTACTCATTCTCTCATCTCATTCAATCCTTGGTGAAGAGCTTTGGGGAGGTGCATATCTTTGTACCTATTTGGAGAGCTACAAGGTGGAGAATCAACATAAAAGGGAGAGCCAACAACAAAGAGACCACTCCATCTACTTGAACACCATTCTTGGTTTCAAGATTCGCTCCAAAGGTATAAACATCTTATCTTCCTCTCAAATAGGATTTAGAGAGTCTTTGGTGCACATTTTTATAGATTTGTAAAGATTGGGACTAAATGAGACTTGCATGAATCCCTAGTTTATTTAATGCTTCCAATCCTACTTTGATTTCATATTAGATATGGCATGCTAGATGATTTATACTCTCAAAGTTTGGTTGTAGAGTTTTTAGAAATTTCTACACAACACCATTCCCACAATATTCCATTCACCATTGCCACCACCACTATAGCTAGTACCATTACCATCACTGTCACCACCACTATAGCTAGTACCATTACCATCACTGCCACCGCCACTACCTCCACCACCATTACCACCCTCACTATCAGCCCTACCGCCACCACAACCACTGTCAGCATCATCACCATCACTGCCATTGCCACCGTCACCGCCACCACCTCCACCACCACCATCATCACTACCACCTCCTCCACCATCTCCATCACAATCACCCCCACCTCCGCCACCACCTCACTGCCGCTGCCACCACCACTACCATCCCTACCTCCTCCATCACTACCTCCCTCACAAACCACCATTGCCACTGCCATTGCCATCACCACCACCGCCATCGCTATAAACTCCATTAAAATCAATAATAAAATTCTAACAAATTCAATTAAAATCTATACAAGAATTCAGTCAAAATTTATGTGGAGTTTGCAAAATTTATTCAAACTCAATTAAATTCAATTAAACTCCATGAACTTTATAACTCCTTTAAAAATATTTAAAATCTAAATTGAATACACCCTCCATCTTTATTTTCATTTTCCATCACCCTCCCTCTCTTCTCTCCCTCATGATTCTTCTCCTCCTTATTTCTTCTCCTTATCCAAAGTGCCCATTGACATACCACAAAAACAGAACCGACCTATATCACATAAGTCACAGATTTCAAGCACCCAAAGACATGACAATTCAAATCACAAAATTAACCAAAACCGAAGATGCCCACTTTATGAACAAGACCAAAAGAGAGAGGGGTGACGAAAAGTAAAAAGTAAATATTTCCCCAAAAACAATAATGAATCAATATGAAAACTAAAAAATAGAGCTACCCAGATGACCAATAATAGAAAAAACCAATAATCCCTAAGATACCTAGATGAAAAAAAAAAGGAAAAAAGAGAGGAGGTGGACGAGGCTAAGGATGTGAGAAGGAGGAAAAAAATAGAGAGAGAAACGGACTGAGAGAAGAAGAAGAGAAGAAAGAGAAAAAAGAATTAAAAAATAGAAAGAGAGAGGCAACCGAGTGAAAAAGAGAAAACATAATTTTTTTAAAAAAAAATATGAGAGAGAGGCAAAATCAAGAAAAGAAAGAGAAACAATAATTAAAAAAAAGGAAGGACGATGCAGCAAGCGTTTGTGTATCCATGTGTCTAGCAAGTAATGGGACAATCGCTCAAAAGTGATTAAATAAATAAATACTTTGTGTGGAGAAGGTTCGAGAGTTTTTATTTTTGTTCGAGTTCGAGATTTTTATTGTTGGGATAGGATTCCATCCTATGATTCAAGGCTAGAATTTGAATCAATCAAACCTATTTTCAACAGCTAGAAATATGTTCATCAGGTTTTAAACACTGCGATGTCCCTGGCCCCTAGCAGGCTGTACGATGGCAGCTAGTGGTTGCTTGTTGGTGAAGTAAGTGGAGCGAGAGAAATCCAGGCCTTGAAGTGGGCTCGTAAACTGCTCTCTGGTGATTTGCGATAAGCGTGTCACTACTAGTGATGCTCTTCTAGTAGAAAGAGGGAGTGAGGTGAAGATTAAGCCTATTAAAGTGTTGCGCCCTCGTTTTCTTATCTTTTAATCAAAGCCATTGTGCTCCAAAAGAGGGGAATCTGGCTTTAGATAGGTTCTTTTGTAAGCCTCAGTGAAGAGGACTTTAATATTTCATCTGTTATGGAATAAAACGCAAGATGGATGATGATTTTAAACTGTCATCAGACAAAGAGTACAATAACGAGCCTTGCATGAGAAGTGTCTAATAGATGACATAATATCAAGAAGCAATTATGTATCCAACATATTCAATTCAAGACTTGGCTTTGGTCTGTTGTGAGACACTTTGCAAGAGTTTGAGTCTGGGTGCTGAAGGCAACACAAAACTTGCGTGTTGCAGAGCGATGTAGCTAAGCACGGGGGTGCCGAGGGCAACACAAAGCTTGCGTGTCGCAGAGCGAAATGGCTAGGCATGATGGTGCCAAAGGCGACACAAGATGTGGCTAGGCACGGGGGTGCTAAAGACAACACAAAGCTTGCATGTCGCAGAGCGATGTAGCTAGGCACGGGAATGCTGAAGGCGACACAAGATGTGGCTAGGCACGGGGATGCTGAAGGCAACACTAAACTTGCGTGTCGCAGAGCGATGTGGCTAGGCACGGGGGTGCCGAGGGCAACACAAAGCTTGCGTGTCGCAGAGCGATGTGGCTAGGCACGATGGTGCCGAAGGCGACACAAGATGTGGCTAGGCACGGGGGTGCTGAAGGCAACACAAAGCTTGCCCTAGATGATGACGGGGTGCCGAAGGCATCGCTCGCGTCGAATGATGATGGGGTGCCGAAAGGCATCTCTGAAGTGGAATGGCGACCGGGTGCCGAAGGCATCGCTCGCGCCTAATGATAACGGGGTGCCTAAGGCATCGCTCGCGCTAAATGATGATAGGGTGTCGAAGGCATCGCTCTCATCGAATGATGACGAGGTGCCAAAGGCATCGCTTGTGCCGAATGATGAAGGGGTACTGAAGGCATCGCTCGCGCTGAATAATGACAGGGTGCCGAAGGCATCGGTCTAGCGGAAGGACGACGGGGTGTCGAAGGCATTGCTCGCGTCGAATGGAGCCAGGGTGCCTAAGGCAACGCTTGCTCCGAATGATGGCGGGGTGCCGAAAGGCATCGCTAGAGCGGAAGGACGACGGGGTGCCGAAAGGCATCGCTAGAGCGGAAGGACGACGGGGTGCCAAAGGCATTGCTCGCATCAAACAGCGGCGAGGTGCCAAAAGAATCGCATGCACCGAATGATGGCGAGGTGTCGATGGCATCGCCCAGGCGGAATGATGAAGATTGTATGGGTGCCGAAGGGCATTGAAGAAGGGGAGAACGACCTAAGCTTTTTATATCGTTTCCCACAAACAGCACCAAACTGTTGATTCTCTTTTTGGGAGGTCAACTTAGATAGATGTAGAATGGTGGATGATGGGTGAAGGTGAGGACCTTCAGCATGTGTGTGAGGGTTTAGGCAAGTGATAAATGTAAAGAAGACAAGATATATGTGGTTCACCCTTAATGAATGGGCTATGACCACAGAGAAGTATGTTCTCATTATGATAATATATGATTACATTTGTACATGGGGTTGGATCCAAATATAAAGATGACAAGTGAGATGCCCAGGCTAGGGATCTAAAAGAGAGAGAGTCCAAGGCCCAAGGGTCTAGCTCCAAGACCCGGATCCTCTTCTAAGTAGAGAGAAATCCCCATTTCACATGGATACTATTCCCTATTTATAGGGAAGTGAAAGTGGGATGTTCGTGTAGAATTTCAATGTGAGACTTTGTGCAAGTTGCCGTGGTGGTGACACGTGTCATGGAGATTAGGTTAAGCAGTTAGGACCTTCGGTAGGTGTCTGGCACCTTGGAAGAGTGTCTTCCTTCGGCAGGGGAGAAGGCGTGGCTGCCTTAGTGCTAGTTGTTTTGAGGCTCGATATGCTCGGTTGATTATGGTGTAAACATGTACAACTTTTCAAATGGAAAAATTATTCCACTCATAATTGATAAAAGTAAAGCCTTGCGACCTTAATATTCTATAAAAGTATTTTCTATACTAATATGTATTAAAATAAAAATTCATTATAAAACTATAGTAAGGCTATATGGTGAGGGAAGTGGTCAACGAGTAGAATATGAGAGGGTGGGGAAAGCTGGTATGCTGGAAGAAGATGAGAGAGTGGGAGAGTTGACGTGCTTCGGGTTTTGCTGGCTGAGATTTGTGAACAGTGTTATCAAAATAAATATCAGGGTAATTATGGCATGAAAAAATTGATTCTCTTTCACCCTTCTCCAATCCTACCTCCTCTTTCAATATAAAAAAAATGGGATTACTGATGATTTTTATGCCTCTTTGGCTTCTGCTTTTTCATTTTGTTTTTACCAATACTCCAAAAATCCGATGGCTTACTCTGCTTCAGAGAGCCTACTGTGCCTTGTTGAGCAAATATTTCTATATAGGCTTCAGAAATAGCCTGGTTATGAGCATCATTGCATATAGGCTTCAGAAATAGCCAGCCGGTAGACATATTTTCATCGCCTGGGACTCGGGGTACCAATAATTGGCTGCTTGCGTGCCAAAGAAAGTAACTATTGTTTCTAATTGTAAGTGAAGCTAAACTAAACTCTTCTTCCTTATCTAATAGACAATGTGAGAATATGATTAGTCAAGCTCTCTCTTTCTGTTACATTAGTGTTTGTCGAAAGTGAAGATAGAAAGATAATAAAGCAACCAATTGGCAGAGCACGTCTGAATGCACCACGATCTCTCTCCTACTCAAAGTCCAAAGGTTCACACCACCCTTGCACACTCCCCTCACGAAAAAAGCAAAATAGGCCGGTGTGTGCGACCCCATTTTTGTTTGGGTGGGTGGGTGTAGTATTTTCAGGATCAAGTAGGCCTTTTTTCTTTTTCAATTGTACTAGAATTCAGGTCCACTAGATCCTGAAAATCAAACACTGCTCCCCAAATAAAAATCGGGTCCCATGCATCACTGGCCTATTTGCCCTTTTTGCGTGAGGAGAGGAGAGTGTGAAAGGGTGGTGTGAATCTTTGGACTTTGAGTAGGAGAGAGAGTGTCGGGGTAAGGAGTTTTTCAGGGGTAAACGAAGACTGGTTCACTGGTTGGTACGTAAATGGTTTACTGGTTGGTAAATGTAATGATGACAATATTCAAATACATTAACTTGGACCTTATTTTTTTGGTTGGCCATGGAGTCAAAAGAGTTTATGGCTTGCTTTGGGCACTTGGGTACTTATGATATCTTAGGGATCAATGAAATTTCTCTCCTAATCTCCTCAAACCAAATCAAATTGTTAAACGGAAACCATCAGGTTTATTCAACTTACTAGTGGGGTGTGTAAACTAGTGTTGAGAGAGTAATAGCGTGAGTGGAAGCTCAGTATAGTCAGCCGACCTTGAGAATTTTGCCCATCAACAAACACTCTAGACAACTTTATATGCCCATAACTTTATTAGACCGTCACACACATCATCCATTAGACAAGAAATTAGTGACGGAGCCATAAACTTTGATAGAGGAGACACCTCAAATATTAAAATATTTTTCTTACGGTGGCATTTGAACTAATTTTTTACGTGATACTAAATTCCTAAATTTGATTACTACACTCTACATATCACATTCACTATCTATTTATCATTGATACTAGCAAAAGATATTGACTCAAATTAAATGTACTTTGTCAGATATACAAAGATTTGATAATAAAAGATTTGTAATTGTGTTAAGAAAACAAAGGTCTCAAGAAAGTTTAGAGGGGGGCATTGGATCCCCCAATACCCTAGCTCCCTCTCTGGCCCGGACTATATCCTGCTATATAATCTAACTCACCAAATGAATATAATAGAAGAATGAATGTTCCAACATATCGCATGGTACAAGGTATTAAACCCTAATATTCCGATTATTCTTTGGTGACTACTAATCCCAAATATTCCTTGTATATATACAAACAACGTAATTAAAACTGCCAGACAAAATCACATCCGCAGCATGTCAAAAGCAGAATATACAATGAGACCTGTGGTGGAGAATAGAAAGTTTTACTCATGCACGGCATCTAATAGGTTTTACAATAACTACAAAGAGTTTATACAATGCGGAGGAGTCCAATGGCAACATCAAATTCTCATATGGTATATGTCAATTCACATGGCTAAAGAAATTCTGGAATTAACATGATTATCGACGTATAATAATACTCTTGCGGTTGTATTTGATGTTGCCAAAGTTTTGTAACCCAACTTTTCGGGAATTAACTGCTATAATTGTATTATTATTAATGTCGTGACTGATACCTTTGTTTTTGTGGAAGCCCTCGTTTCCTTCAGAGCCACCTTGACCTTTGCCGGCATTGCTCAAGTCGACATTGAAGTTGTGAAAGTTGAATTTCCCGACATTTGAGGATCCATTGCGTGCTGTAATTTTATTTTTAGAAATTCTGGATCGGTTGGTGCTGCAGCCATTTTCAGTATTAGTTGTCTTCAAGTTCCATTGGGAGTTGCTGAAGTTGTGATACGCTTTTGGAACTCTATCTCCTTCAATCTTATTGTCACAAATGTTGAGACCACCACCTTTGAGTTTCTTTAGTTAAATCTAACAAAAAATTAGACGGTGGGATCAATGGAGCGAATAATATAGAGTTGATGGACCATTTGAACGAATAATTTAATTGAGAGGCCAAAATGTAAATCGGGTACAAGTTTGAGGACTATTTGAGTAATTTACCCTTATTGTTTCCTAATGGTTTAGGGAATCTTAGTGGTACTTAATATTGTACAGACATCCTACTCGCGTGTGTTTGGGTTTACGTTAGGTTAGTGGTGGTCCTACCATGTGCATATGCTGCTCTTGCTTTTCAAATTGAGATCATTTCACCATGAATTCAAGTTTGAACAAGATTCAGACCAAAAACAAAAGTCTGAACAAGAGTTTTGTTCACACTTCACGTATTCAAATACCTATATGGTAGGGTTTGAAAACATGCCCGTGAACCAGCGAGTGGTCTCTATCGTTTGAACTGTGACCTATCTTCTATATATGCAAACTAATTACATAAATTCCTTATAGGCATACACACATAGAATCACATCAAGGAAAATATCTTGAATCAAATAAAAATATTAATCATGCATAGTAGTACATACATACCTGCCATTGATGAAAGCTCAAAAGAAAGTCCTCTCCTTTCTGTAGAGTTCTGATGTTCAACTAGCCAATAGGGACACACTATTATATATGTGGATTTATTTAATTAATTAATTAGCATTTATAATCATGCGATTACCTTTTTCTAATGATAATTTATTTAATATTAGTAGCAGCCGTCACCATTTCAATTTGGATCTACAAATTTTTTTATGTCCCATCATGTGAAAGAAACATGAACACCAATAGGAAAAACGAAAATTTTCCACCCACATAAAATACCTTTTTAGTCTTGACTATACTAATCCAAGTTGATTATCAGGACTTTATTTATTTATTATTTCCATTTTTATCCTCACCTCTATATACAAGATGGGTCTCCAAATGAAGCTGAATACCTGCACAAGGAGATGGCAACACAACCCTTTACTGGTCCCTCTAGAACAGTTTGTGAAACTGAAACAGAGCTCCCACGAAAAGAAACTGAAACAGTGCTCCCACAAAAAGAAACTGAATCAGAGCTCCCGCAAAACAGAACTAGTGAGGCAGAAAATAGTAATAACCGGACCTGCAACATTCAGAAGAATGTAATTACCGCAACAGAAAGCAGAAACGTTGGGGTTTTCGACTTCAACAACGAATATCATGAAGGTGGTGCTGTTGATCATCATCAAGGAAGGAAGGGTCAAAACAAAACTGACTACAACATTGATGGCAACGAGGTTGATTCAAAGATGGGGAGTTTGTTGGGATCGGAAAATTTAGCAACAAGTACTTCAACCCGAGGAAAGAAGAAGGAACGAGCAAGAAGCCATGGTATCAGTTTTGGTAAAAATAAACAAGAGAGAAAGTAAGGGAGCTGCGCTGCTGAATAAAGAAAGAGGCTGGAGTTCATTTCCATTTTATAGTCCATGTCTTTGTTTCTTTGTAGTGTCTACTATTTGAATGTGGTTAGTTACAGTATTGGAGTTGAGAATTTGGTCTCTTGGGTCGATCTGTGGAATTTATATATTGATTTTCAGCATGAAAAATACGTTCTACATGAGAAAAGTAGGGATTATGAACCCCGAAGTCATATGGGTCTTGATCAAAATCATAGAAGGATCAACCCCTAACATATACTCATCATTAATCTGTGTGTATTTGAATTTATTAATTTGTGCATCGAGAAGAGGAAACTTTCCCGCATTCGAATGCCATGAACATCTGAAAGTTTAATTCTGAGCATGAGAAAGAACTAATAACGAAGAAATCTGACTTATTGATTGCCACAAAACCAGTCCATACATAAATCTAGTTTTTCATGCCCCATAACATGTGGTAGAGTCTTGACCTGCCCCATAAGATCTAGTTTTTCTCCAACTATTTATTTTTGTTCTTCTCAGTCGTGCCATTTTTTTCACTCAAGCCGCTTGCTTCATTTTTTGTTTTGCTTACTCACCATTGATATATAAAAGAGAAAAGAAGAAGCAATAACTAGAAGAACAAGAAGACCAAGAAGAAATGGTATGCTCGACTTCTTGTTGTACTTGTTGCCAACTTTGCTAATCCCAACACGCTCGCCTTTGTTTGCATAAAATGTATTGCCAGAAATGTTGTGGTTTCGACGCCTCCTTGGTTGATGAACATCAACACCACCTCCACCTTCTTCGTTGTAGGCATCCCAATATCCATGCTTTCTCCTTGGGGGCTCTTGTCCAGAAAGCATTCTAGGGCGACCAGAAAAGTGGTTTCTTATCCTCTCCTGGAGGCTCTGATTCAGTTGTTCAGCTTCAGATTGAGATCGAGACCCATCTTATGTATGTGCAAAGATAAAAATGGAAAGATCTTTCAAATGAGAGGAGGCAAATACTCCAAAATCAATTGGAAGACAATCTTTCAATAACTGGAAGTTACTATTGTAAACTAATTGCATAAATTCCTTAAACCCTATACACACATAGAATCACATCAAGGAAAAGATGTTGAATCAAATAAAATTTCCTACTCTCTCTGATTTTATCCCCGTAATATATTATTCCCAACGATGTTGAAGTCATTGCCTCTTCCGCCCTTGTCTTTTTTCTTGGGTTGGAGAGTTTTGGTGCTCAAGGAAAAGAGAAGTTCACATTAATTATATAATAAATTATAATTAGTGCTTGCAATTATCAATTATCTAGCTAATTGATTACGTTGAAATTATAATTATCTTGCAATTATCAAAAGAGGACCCCTCTTGTCCTAATCAAAGAGGGACCGGACAGACTTTTTAAAGTGGCCATGCTTGTGGAAAAATTATACAATACATTGTACATCAAATTTGGAAAGCAGCAATTTGAATAATCACCAGTGTTGACCTGGGCCGGACCTTGGCCAGGGAAACTAGGTCATCGCCCGGGGCCCACAATTGAGAGGGGCATAAATATGACATTTTAATATGTGTTTAGGTCAGTTACCACACGGGTATTGTATTTGTATGAGATATTCTTAGAATGAACAAGAATTCTTTGTAGAGATTTGTAACTTTCTTGTTTTGTTTATGGTACTAGAAATGACTTTCTGTTTTTAGGTATTTTAGATGCACTGCATCCATATGGAAATATATATATATATATATATATATGATTTATCTACATTTCAAGACATCAATCATTAATCTAACCAAAAATCATCTGATGACTACAATTTGTGGTTTATCCACTTTCCTTCATTGGGGTTTCTATTCAAGCAATGCTGGTAGTAAGGTAACATGCCAACAAGTCTATTGCGAGAAATGTTGATAATCCCAACCCGACGGCTGTTTTCTGCATAAAATCTATTGCGAGAAATGTTGTGGTTTCCACCCGTCCTTGCTTGATCACCACTTCTGCCTTCTTTGTTGTAAGCATCTTGAATCCCAACATCTGTGCTTCGAAATGCGGAGAAATAATTCTCATTAATGTTGTTGGTCTCGTTGCTTTGATCAGTATTTTCTGCCTCACTATTATCATTTTGCTGGAGCACTTGTTCAGTTCTTTCTCCTTGGGACTCTTGTTCATAAAGAGTTCTAGGGCGACTAGGAAAGCGGTTTCTTACCCCCTCTTGAGGGCTCTGGTTCAGTTGTTCAAAAGAAAGTCTTCTACTCTCCGTAGAGTTCTTATGTTCAACTAGCAATAGGGACTAGATGTTTTGAACGGGTGTTTCTAAGAGAGCATGGACCACTTGCTGAAAATGGAATAATTACTATTATGTATGTGTATTTTATTTTTTTTTTTTTTTTTTTTTTTTTTTTTTTTTTTTTTTTTTTATTAATCTTTGTTATAATCTGCAGTATTCCAGATGATCAACTTGGAAAAGTCTTTCCAGCAAAAAAAAAAACAAAAAGACCTGGAAAAGTCTTGTGAAAAAGGACTTTGTGTGTGTGGAAAAAGGTTCAAGTTTTCCAATTTTTTTTTCGAATCTCGACAAAAGAAAAAAAATAAAATAAAATAAAATAATTACAAACTAACAATCGAAAAAGAAATTAAGCAAAATCAACTTAGGCAAACCAAATCAATCCAAAGATACCAATGGAACGAAGATTCAAATAAGTTGATTTTTATAATTAATCTCAGTTATATATCTGAAATAATCATGGGGCATTCTAAAAGACTTAGTTCTTCCTCCCCTCTTCTATCTTCTCTTCCTCCTTTCTCGTCTTCTCCTATTTTCAGATACATAAGTTTTTCTCTATTTGTCTTCGTTTTGTCATGATTTTCCTCCAACCATCACATGCGGCTTCGTCTTGGTGTCGAATCTCCATCTACATTTTTGGCATTGAATCTCCACCATCATCATTTTTTGCGGTTTTTTTGTGTTTGGAACAAGTCACAAAGACTCTTTGGGTTCTTTGTGTAGTTTTCATATCTCCTTTTGTGAGAGCTTTTCACCTCTCCTTTGTGAGAGCTTTTTATCTCTCCCTTGTGTGAGTTTTATTTGTATTGTTATGACTTGATTTTTTCAAGCTTTATCTCTTTTTGATTATTATGAGTTTACAATCTTAATTGGGATGCTTATACTAGAGTTTCGATCATGAGTGATCGTTAATGGAGGTACATCAGATTGCCTTAATTTTGATGTTAGATCACTCTGTTATTGCAATTGCCCCTTGTGACAAGTTTGTATTGGCCATTTGTGACTAGGGGTGGGCATCGGGACAGGAAAACCAGAACATCGAACCGGACCGGTGAAAAAAAAAGAGAAAAAAAAACCGGTTGATCAAAAACGTCAACAAACTGGACCAGAATCGGACCGAACCCGTTACAACCGGTTCCAGTTCCTGTTCCGATTTTACGCGGCACCACACCGGACCGGACCGAACTGAACCGGTTGCAGTTTTTTAATTTTATTTTATTACAAAATTTTAAAATCCAATGCTATATTTGAAATTTTAAAAATAGGGTTACTAAACAGGTTTTCTTTGTTTTGGATTTAAATTTTGTTTTTGAGTTTTAAAAAGTTGAATACTAAATAGGGCCTTAATTGTCTAAAATGAATCTCTAAATTTATGGCTTGTCAACATCAAACCTTAAAAAGAAATTTTTTATGTCACATAATGTGAAAGAAACATGAACACCAATAGGAAAAACGAAATTTTCCCACCCACATAAAATACCTTTTTAATATTTGACTATCCAAGTTGATTACCAGGACTTTTTTCTTTATTTTTTTATATTTGCATTATATCCTTGCCTCTATACAAGATGGGTCTCCAAAAATGAAGCAGAATACCTGCACAAAGAGATGGCAACAAGACCCTTTACTGGTTCCTCTAGAAAAATTTCTGGAACTCAAACAGAGCTCCCACGAAAAGAAACTGAATCACAGCTCCCGCAAAACAGAACTAGTGAGGCAGAAAATTGCAACCAGACTTGGAACATTCGTGAGAATGTAATTACGGCAACAGAAAGCAGAAACGTTGGGGTTTTCGACTTCAACAACGAATATCATGAAAGTGGTGCTGTTGATCATCATCAAGGAAGGAAGGGTCAAAACAAAACTGACTACAACATTGATGGCAACAAGATTGATTCAAAAGAAGGGGAGTTTGTTGGGATCAGTAAATTTGGCAACAAGTACTGCAACTCGAGGAAAGACGAAGCAAGAAGCTCGAGCGAAGAAGAAGGAACGAGCAAGCCATGATATAAGCTTTGGTAAAAATAAATAGGCGAAAAAGTAAGGGAGCTGCGCTGCTGAATAAAGAAAGAGGCTGGAGTTCATTTCCATTTTATAGTCCATGTCTTTGTTGCTTTGTAGTGTCTACTATTTGAATGTGGTTTGTTATAGTATTGGAGTTGATCTATGGAATTTAATATATTGATTTTTAGCATGAAAAATACGTTCTACATATACTCAGAAGGATCAGCCCCTAACATATACTCATCAGTAATCTGTGTGTATTTGGATTTATTATTAATTTGCGCAAACGAGAAGAGGAAACTTTCCCGCATTCGAATGCCATGAACATCTGAAAGCTTAATCCTGAGCATGAGAAAGAACTAATAACGAAGAACTCTGACTTATTGATTGCCACAAAACAAGTCCATACATATCCTGCGGTCAAGTCCTGACCTGCCCCATAAAATCTAGTTTTTCGCCAACTATTTATTTTTGTTCCCCTTAGTCGTGCCATTTTTTTACTCAAGCCGCTTGCTTCATTTTTTGTGTTGCTTACTCACCATTGATAATAAAAGAAAAAAGAAGAAGCAATAACAAGAAGAACAAGAAGACCAAGAAAACCAAGAAGACCAAGAAGTAATGGTACGCTCGACTTGTTGTTGTACTTGTTGCCAACTTTGCTAATCCCAACACGCTCGCCTTCGTTTGCATAAAATGTATTGCCACAATGTTGTGGTTTCGACCCCTCCTTGGTTGATGAACATCAACACCACCTCCACCTTCTTCATTGTAAGCATCGTGAATCCCAACATCTGTGCTTTCATTTGCGTAGAAATCATTCTCATTAATGTTGAAGGTCTCATTGGTTTCATCAGTATTTCTGCCTCACTATTTTCGTTTTGCTGAAGCTCTTGTTCAGTTCTTTCTCTTTGGGGCTCTTGTCCAGAAAGCGTTCTGGGACGACCAGGAAAGCGGTTTCTTACCCTCTCCTGAGAGTTCTGGTTCAGTTGTTCAGCTTCAGATCGAGATCGAGACCCATCTTATGTATATGCAAAGATAAAAATGTAAAGATCTTCAAATAAGTGGAGGCAAATTACTCTAAAATCAGATGGAAGACAATCTTTCAATAAATAGAAGTTATTATTGTAAACTAATTACATAAATTCCTTAAACCCTATACACACATAGAATCACATCAAGGAAAAGATCTTAATCAATCAAATAAACATATTAATCATAATATATAGTACTTACCTGCCATTGATGAAAGCTAAAAAGAAAAGTCTTCTATTCTCTGTAGAATTCTTATGTTCAATTAACAATAGGGACTAGATGTTTTTTAACGTGTGTTTATAAGAGAGCATGTGACCTCCTCTTGAAAATGGAATAAATTACTAATATATAAATATATTTATTTATTTATTTATTTTATTAGTCTTTGTTATATCTGCAATATTTCTAATGATCAACTTGGGAAAGTCTTTCCAGAAAAAACCAAAAAAACTTGGAAAAGTCTTGTGAGAAGGACCACTCTTGTCCTAATGCAAAGGGGGCCGGACAGACAGACTAATGCAAAGAGGGCCGGACAGACTTTTTCAAGTGGCCATGCTTGTGGAAAAATTCTACAATACATTGTACATCAAAGAAAGCAGCAATTTGAATAATCACCAGTGTTGACTGGTGAAACCAGTGGTCAACGTAAAACTTTGATCCTAGAGGGGGTGCAAGGTTACCAATGGACTTTCCAATCCAAGGTATGTAGGAAGATACCCTTGATTTCTCCTAACCATATGGGCCAACCCGAGGGATGGATGTGGTGACATTACGGAGCTGTGTGGTTTTAGTGCTCGTCCGGTTCGAGTGGTCAGTCATGAGGGTCTGCCTCAGCTAGTGTGGGTGTGGGCTTTGAGTCCACATCGAGGTGCTAGTGGTTAATTCGGCTCAGTCAGTCTCCTATGTCAACAACCACCATGTATACAAATACATGGTACAAACAACCGCTTTTTCTGTAGCATTTTGAGCCAATACAATAAGATTTTTTAATTTAGTGTAAGCAAAGCAATAATTTAGATTCCTTGTCAAATTCCAATAATACCCATGTCGAAAAAAATATTTGAACTGTCCATACCCCATAGCCCATACCTATATCCTCAAACAAGTGGACTCTGAGCAAATATTCCAAAGCAAATTCAAAGAAATATTTCACTAAATTAACGTTGGTATATATTTGTTGACCTGAAAAATTATCAACATTTATTAATAATAAAAATAATTAAATACCAGCCTAAGCTGTGAGTTAATAGCAACTGAACATCCTTATGGGGTGCTAGTATTGCTAAACTGAACATGGAGATTGCACAGAGAGATAAAGCTGCTTCCTAAATAGATATACGAATTCTTGAGCTTGTTATTGTGTGCGTGAACATCCGTATATTCATCTAATATGAAAATATTATTATGATTAACAAAATTTGCTATGACTTAATACTATAAGATAATTTTTTTAATAACTAAAATTCATCATCGATTAGCATGCAATGGCAATCATAAATCAAATTCACAAATATTTTAATGTTTCAATTTGAGAAAAAGGAAGAGAAAGAACAAGACATGAACTTTTTTTGTTTTGTTTTGAGTGGGTGAAAACATACACTACAAATTTTTTTGGTTGATTGGTGAAAGCTTGTATATATTGTTTTCCTTTGGCGTGTTGTGCCTTTTTTCCCTTTTTTTTTTTTTTTTTTTTTTTTTTTTTTTTTTACCTTTACTTTTTTTTTTTTTTTTTTTTGTTTAATAAAAAAGAGAAGAAATGTAAATATACAACTACTGAATGATACAATACTGACTCAAACCCGACTTGCCTACTAAAATCAAGGCATTGATTTCCAACTCAACCAAATTCTCGCTTGTGTTATTGTCCTGCACGCTCAAGTATATATAATACCTATAATATATATATATATATATATATAATATAAAAAAAAAAAAAAAATTCAGGCCATGTACGGTGGCACCTCTTGCACACCCTCAGGGCTGCCCCTGATGCTAGTATAAATAGGGCCTTCCACTATTGAAATAAGAGTAAGAAAGGAGAAGCGAGAATGAAAGAAAGAAGAAAGTGAGAGAGGAAGAGAGAGGAAGTGGTGATGAAATTCTTTGAGGGCTTAGCATGTGTTTCTTAACTTGGAGCAAAGCTTTGGAATCGAGGTAGGGGATTTCTTAGGGAGCTTTTACATAAATTGATTTAATTAAATTTCGTGAACACTATATTATGCATGATATTATTATTTGATTATTATTCTTGATATTGGGTGTTTACATGTTGCTAATTATTATAATATTATTTTATTAATATTGACATGTTCATTTGTTATGGGTGATGGTTGGAATTGTTGGGTTGATAAAGAAATTATGGAAAATAGGATAATAGGAAGGATCTTTTGTGCAGTTGAGACTAACCATTGTAGGGACCAAGTTCAGGCGAGCTTGTGTGCACAATGTGGGAACACATATTTTTGCGACCAATAAGAATGACACGTGGAAAAGGGGATATTCCTTAAGTCTCAGCTAATTACCCTAATTAATTAGAGATTTATCTTTGATTTAAGATAGGAGTATCTTCCCTAAATCATGGAACCAATTTTCAGCAAATCTCTTTGATTAATTCTCATCATCTTTTTGAGTAAGAATAATCCTAATTAAATAAGGATTATTCTTTAAACCCTAGCCAAGCAAGGAGACTATAAATATATGGCTACACAACACACATGAAGGAATTTAAACTTGTATGTTAGCTATCTTGGTTGGAATTAAGAGTAGACACTATATGCCTTAATTTGAATTGAACTATGAATAGGAAGCGTATGTATGGACCATCGACAACATGGATTAGATACATATTTGGTTGTTTAAAATGTTCTCCTATACATAATGGATTTCTAATGCTTGATTTAGGTTTGACAACAAAGGATATGATTGAAGAATTAGGAATACAAGGTTTAGACCAGACAACATGGCTAAATTATACATTAGAGAGAATCAATCTTTTTACTTGAATTGAACTTGTTAACGTGATTGTTTGAGACTTAGAATTGGATTGTTTCCTAGTGTCTTTCTTCTTTGTTTGTTTAACTTTTTGTTTTCAATTCATATACTCTTGTCAATCATCTTTAAACCTTGTTTCTATTTCTCTTTTGTGCAGGGAATCGAATTGAATCAATCTATCAACAATCCTCATGGGATCGACCTCGCACTTACACATGCTATACTACCCAATGGCTCGTGCACTTACAAGTATCACAAGTTGAGGATACAGCTGAATCAATTTTGGCGTAGCTGTATCGACAACACCACATTGCTAGCCCCTGTCCAGGAGAAACACTTACATGAAACGGGAATAGCACTGATATCCCCAACCAATCACGTTATGCCATGGATGAAAACTTTTCCACAGGCAGTCTGTGGTTTACCGGGATTGCAAAATAGTACTATCCCTGTTCATACAAGTTTTTATGCCTGTCAACTAACTAATTATGTTTTTTTTTCCACTAGTTAGGGGACAGGGCGCGGGGGGCGATGTTTTACTCATACATGCCTAAGGATGGGTTTGAACCTCAGACATCTCAGGACAAACACACTTGGCATGGTTGAATCCCATGGGCACTAGTCATGTATTTTTCCACATACATTATCCTTTCTCGAAGTGAAGTTCGAAAGAAAAAGCAACCAATTGGAAATGGCGTTGTGCCCAATACGTCAATTGTCTACTACGATAACATGAAGGTGTTGGTCCGTCGCAAATCTCGCGGCCTGGTGCTCCGGGTCGAGGGGATGTGCGTCAACACGTGACGTCCTCTTTTTGGATGCGGTGCGGTTGTGCGAGGGCGTGCCAGCACGGTCTACCTTGCGTCGAGGTGATGATGAGGTTCGGGTAGAAGATGGTTTAAATGTTGCGCCTATTTTGCGTTCGACTCCTAATCAAACGATTGTGACCGAGTGAGGAACGAATCTCGGCCGTCAGGTTCACGGCCTGAGCTACAAGGCCGTTTAGTGGTGGTGTTGGTGGTGGGTTTTAGGCGGTGTTCCAGCGCGTTGCTCAGAGAGCGACGGTCGTATGATATATGGAGTGAGTGAGGCGATAACAGAGGTGGTGCTCCGGCGCCTTGAAATCAAGGGTCGTATGATATATTGATAAATGGACTTTCCTTACAGTCTACCACTACTCCTAAGAAAGCAAATAAAGGTATTGAAAGTGCATTACAGAAAATATAATTTGCTCTGTGGGAGGCTTTTGGTTTGGTGTTTGAACCCTTTGAATGTAGTCCTGAGCTTAGCATTTATAGGAGTCCTGGAGGGACATTCGAGGTTGACAAGACCTGCGTGGTGGAGCCTGGCGGGGCAAGTGGGTATCAAATCGGCATTTGGGATCGTGAAGCATGGTGGTCTAGGGTTGAGAAGCATGGTGGTATGACCTCCATAAATCTCGGCAAATCTCAGCCACCGCCCTGATCGTGGGTTCTGCCCCCTTGGCCGTGGGAACGCATTTAATGCCCTGGACTGGTGGTTGATGATCTGACCCTAAGTCGTAAGATTACTTGTGAGAATGTCTGCGCCTAACCACCCTGATTCCCATCACCAAATCCTGACTTCAGTCACTTCCCTCGTGCATTGAATGCTTCTTGTGACTAGTGGGTTTTGCTACGAAGTCAGAGGCATTACTTCATTAAATGGAGCGTGGGGCCCTGAGGTCACTTGGCGATTCAACCACAGCTTTTAGATCGTATCTTTTGCGGCCTTCGGCCTTGGCCTTCAAAACTGCGGTCGCGAAGCCGAGGGGATTCTGCCTTTGCAGCTTTTCTTTTGCTCTTAGGAGGGCGAAATGCTTGACGAAACGGCAGGCGCCAGGGCCGAAGGGAAGTCCCTTCAATCAGTTCATGACAGTGTTTTATTAGGCACAAACAGAAGGACGTTGAAGTTTCATCTTAAAATTAATGGGCTATGTAGGAGTAGCCTAACTCTTTATAAACTTATGTTAAATGCATTTAACTTTTCATAGTGTGACATACTCTCAACAATCTAGATGCACCGTCAAAGTGGAGACCCACCTAACTAAGTGTCAAAAAGGCACGAAATAGTGTATTTGAATATTATCATTACATATTTTCTGCTATTAGATTTAAAGTACCATCTAGTGAATGCAAATGTAGTCTTCTCTAACTCGTTGTCGTAAGTCTCGAATTGGTGAATAAAATCCATGTGCATTGTTTGGGGCTTTGCCATTTCAATTTTCTATGCTTCCTACCACTGTCTTATTTTATTGCGCCCTCTCATGCTTTTTGATTATTTTATTAAGTATGAGAATCAATTAGGTAGATAATTTTGCTCTAGTTTTTTTTTCTTTCCTGCTCTAGCTTTGTTGCGTGACAATTTATTATCAAAATTGATGTGGCAATGTTCATGTCTAAGTTCACTCTGATTCTTATTTATTTGCATGCAATAACAAACTGACATATGGGGGGCATCGGAACCCAAAGAATCTGACAAACGAACCAAATTTGGTTGAGAAAAAAATAAAGAGTTGACTAAATAAGTCAAACCCAATTCAAAAGATCGAATTGGAATAGTTTTGTTTGGTTCTAGTTTTGATTCTACACCATAAAAAATAAATTGATCCGAACCGAACTGACTATATTCATTTTTATTTTTAGTTTTAATATATCCCAATGCTAAATTTAAATTTTCATATGTCATGCAAAAGAGTTAAACTGATATTGAAATAAACAAATTGAACTTAAAAACTTGTATTTATGGGTTTAAAGGGATAAGATGAGATAAATGGTATAATTTAGTTATGTTCTTCATTTGATTTTGGTTTCAGGAAATTGGGAGAGAAATTGCATTGATCCCTAAGATATCATAAGTGCCCAAGTGCCCTAAGCAAGCCATAAACTCTTTTAACTCCATGGCCAACCAAAAGAGGTCCAAGTGAATGTATCTGAATATTGTTATTACATCTTATCTGCAATTAGATCTCTCCTACTCAAAGTTTTCACACCACTACTCTCCTCACGCAAAATTTTAATTTTAGTTTTTATATTTGGTATATTATTTTGACATTGTAATTTTTGTTTAGGTTAGTTATCACGTGGTTATTGTATGAGATATTTCTTAGAATTAGAGCCAGTCCTAGGTTTTCTAAGGCCCAGGGCAAATTTCTAGAGAGTGCCCTTTTAGACAAATTAAAAACTAAAATTACAATTTTTTTTTAAACAAATTAATTTTATTTGGTAACATTTTTTAATTTTTATAAAAACACGAACAATAACAATGAAACTAATGAACAAAGAATAATAAAATTTGAATTTTGAGAATTTTTTTCTTTAACTTGAAACTTCAAATTTCCAGTTGTGAAGAACAAGAATCTCTGTTGAGTTTTTTGCTAAATCAAATAAAAAGAAAAATAAGTTAACAAAAATAAGTTAACAAGAATTTTTTTCTGATACGCCATGATTGTCCTCATTAAGTTCACTTTGAACCTGCAAATTAATCATAACTTAATTCAATCTAACATAGGAAGAAGAAAATTAAAAGTCCAATATGTTATTCAATAACATATACCTTCAAGCGTAGCCATTGAATGAAAGTGCTATTGTGCTTATCCTGCAGCCACTTTGTTTTCTTTCTAAATTTTGGATAAGCGGTCTGGATGTGGATCATATGTTGCCTACATGACACACAAAATTCAAGTATTACGGTCCCAAACATATAAGATAAACATAAGAAATAATTTAAAATGGAAACTTAAAGAATAAAACTCATACGTACTCGATATAAGGTAGGACTTCCTCCGTATTCTCCAAGACATATAGATGTGCTTGGTTCAACAGGTCCCGATCAACTACGCTCACTGTGCAACCTGATAATGGCTTTGAAACTCCCATCTTTTGGCTTGAAGGCACTCCAACTGTACTAACATCAGATAAATGCTCGGTACAAAACTCTACAGCTTCTTCAGCTATATACCGCTCAGCAATGCAACCTTCGGGACGAGTACGATTCTGAACATACCCCTTTAGCACTTTCATATATCTTTCAAACGGATACATCCATCTAAAATATACTGGCCCACACAGACGAACTTCTCTGACAAGATGTACTACTAGATGAACCATGATATCAAAGAATGAAGGGGGAAAGTACTTCTCAAGCAAACACAAAGTAACTACTACATCTTCTTCCAACTTATCTAGCTTGGAAACATCAACAGTCTTTGCACATATAGCATTGAAGAAGAAGCACAAACGAGTTATTGCATACCTTGCAGGCTTCTCCAAAACAGAACGAATTGCCACAGGGAGCAATTGTTGCATTAAGGTAGACAATCATGTGATTTAAGGCCAAGAAGTCTTGAATCTTGTAAAGATACAAGATTTTTTATATTTGAAGAATAACCTTCAGGGACCTTCATACCATAGAAAGAATTGCAAACCTCTCTCTTCTCTGCTCTTGACAAATTCCAAGGCCCGGGAGGCAAACGAGTACGTCTTTCTCCATACTCGGGTTGCAAATCAGTTTTGACCCCCATGTTCAATAAATCTAATCGAGCAGCAATCCCATCTTTATTTTTTCCAGGGATCTCCAGCAATGTACCAATGATACTATCGCAAACATTCTTCTCAATGTGCATAACATCTAGGACATGCCTCACAGGAAGGTATTTCCAATACTCGAGATCAAAGAATATTGATTTCTTCTTCCAACAAACTCTGTCACCATCTTCAACCATATGCAGCACTTCTTCTCCGGTTAATGGCTCAGGAGGCGTGCCATATTCAGGTTTCCCATTAAAGCTGCACGTTGCCTCCTATATGGATGATTGATCGGTAACCATTTTCTATGCCCAATGTAACAAATTTTGTGGCCATTTTTCAACCTGTGACTAGGTGTATCATCGCCGCATATTGGACAAGCTTTATATCCTTTAACAACACAACCAGATAAGTTTCCATAGGCGGGGAAATCATTAATTGTCCACATTAATGCAGCTCTGAGTGTAAAGTATTCTCCATTATGTGCATCATACACTCCTCCAATCCCATCCCACAAAGATTTTAAATCATCAATCAAAGGCTCCAAGTAGACGTCTATATCATTTCCCGGCTGTTTAGGACCGGAAATCAATAAGGTCAACATCATGAACTTTCGTTTCATGCACAGCCATGGAGGGAGATTATATGTAACTAAGATAACTGGCCAGCAACTATATCTGCTACTTAGAGAACCGTGGGGATTGAATCCATCAGATGAAAGAGCCAATCTCAAGTTTCTCGGCTCATTACCAAACTCGGGCCATTTATCATCAAGAAGTTTCCAAGAAGGGGAATCCGCTGGATGAGACATATAACCGTCAATTGATTTTCTAGCAGCATGCCAAGTCAAACTCTTAGCGGTCTCATGTGATCGAAACATCCTTTTAAACCTTGGAATTGGAGGAAAATACCACACCACCTTCGCTGGCACACCCTCTTTCAAGATTGAATCTTTGCCTTCCTTCCACCTTGAGATACCACAATTAGGACAATGAGTTAAATCCTCATACTCCTTCCTATACAAGATGCAATCATTGGGGCATGCGTGCATTTTCTCATAACTCAGCCCCAATGCACACAAAGTCTTTTTTGCCTCATACATAGAGGCCGGTATTGTATTTCCTTCTGGAAGCAAATCGCCTTGAAGTATCAATAATTCTGTAAAACAGACATCACTCATCCCATATTTTGCCTTCAAATTATACAACTTCACTAATGCCGATAACTTCGTGTACTTTCTACAACCAGGGTACAATGGTTGATCTCCATCCCCAATCACATTGGCAAACTCATAAGGATCAGATCCAAAATCACCAAAATCATTATCATCCATCTCTATTTCTTCAGACACAAAACTGTACCTACTATGGTCATCATCTTCTTCAACATTTCTACTAGCATTAGTAGCTGCTTCCCAAGGTTCTCCGTGAAATGTCCAATTCTTATAGCTTTGGTCAACTCCATTAAAGTATAAGTGATCCCTTATAATTCCAACCCCAAACAATTTCAAATTAACACATTTAACACATGGACAACGGATATGTGTGGTAGTTAGAAGATTTTCTACAGAAAAGTTCAAAAATGCTTCCACCCCTAACTCATATGCCTTCGATCTTCTATCCGAGTGCATCCATGACTTATCCATCTCCGACACTATACCCTATTATATATAATAAAGTGAAAAGACAAGCAATGACCATCACTATAGCAGATTATATAAAGTCTAATAGCAAGTAATATACAACAGAGACGACGGTTTTTAAACAAAAACAGACGTCTTTGACATATATAGACGACGGATTTTACGTCGTCTAATTATAACCACGACGGTAGTTAAATAACACCGTCGTGTATAAGTAATAAAAACGACGGTTTAAAGTAAAAACCGTCGTCGTATGCCTGAAAACGCGTCGATATCCAGTTTATTTTCAAGATCCCAAAACCCTATTAAGAACACAACATAGACATGAAACCAAGCAAGAAACCAACATATACATGAAACCAACATATACTAAGCATGAAAACAATAAATCCATTCCCAATTCAACATAACAGAGAGTGATTAAAAGATCCGACAAAATGAAATCCATTCCATATTCAACATAACAGAGTGATCAAGAAAACATTAAACAGACAATCCATGAACCCATACCTCCAACAACATTATTAACAGATCGCAAAACATATACCTAAAACCCTTTAACAAAACAACGTAATATATCATTCAATGAATTTACAAGGGGAAGAGAGGGTTTGTACTTACAGGTTGGCAGAGCTCACAGATTATGACCAAATTGGATTTGACACAGCCTGGCCCAACTTTGAATTAGAGATGAAGTGAGAGAGCGAAATGTTATGTTGCGCGAAATCAGAAAATTTTAGGGTTCAGGGTTACAAGTATAAAAATAAGAGCCAAATCTGAAAATTTTAGGTCCCGCGAATATTTTAAGAAAGCGCGCTTTTTAAAACATCGACCGAAAAAACAAGCGTCGTTAAAATTTAACATTAAACATGACGCTTATTACATTAAGGACGTCGTGGTAAAACTATGTGCCACGCAAAATCAAAAAAGGCGTTAAAACTATGAAAAACCACGGCAGGTTAAGTAACTAACGACGTTGTAAATAATAATAAACGACTAAAAGGTAAACAAAACGTCGTTTAAAAAAGAAACCACGTCGGATTTTTCACCATACGACGTAAACTCAATATTCCACGACTCAATCACCGTCGTTAAAAGTAATACCCTAAACTTTAAAACCATAAATTATATATTTGTAAAATTTAATTTTATAAAATTGTTTATGGTTTTACATCCTAATAAATAACAAGCATAAACCCTAAACCCCAAAAATTATACTTTAACCATAAACCCTAATAAATAACAACCCTAAACCCCAAACCCTAAACCCTAAACCATCAAACTATATAAGTGATGCTATGACACATAACAACAATTTTATTTTGGTTGGTCATTTTAAACTTTTATTACACAAACTTCATTTTTTTGGGGTTTAGGGGGAAGAAAATATATCAATGACTTCATAGGAGTTGAAGTTGAATTTTTTGAATTTATTTTAAATTTACACTACTACAAAATAGTGAATCCACGACACCAAAAAAACGACGGTTCAACTTAAAACCGTCGTCGTTTTTTAAAAGACGACGGTTTTACAAAACTGTCGTGGTATGTCATCTTATACACCACTAAAATTGATTTGCCTTGTTTGGATTTTTAAAACACGACGTTTGTAAATAAGAAACGTCATCTTTTAAAACACTCTTGTTGAGAAGTCAACTAAATCCCAATATATTTGGGATTGAGTGATTAGCCAGATTATATGTAATTGATTGTACATGATTTGCTTTCCTTTATTAGTCTCTTGATTGTATAGGAAATTTGGGTATAGATACCCTTGACACTGTAAAGAGAAACAATCAAGTAATCAAATATTCTTCCTTTGCTTACAATTTTACATGGTATCAGAGCAAGGAAAAACCTAGCTCTTGTTTTTCTCTTTACCGTCAAAAATCCCAGCTTTCTCCTTCTTTGTTTACGTTAGCTTTCTGCCATGGCTAATGACAAAGAAGTTGAAACTTCTTCCAAGGATGGAAACAAGTCTGAAGTTTCCAACCCTTTTTTCATTCATCACTCTGACCATCCTGGCATGGTTCTTGTATCCAAACCGTTGAATGGAGACAACTATGGGACATGGTGTCGTTCCATGCGAATCTCCTTGAGTGCCAAGAACAAACTTGGTTTTGTTGATGGTACTGTCAAGAAGCCTTCAAAGACAACCAATCCTGATGAGTTCTCTCTTTGGCAACGTTGCAATGATATGATCCTATCTTGGATCTTGAATTCCCTTGATCAAGACATAGCTGATAGCGTTATCTACTTTGACACTGCTCACGATATATGGGAAGATTTGAAGGAGCGTTTCTCTCAAAGCAACGTTCCTCGAATTTTCCAGATCCAACGTGACATTGCTTCCCTTACTCAAGACCAAAAGTCGGTTGCTGCTTATTACACAAGACTTAAGGGGCTATGGGATGAGTTGGCATCATACAGTGATGTGCCGACTTGTACCTGTGGTGCCATGAAAGATCACGCTGAACGTGATGAGAGGAATAGGGTGATGCAATTTCTCATGGGTCTGAATGATTCATATGCTGCTGCTCGTGGACAGATTCTTCTTATGCAGCCCCTACCATCCATACGCAACATCTATTCCTTAATTTCCCAAGAGGAGAAGCAACGACAACTGGGGACTCCTCATACTACCTTGGAACCTGCTGCAATGGCTGTTCGCCAACACCAGGGACCTTCGAATTCTAATCGCAAGCCTCTTCATTGCACTCACTGCGATCGAGACCATCACACAATTGATACCTGTTATAAACTTCATGGTTATCCTCCCGGGCATCGACTGCACAAATCCAATCAAAACAAGAAAGGCTCAAGTTCCTCTGCCAATCACGTGCAGAACAATCCCACTATGCAAGAATTGAAGTCTGCCATGCCCAATCTATCTGACAGTGAGTATGAACAGATTCTTACCATGATGAATGATAAGCAAGAGCCACAAGCAAACTCTGCAGGTTTGTCATATTATCCTTTACCTTTACACCGCTGGCTGATTGATAGTGGCGCAACAGATCATATTACATCCACCTCACATTCTTTTACGTCCACAAATAACAACCCTTCCATTCCACCAGTTGTATTGCCTAGCGGTGAAAAGGCTTCTATTATTTCTGTTGGGAATGCTTCTCTCAACTCATCTCTTTCTTTAAACAATGTCTTGTATGTGCCTAGCTTCAAAGTTAATTTGATGTCAGTGAGCAAACTTACACAAGGACTTCATTGTTCCATCTCTTTTTTTCCTAATTGGTGCATTTTGCAGGACTTGGCTACGAGGAAAACGATTGGTCTGGGTAAACAGCAAGGAGGTCTTTACTACCTGGTTTCTTTGGCGTCAGACAAGCCTTCCCTTCTCCCACCATCTTGCAACCATGCTCATGCCTCAACTCACCTCTGGCACAGCCGTTTAGGCCATCCATCATCTTCTCGTTTACAATTTTTAGCTAAGAATGTTTTAAATTTCCCTTTTTCAAATAATGCTTGCGAGGTTTGTCCCTTGGCAAAGCAAACTCGATTACCTTTTAATTTAAGTTCTATTTCCTCTTCTAAACCATTCTCTCTTATTCATTGCGACATTTGGGGGGCCACATAAAATTGCATCTTTTTCAGGGGCTCGTTATTTTCTAACTATTGTGGATGATTTTACTAGGTTCACATGGTTATTTCTCATGCAAACTAAATCTGAAACACAGAACCTGCTTAAATCATTTTTTGCCTTTGTCCAAACACAATTCAATACTCAAGTACAACAAATACGCGTTGATAATGGAGGTGAATTTTCTTCCATGCGTCGCTTCTTTCACGAACATGGGGTCATCTATCAACATACTTGCGTCTACACACCACAACAAAATGGTGTTGTAGAGCGCAAGCACCGACATATCATAGAGATGGCTAGGGCTTTACGTTTTCAGGCACATCTCCCTATTTCTTTTGGGGAGAGTGTGTTCTCACCGCCATTTACTTGATCAATCGTCTTCCCACTGCCCTTTTATCCAAGATATCCCCATATGAGAAGCTGTACCATAAACCTCCTTCTTATAACCACCTCCGCATTTTTGGTTGTTTAGCCTATGCCACCATTGTCCAACCTTCCCATAAATTTGATCCTAGAGCCAAACGATGTGTTTTTCTTGGTTACCCTCTCGGTCAAAAGGCCTACAAATTATTTGATCTTACCACCAAAAAAATTTTTACCAGTCGCGATGTAGTTTTTCATGAGAGTCACTTTCCTTTCCAAACTCTCCCTTCTTCCTCTCCCACGGAACCTTCACCTCCTGTTTTACCTCTTCCTTTATCTGATTTGTCATCTCCTCCATGTCCATCTCCTGCCTTATCCTCACCACGTCCTCCATCTCCTTCTACCCCACCCGATCTCACAGCTTCTTTCGACACCGCTGCCCCCATTTTTCCCTCCCACACCATTGCCGTACCGGCTCCGTCACAACCTTCCTCTCCTTCTGTACCACCATCCCCCATCCGCTACTCTCTTCGCCACAAGGTTAAACCAGCCCATCTCCACGATTATGTTTGCTCACAGGTTACTTTACCTACGCTTGACCAATCGTCGGACTCCTTGCCATGTCGCACCAAAGGTACTCGTTATCCCCTTTCTAATTTTCTTTCTTATCACCGTTACTCACCATCACACTTTGCTTTCATTGCTAATATTAGTCGGCCAGTGGAACCTAACACTTTTGCAGAGGCTGTTTCTAATCCACACTGGCAAGAGGCCATGCAATCTGAACTTGCAGCTTTGGAATCCAATCAGACTTGGTCCCTCACTTCTCTTCCACCTGGGAAGCAACCCATTGGATGCAAATGGGTCTATAAAATCAAGCATCGTTCCGATGGCACCATTGAGCGCTATAAGGCTCGTCTCGTGGCCAAAGGATACACTCAAACTGAAGGTCTTGACTACCATGACACATTTTCTCCTACTGCCAAAATGGTTTCTGTTCGGTGTGTTCTTGCTCTTGCCGCTGCCCACAACTGGTCTTTGCATCAACTTGACGTCCACAATGCATTCCTTCATTGCGATTTACATGAGGAAATCTATATGTCACCTCCTCCTGGTCTTCGGCTACAAGGGGAGCATTTGGTATGTCGCCTTCACAAATCCTTGTACGGATTGAAGCAAGCATCTCGCCAATGGTTTTCTAAGTTCACTGAAGCCATACAAGCTGCTGGTTTCACTCAATCCAAAGCCGATTATTCGCTTTTACCTACAAAAATGGCAAGTCCTTTACCGCTCTTTTGATCTACGTTGATGACATCTTGATTACAGGAAATAATTTGGCTGCCATTGATGCTCTCAAGCGATTTCTTAATACTCGTTTTAAGATCAAAGACCTTGGTGATCTTAAATATTTTTGGGCATTGAGGTCTCACGTTCCAGGAAAGGTATTTCTATTTGTCAAAGGAAATATGCACTGGATATTATTAAAGATGGAGGAGCTTTGGGAGCACATCCAGTAAGCTTTCCCATGGAACAAAATTCCAAAATTTCTTCTGATATAGGTGAGATACTTCATGATCCAGCAAAGTATAGACGATTGGTGGGACGTCTGATTTATCTCACCATAACAAGACCTGATATTACCTATTCAGTACATATACTCAGTAGATTCATGCATGAGCCTCGCAAGCCACACTTAGATGCCGCCATGAGAGTATTGAGGTATCTGAAAAGTACACCAGGACAAGGACTCTTCTTTCCTGCTGGAAATGAGATGAAGTTGACGGCATACTGTGATTCAGATTGGGCGGGATGTCCAACCACACGAAGGTCAACAAGTGGCTATTGTGGTGTTTCTTGGAAATTCTTTAATCTCATGGAGAACAAAGAGACAAAAAACAGTATCTCTTTCTTCAGCAGAGGCTGAATATCGTGCAATGACAGGTGCTTGCTGTGAAATTACTTGGTTGCGTTATCTATTGCAAGACCTACAACTCCCAGACCCAGGACCAGCTACTTTACACTGTGATAACCAAGCTGCGCTGCACATATCTGCCAATCCAGTGTTCCATGACAGAACTAGACACATTGAAATCGACTGTCATTTTATCAGGGATAAAATTTTGGACAGAACAGTGGTTACAAGATATATTTCATCTCAACAACAAGTAGCAGACGTGTTTACGAAGGCCTTGGGGAAAAGAAGATTTTTCGGCTATGGTGTGCAAGTTGGGAGTTCACAATATTCACTCTCCAACTTGAGGGGGAGTGTTGAGAAGTCAACTAAATCCCAATATATTTGGGATTGAGTGATTAGCCAGATTATATGTAATTGATTGTACATGATTTGCTTTCCTTTATTAGTCTCTTGATTGTATAGGAAATTTGGGTATAGATACCCTTGACACTGTAAAGAGAAACAATCAAGTAATCAAATATTCTTCCTTTGATTACAATTTTACATTAAGTTGTCTCATTTTTAAAACACGACGCTTGTGAATATAAAGGTCGTCTTCTAAAACACGCTAGGCTGCTTAAGTGAGTTATCTGTCGACCTAAATTTTTCAGATTTCCCCAAAGCTTGAAAACATTCCCCCTCTCAACTCTCTCTCTCTCCCTTCCTCAACTCTCGCCCTCGACCTAAAGTGGCCGCTTAATTTCTGCTCGTCGTCGTCACAGAGCTCGCCATCGTCGCGCGTCGGACTGAGACTCCTCTATCGAAATCAACAACCCAACTTCATTGTCATGCGACCCCCAAGTCTCTCACTCTCCTCATCCTCTCCTCTATCTCGCTCTTCAGACTGAAGTCTGGGGTGAGAGAGATTCCCCTCTGTCTTCTTCACTTTGAGTTTGTTAAGGTTCGTATCTCTATCCTCATGTTCTTACTTTAATCTTTTGTTGATGCACTGGGTTTTGTTCAAAGATGGGTTTTAGATCTAGGGTTCTTGTAGAAATTGCATGTGGGTTTTAGGTGTTTTGTTTTAAGGGTTTTATATTGCCGATGATTATTCAATGCATACGGCGACTTCCACGGCCTGTTTGTTGAGCCGGTGAGGGGTGTTTTCGATTCCCTTTCCAAGAAAGGTGACGCCCTCTATGATTTGTGGTTCGATTTCTGGCTCTTGTCTCTAATGCTGCTTTAGTGAAAGGTGAAATTTCATAGCCATTGTTGAGTCAAAGAATGTTGTCTCGATGTTCCAGAGTACCAACCCGCCTCAATTCCATGCCATTCCATCTCTGGTAGGTGAACAAGTTGAAGATTCGCTGGTAAGTGCAATGGGTCTTGCTATGACTCCACAATCTGCTATTGGCGTGAGTCATATTTCGGCTTTGCACAAGACGCAATTTTGGCGTGAGTCGTACTCCACAGTCTGCTATTGGCGTGAGTCGTATGAATAATGCTCTCTCTTCTTTCTCCATTTAAATCTTCCTTTGGATGTCAGTCTATCTCTTTGTTGATCTGTCTTAATCCAAGCATTTACTGTCTTGTAATTACATCTATATTTCTGGTTTAGAGGTTATTTGGCACCAAAGTACGAAATACGAGGGCAATTGACAAGGAAAGCAGATATTTATAGCTTTGGGGTGCTTCTTGTGGAAATAGTCAGTGGAAGATGTAATACAAATACACGCTACCAATTGACGAACAGTATCTGCTTGAAAGGGTATTAATTTCAGATTTATTCTGTCCTTACAAGCTTTTTCTTTCAATTTGGTTAAATGAAAAACATTAGATGGCAATTGCATGTGTTATGTGATTTTGGTAGATGCAGTTTTGCGTTCATATTTCCTGATCACAGTAATTTGGGTACTGCTAAACTCCTGTTGGTATTTAAAAGAAAAAAAAATTGGTCTTTGACATAGTGCACATAAATTGATAAGCCTTCTGAAGTTTGTTTCCCATCAATTCGTTTGTTGCTGGACAATTTTTTACGTATGTTTTTACAAATTTTTGTGTGTGTGTGTGAGTTGTGTGTTATAACAACTTCCTTCATAGCCATGTTGGCTTGTATTACCAAAGTGCAGGTGCAAGGCATGGTGATGAGGGAAAAGGCTGAATTTTTATTGAAATGCTTGTAGTAACTAGTTGTTTGAGTCATTGATTCATTTATGTCATATCGAATTTGCCTAAAAATGTGTTTGATTATTTGTTTTATATTGAATTCTACACTGCAGATAACCAATCTATTACCTTAGGCGTAGGCACTATTAATGACTAGTGCATTCTTGTGTTGCAGACATGGCAAGTCTACGAGTGGAAGGAGCTTGTTGGGCTGGTGGACACATCATTGGATGGTGATTTTGATGCCGAGGAGGCTTGTAGGTTTTTAAAGATTGGCCTTGTTTATTTTAAACATGTTTTATGCTATACAGGCCCTCGTTTAGTTATTGGTTAATGTTTTGCTTTTATTGGCTTTCACTTAGAGCGAGGACGTAACTATTTTCTTGCTGTAAAATCAGTAATTTTTTGTTTCATTTTTTCAGGTTTTCTCTTCTCTTCGAGGTTGAGGCTGACTTCCCTCTTTTTCTTCCTATTATTGAGTTCTACCCTGTGAGTTCTACCTTTTATTTATCCTATTGTTGCTCCTATTATTGAGGTTGAGGTCAGTTGACACTACTACAATATCCTTAAACCACGTTAGCTACCTCAAATTTAACTCGTTAGCATGTTCATGTTAACTTGTTAGCTACCTCCTAGAAATGTAATGTAAGAGAGAGGAGGAAACAGGAGAATAGAATAAAAGAGAGATTTGAGGAGGATGAATAGCCGAGAACTACCTCTCCCTCCTCTGTTTTTGTTTCTTAGTTTCCCTTCAATATTTATTTTGTGCTTGTTCATTTGAGTGCTTAGTTTAAATCAATATTCCAACAAGCAGTTGTTTAGGTTTCATGAATTTTGGTCTTCTAATTTCTTTGTGTTTGTGTTTGGGCTTGAACATTTATGTTAATCCCTTCAAGAGATGTTTGTTGTTTGGCTATTGGTTGAGGTTTGCCCTTCTATGCCTTTTTTACTTGCAAGGTGAGGTTTCATTTGCAAATTCTGTACAATCTTCTTTGCAAATTGCACTTGCAGGTTCTCTCTCTCTCTCTCTCTATCTTCTTTGAATAAATGGTGAATATTCAGTGAAAAGCTCACATGTGTTAAGCGGCCTTTTAGGATCTCATAGGGTGTTTGCTTTTTTATGTGCTCAACTTTATGTAATTTGTAGATTGGCTTGAATCTTGCACATGCTTATGCTAAAAAGTTACTGACTTGTTTGCTTTCCCAATCTAACCCAAATGGTTTGTTTGGTTTTAAGTGTCACTTTTTGTATTTTCAAGTTAGCAGATGTTTTGGTCAATAAAGAATTTGGAGATTGGCTTGAATCTTTATAATTTAAATTTTCCACCAATAATTAAAAAAATTTAGTCCAGTAAAATATGCAGAAGTTGTTGAAAGAAGATCTTCTAGACTGTATATTAGGGTGTTATTTTTTTGCAATAGATTCTGCTCTTGGACAAGGTGAGCATTTTAGTTCCAGAAACTTAATAGTTCACAGTCCTGTTCCATGGTTTTTTTTATTATTTATTTTATTTTTTATAAAGAAGAATTAGATGCAGTGGGTGTTAAAAATATTCAGCTAATGGTTTCTTTTCTCTGACGCATTTTGATGCATGACTTTGGACGTGAAGAGGAGATTAAATTGAAGGAGAAGATGAAAAAGGGTATCAATTCTGAAGCAAGTTTTGTGCTAGCAACATGGAAACTCAGGTTCTTAACTTGGTCTACTGTTCTTTAATGTATAGGGGTAGAGAATTGGTCCACTGTTCTATAATCTCTTACTAAAACTTATTTTTTTAAATCTTGGTTTTGCAGTACAAGAAGGCATAGTAACTCATACACGAACAAATTGATGAAATTCGGATCGAATGGGCAGCGTTTACGACCAATCATATGTAGCTCATCTATTTCTAATTATAGTTTAATGCTATGGATATGGTATTTTGTATGGATATAGTAGGAATCAAGATTGGCAAACTATGTAATTACCATTAAATCTTCAAGTTTTATGAAATAAACAATTTTTGAGTATATATATATGTATGGTGTGGGTAATAGCAAATTTGGACCCGAATTATTATTTTCAAAGCATTATGATTATTTTTTTTAGTTAAAATCGTTATTGAGAACCATTGAAAACTAAAAAAAAAAAGCTAAAATGTCAAATCACTACGTCCAGTTTTACAATTGATAAACGGCGGTTTTTCAACAATACGGTCGTCTTTAGAATTAATAGAAGACGATTTCTTAACAAACTGTCGTTTTTAGAGTTAATAGAAGACGGTTCTTCAGAAAAACCGTCGTCTATTATATGTAATAAACGACGGTGTTTCCCGTCGTAGTTTGACATTAAAAAAGATGACGGTGAATTTAACGACGGTTTGAAAATGAAAAAGACGACGGTGTTTTCCCGTCGTCTATGTCAATTTTTGTAGTAGTGTTATTTTTTTTTTTTTTTTTTTTTTTTTTTTTTTTTTTTTTTTTTTTTTTTTTTTTTTTTTTTTTTTTTTTTTTTTTTTTTTTTTTTTTTTTTTTTTTTTTTTTTTTTTTTTTTTTTTTTTTTTTTTTTTTTTTTTTTTTTTTTTTTTTTTTTTTTTTTTTTTTTTTTTTTTTTTTTTTTTTTTTTTTTTTTTTTTTTTTTTTTTTTTTTTTTTTTTTTTTTTTTTTTTTTTTTTTTTTTTTTTTTTTTTTTTTTTTTTTTTTTTTTTTTTTTTTTTTTTTTTTTTTTTTTTTTTTTTTTTTTTTTTTTTTTTTTTTTTTTTTTTTTTTTTTTTTTTTTTTTTTTTTTTTTTTTTTTTTTTTTTTTTTTTTTTTTTTTTTTTTTTTTTTTTTTTTTGGGGACACACCTATTGCCGGAAGATGTAGTGAAGCCCAATCATTTTGTTGTCCAGATTTTTTTCCCAACTGACGGCGAAAACTTTGCGAAAAACGGACATGTTTCAGTTGCGCCATGACATTGTCCAAGTCCTATGCAAGTTTGAGATGATATTTCCTCCAGCTTTCTTCACAAGTATGATGCACGTGATGGTTCACTTGCCAGAAGAGGCATTACTTGCTGGTCCTGTCAACTATCGCTGGATGTATCCAATAGAAAGGTATATAATCCTTATCATTTGTGTATGCATCATTATCACATGCTTGCTAATTTCAATCATATCGTTTTATTTTGGCAGGCTTCTCGGAGAGCTGAAAAAAAGTGTACGCAACAGGGCGAAGCCCGAAGGATCAATCGTAGAGGCTTGGGTTCAATATGAGTCGCTTACTTTCTGCGGAATGTATTTAAAAGATGTGGAGACGGTTTTCAATCGTCCTCAGCGCAATCATGATGGAGGGTATGAGAAATGAAAAACTTTCTGTTTTTGCCCAAAGCGCACGACCCTTCGGAGATCCTGGACGCGGAGAGTCGTTTTCTAGAAATGACATGGAGGTAGCGCATTGGTTCGTACTGAACAATTGTGATGAGATCATGGGATACTTATATGAGCATGAAGAGATGATGAAGCGAGAACATCCATCACATTTGGTTGCCCAGAAACACCGTGAATTGTTTCCACAATGGTTTTTGGATTCTGTAAGTTATCAGTGTTTGTTATTTGAGAAATATAAATTTTTTTTATATATTTTGTCAGACTAACATATGAATGGGTTTTGTATAATATTAGGTGAATAAGTTGAAATCATCGAATTCCCCAACTTACAGTGATGAGTTATATAACTTGGCGTTTGGCCCGATTCGCGCTGAATTGTTCTCGGGTTGTAATGTCAACGGTGTCAAATTTTTGGCCGAAGCACGAGATGACAAGTTGTGTACGCAAAACAGCGGTGTCCATGTCCCAGGTGGAGGCGAAAGTACGGACATTGATTTCTATGGCAAACTCACAACTGTCGTGCAATTGCTTTACAAAGATCGATACCAAGTGATCATGTTTAAGTGTCGATGGTTTGACACCAACCCAAATAGGCCGGGAAGTGTTAAAATCGATCATGGCTTACTATCTGTGAACATGAACAGAACTTGGTATGATGACGACCCTTATATTTTGGCAAACATGGCAACACAAATTGTGTATCTAGATGACCCTAAAGCCGGAAGCGGTTGGAACGTTGTTCAAAAGATGGATCACAGGAACGTGTATGCTATACCAGAACTAGACCCAACTGACAACAACGTCAACAATGTAGCTGACCAACGTTTAGAATCTTCAATGGAAAATGATGCGGAAACACTTCGAGATACTAATGTTATACAAGAGCCATTTCAAATACAAGGAGTGTCTTCAATCGAAATACCGATTCAGTCAATTACAATTGACCTCGGTGATCTTCCGCGATATGATGTTGCAGTTGGCCCGAGCAACGACGATGATGTAGTTATAGAGGAGGCGGAGGAGGAGGAGGAGGAAGAGGATTGGGAGACCGAAAGTGATGATAGCAACGATAACGAAAGTTATTATAGTTCAGATGATGAATGATTAATTTTTTTTGTAATTTTATTATGTTAGTGGACATATTTTGTGTAATGCAAATGTTTTCATATATGTACTTGTTATATCCAAACATTATATATGATACCAAGTGAAACATTATTAAAATAATTGTAGTTATAAACCATTGGTAAATAAATATAGCCAACTAATTTGTATCATAAAGTTTAAATTTATTTTCACAAAAAACTTTTAAAAAATGAAAACCATATAACCGAAAAAATGAATACAAAGAACATAAGATTATCAACAATCCTTCCATTCTCAAATCGAAAGAAAATATAATAAATCATACTTTCATACAATTAATTATATGTAATGATGAATACTTCAGATTAATAATATGTGATCTTGCGCGACGAAGACATAATTGTCGCGCAATTTTTGCGCGACGGATAACGTACACGTCGCGCATACTCTACCATTTGCGCGACAAATAATTCGTCGCGCAAGTATCTTTAGCGCGACGAAAAACAGACCCCGTCGCGCAAACATATACATATATATATATTTCTGATTATACACACGTATATAGTTGAAATTGACGATCGAAGTAGTTCACTGTATTCACATAGGGTTAAACAGTATAGCTGTAAAAAATCATCAAAATCAGAGTCAAAATAACCGTTAAATCATGACTTTTCGTTTATAACCGTCGAAACGTTTTGTCCCGTTACTTGAGCTCTGAATGTTTTTTTTTTCTCATTTTTGACGTATAAGATCTCGAAGTATAAACAAACATATTTGACGGCTAGATTACTGAAACTAGTTTCCTAGAATGCGTATTCCATAAAAACACAATATTCATAAAAACTGAATAATTTCTTTATACATTCCTTCAGTCTAACATAAGATTATGTGATGTCTTGTACTGTAAATATCTGAAATTGAAGATCGAATTACATCTCTGTATTCATATAGGGTCAAGAACCGCAGCTGTAAAAAATTTTCAAGATCGGAGTTAAAATCACCGTTGAATCGGGACAATTTGTTTACAACCGTCGAAACGTTTTGTCCCGTTACTCAATCTCTGAATGTTCATTCATTATGATTTTTGACGTATACGATCTTGAACTATGAAAAAAGAAGATTGCCGGTTGGATCATTGAAACTAGTTCAGGAGTTCGGGTTTAGGGCTTAGGGTACAGGTTTTAGGGTTTAGGGTACTAGGGTATGGTTTTGCGCGACGAACTTACGCTTACGCGTCGCGCAAACCATATGCGACAAACATAATCCATTCGTCGCGCAAAATCATTAAAAAATTCGCTCCCCCTCTCCGCTCCAACACTTAGTGAAATTTTTTTTGGCAAAAGCCAGTTTGCGCGACGAATATATGCCCATTCGTCGCGCAAAATCAATAAAAAAATTCCCTCCCCTCTCCGCTCCAGCACTTAGTGAAATTTTTTTTCAAAAGCCAGTTTGCGCGACGAATATAGTCCATTCGTCGCGCAAAATCAATAAAAAAATTCCCTCCCCTCTCCGCTCCAACACTTAGTGAAATTTTTTTGGCAAAAGCCAGTTTGCGCGACGAATATGCCTATTCGTCGCGCAAAATCAATAAAAAATTTCCCTCCCCTCTCCGCTCCACACTTAGTGAAATTTTTTTTGGCAAAAGCCAGTTTGCGCGACGATATCCGTTTCGTCGCGCAAAATCAATAAAAAAATTCCCTCCCCTCTCCGCTCCGCACTTAGAAATTTTTTTATCAAAAGCGTGCGAACCCGTGTCCAGTCGTCGCGCAAAATTTTTTGGCAACAGCTAGCATGCGACGAATTGGATTCGTCGCGCAATCTCATTGCATTGATTTTTTCCCGCGCAAAATCAAATCCCAAAATTTTGGGCGGCTGCACAAGTATGCGCGACGACAGTAGTTTTTTCGTCGCGCAAGGTATATCTGTTCACAACTTTGCGCGACGAAATCAGTTTTAAGTCGCGCAAAGGTCAATTTTATAAATTGCGCGACGAAAGTTTTTTTTGCGTCGCGCAAAGGTTATTTTAATGATTTTGCGCGACGGATATCTATTCGTCGCGCAAAGTCGAATAAGTTTTCTGAAAATCGCGATCTTCTCCTTCTTCCCCAATTTCTCAAACGGAACCCTAAACCTCCAATCTCTCCGCCGTGACCTCAGCCCCTACTCCGCCCCAATTCAGACCCTGCCGCCGCCACCGTCGAACCCAGGAGCTTCTCCGCCGTCGCCGTCCATCCTGCCGCCGTGAATTGCTCCGTTTAGGCCGAATCTCCGCCGCCGTTGTTCTCTCTCCTCCGGGCACCAAATCCGGCAATTGAGGTATGCTTTCTGGGCTATTTTTCATGCTCTAGCTGATGGTTGTGTAGGATTTGATTGATTGTGTGCATAGGGTAGTCAATTTGAAACCCTAGGTTTCGGCCGGTTTTGAAATTGAAATTCCGGCCACTTCCGTCCGTTTTTCGGGGTAGGTCCGAGAACAAAAGTGCCTCCAATTGATGTTTTAAACCTAGGGTAGGAACCTTGCCCTTAATTTTGTAGGATTTCCCGGGATTGTTATCGCTTAGGGCACCCACGCGCTGCCGGCGCGTGTGGTGGCGCGTGGGGTACTGTGGCATAGGGCATTTTGTCCCAGTGCAAACATTTCGTTGTCACGAGCGCGTAGGTGTGCTCGGATTGGAATTTGGTTATCGTTTGAGTCTCGAACGGTTCGAACCTATTGTGCGATTTTAGGGTTTGATATGTTCGGACCGTTGGATCGAGCTGAAACTCACGTATGTGGTACCATGTATTTATAGGATCGTTTAATCGGATCGTGGATCGGAGTCCCGGATACTCCGAAATCGCAAACCCTAGGTCAAACTATGATTTTAATTAGTTAGTTCAATTTTTTACTGACATTGTATGTGCTACATTGGATTAATGAAATTGTGCAGATGTCAGACTTGATTAGACGTCGTAGGGCGGTGACGGCTACACCGAGTTCGGAGCCCCCGGCTCAGCCGGTATCAGCTGCCACTGCTCCAGCACTGATGGAGCAGGACCACGTGCTAGCTGGTCCTGGGGGATCCCAGGCGGCTGCATCATCATCTTCTTCGGTGGTGCAGCCTCTTAGCGCTAGGCGGCGACACCGGCCCGCTACCACCACCGACACCACATCCACTGACTGTACTGGTGCCTCGGGGGCACCTACAGGTAATACCCTTCCCCTTTCATTTTTTTTTAACATTTTTTTAATTGGGAATTTTATGGTTCAATTTGATTGTATATGTAACAATATTGTCATATCCCTTTGCAGCCAAGAGGAACACCCGAGGGCCGTGTCGGCAGCTGAAGACGGCGAAGGTCACCCGGGTGACCAACAGTCGTATCAGCATCGGATATGACGAGCGCCATCGGGCTGCACCGACGGCGGACTTGCATAGCTCCTTGGCCCACGACATTGGCCACGTCTTTCGGACCCATTGCCCGATGCAATGGAAGTCTTGGAAGGTCATACCTGACGAGATCAAGATGCAAGTTCGCGGCCAGTTGTCGGTATTTTCCTATCTTTTAATTATTTTTCTTTCAAACTTTATATATTTCTATTACTTAATGTATGTAATCAATTTATTGCAGACGAACTACGACTTAGAGGACATCAACGAGGAGACTTTGGCGTACGTCAACAGACTCTTCGGTGAGAGGTACAAGCAGTGGAAGAGCGACTTGCACCACCATTTCCAGGCGTTTGATGATCCGGAAGTCGCTCTTCAGGAGGGTTGCCCGAAGGAGCTTGAGGGGCGGGAGGATAGTTGGGCGTGGCTCTGCGCTCATTTTCAGGCGCCCGATTATGTGGTATTTTTTTAATAATATTTGTTTAATGTTTATTTTATTTTTTATATCTCATTATTATTTAATTTATTTATAGTTCAATTCTTACGTTTTATTTTTTGTATAACAGAATAAAGCCCAAGTGAATAAGGGCAATAGGAAGAAGAAGACTCTTCTTCACCATTCCGGCTCCAGGCCCTTCTCATATAGGATGGATGCACGGCGTCGGGTAAGAATAATATAATTTATATTTAATTTTTAATACGTCATTATTATTAATTTCTTTTGTTCATACTAATATTTTTCTTCTCTTGTTCAATTAAGGGGGGGTCGAAATTCCCAGAGATCGACGTCTTTGGTGACGTTTATGTTCGACCTGGGGATGAGTTGGCCGAGTCCCTTCATGTAAGTATTATGTATTTTTAATTCTTATGTTACACTTTCAATTTATATGCATTTTTGAATTTATATTTTATGTAATGTTAAACAGACGACGATGGTGGAGAGGAGCCAGTTGGTTCTTCAAGAGTCCGCCTCCCAACTTCCTCCCGAGACTCCGATCGAGTCTGTGGATCCTCCGCATGATGCTGGATTTCAGATTTTGACGCAGACGTTGGATCAGACTCTCGGGAGGAGGCCGGGAACGTATTGTAGGGGGATGGGGAATGCCCGACAGAGGGAACCTCGACCGCGGTCATCGTCGCAGGCAAACAGTCAGGTGACTGTTTTGACATCGCGGGTTGCCGAGCTTGAGGGTCAGATGTCGGTGATTCTGCAGTCCCTCGCGCGGTCCGGATTCCAATCCCGAATTTTGGTGCGTCGACCTCCGAGCCCGTCCACCCGAGCATCCCCAGCACACCACGGCCCCTGCAGACACCCATACCTCCGAGCCGCATGTGGCAGATGACCAAGTAGATTTCGAAACATTATTTGATTAGTTTTTTATTTTTATAATTACTTTTACAATTTGTATACATTTATTTTATTTTATATAATAGATGTTTTCTTTACGATTAATTTTTTTATTGTAATTTCATTTTAATTAAAAAAAAACAAAATTTATTTTTTTACAAAATTAAAAATCAAATAATAATAATTTTTTTTTTTTTAATAATATATTGCTTTTGCGCGACGAAACGTAAATCGTCGCGCAAAAACCTTTAAATAACAAATCGACAATATATCTTAATCTTGCGCGACGAGTAATTTCG